AAGTGAAAGAGTGTTGGAAAATGTTATTGGGTTTGTTTTAAAACAAAAATGGCAGAGGATGTGTTATAAATAAAAAGTTTTTCCATAAGGCTTGTTTGAGAGACTGTGTTTGTGTTTGTGTTTGTTGCATAAAAAGCATATCATCAGTTATGATGTGCTACATTTTTATAAGTAATTATTTTAAAAAAATATTATACATTTTATATCTATAAATACAAGAATGTGTTTGTTGCATTAAAATTAATTCAATTTTTTTTAATGTTTAATAATCAAATTTTTCACGTTTTAATACACTTAGGATTACTTCATCAATGTACTTGAAATATCTATTTATAAATAGTAATTAACATTAACATTAATATAAATTATCTTTAGTTTATTTTTTTTTCAAATTATGAATAAAAACTAGTAATTAATGGTTTTTTGTTGTTTTGGAATATTTAAAAAAATCAAAAAGAATGGTTAAGCTATAGTTTTTATATAATAAATGTATAGTTTTAGAAATTGTTTATTTTGAACAAGGATAAAGAATTATGGAATAAAGAACGAGTAAAATGTGGCCCGAATAAGATGAAGAGGGAAAGACACTTCTGATTCGGAAAAATAGGTATAGAAGTAACAGAACATTTTTTGTTGTCAATTTTTAGAACATAGACATTTATGTTGTTTTGAATAATACATAAGATAAGACCAAGTTTTGGATATGGACAAACATGCGTTCAAATAAAAATATAAAATTTGACTCTTTGAATAAATATTTATAATTAGCTAAATATGGGAAGTTATAATAATTGTAATGATTTAATCACGTTTAAAGTTAATATAATTCTGACTTTGAATTACAAGTATAAGACAAAAGGAATGAGATTATAAAAAAATTGGTTTATACAACATTTAAAATAAATCAAATAAACTTAAATTATATATTAAATAACTAAAAGAAACAAAAATAATATGAAAAAGGGTAGCAAAAAATTAATAAAATGTTTTGATAATTGTTCAGTCTTACAAATTAAGCAACAAAGACAAGATTGAATGGTTTAAAAATATTGCCAATCACAGATAAAAGTATTTGAATAACAAAAAGATATGGTTAAATAACAGTACTAAAGTTAACAAACACAACAAGTATTTTTTGATAGATGGAAGACAAGATTAAAGTACTCAATTCACAAGTTTTATCACTTAATTAACAAATTGGGTTAACAATTTTGGATCAAAGTACTCAAAACAAAAGTAAAATATTGTCGATGTTGCTAAAACCAAATAATATGATGTTCATTTTATTTTAGACAAAGTAAATAAATATAGAATAAAATAACATTATTTTGATAAATTCAGTTAAATAGAAGATTATCAAGAAAATAAAGACAATAAATAAGATAGGAGAGCATGTAAGAATTAAAATAAATCGAAAATATTTATTTAAAAAAAATCAAAAATACACCACTTTTTAATTAATTAATACAAAAATCAATCAACAACAAAAAATGTTATGTATTTGTCAATTTTATTTGAAATTAAACATAATGTAAAAATAACTTGTATATTTTAAAAATAAAAATACATTCCTGATATTAACTTTATTGTGTCAAATATTTGCAACAAATTATGTAAATACAGACTGTATAAAAATAAAAAGTGTTGTTTTTTGTTTAATGTTCAATTTTTTAATGATTAAATTATTTATCCTGTGATTGTAATAATTGGTTTGTGATAAAGATGTAACTCAACGATTTGCTCAATGAGAAGGTTGGAATAATTAGAACATGATAAATTTATGTTTTTTTGATAGACAATTTTATTTTTATTTCGTTGACTTTTCAAATAACAGTTTCTTTTGGATTTATAAAAACATAAAATAATATCATTTTAAAAAATTAATAAATAACAAAGTATTTAAAAGAATAAAATGATTTGTGAATATATTAAAATTCACAAAAATATACCACCAAATTAAAATTGTAATATCATCAATAATAGAGATTATTTTTAAAACAACAAAAGGGTTTTTAAAAAATACCTTTTATTTAAAACTTTAAAAATACAACAATATTTTTAAATTTTTATTAAAATACAATAAAAAGGCTGAATAACAATTATAAATAGAGACACAATTGTGTTCTTTTTATTTTTTTTAAATCGAAGAACATACTACATGATTTTCATAAAGCATTGTTGGGCTCCAACTTTTGTAAAAAAAGCATATTAAACAAGTCATAAGCATTGAATATAAAAAAACACAAAATAATTCAAAACATGGCATATAAAGATCCAAAGTGTTTGTATTTTAACATGTTATTTTCGTATATCATGCCATTCTTCGATAAATAATACGATAATTAAAAATAGAATATAAAATACATGATATATAAACAATAATTTGATTATCTAACACATCAATTAATGTCAAACGATGACACTCAAAGTGAACATCAAAGTTATTTATTGTAAAATCTGTATACATATATATACGACCAAATGGAATTATTAACAAACACACGCTTTAATCCAAAATGCTTGTGAATGATTTCCATATAAATAATTATGGAAACGATGACAATTTATTAAATGAACAAATTGTATAACCAAACAGTGACTGATATATGAATAAAATACATAACAAAAACAAATTCTTTACATATTGTAAGAATAATACAGTTGGTGTGTTGATTGCACAATTACATTGAAGCAATGACAAAATAAATAGCCAATACATAACACACCTTGGAAGGCGCCACTAAGTAAAGAGTAATAGTATTTACATCAAAACACTTTCTTCATTATATCATAATGTCAAGTCATATAAGCGCCTTCCCATTTGGTCGCAAGCCATGTTTTAACATTACACACAGGTTGTTTCTTATTGATAAACATTAAAAATATTAACCAAGTAGAATATAAGCACCAAACGATAGGCCGGCTTTTGATGAGTCGGCAAATCATGTAAATGTAAATTTACATGATTTTATATTCAATTCAAATCCACAACAAACACAACTTCCACTATTATGACTCTTTATACGCAACATATCCTATACTCGTTCCCAGATCCATATACATGGTAATCATGACAAATATTCAAACTATGCATGTACATCGCTTAAAAATTAAAAATCATCACAATAGATATCAACACAAATGTTTTGATATAGAATATAAGTATATAACAGTATCAACGCTTATATTGCAATTATGACTCTTTTATTGCAAAAGAGTCCCTCTATCTTGTTAAAAATAGACCAAATATAAAATGACCAAACATCGATATATATATATATATCAATGATTAGAGCTTAATTCGCACGATGTACAACTTTAAACAACAGAATTCACAGAGGTCTTAATGCTCAAATGGTGAATAAGATCCAGAGCAATTCAAAAAGATTAAAAAACATAAAATGAAAAATACGAAGAAGAAAACGTTGTTTGATTATTATTGATTGATTGCCTCGTTATTTTATTGTGCTTAATAAATGATTGTTAAAATAATTTAATAATCAAGTCTTTGAAGAAAATATTTTTCAATAAAAAAGTAAATTATAAATTTGTGATTGTTTATTAGTTGACAGTAATCGCTTTGCTTGTTTTTGTAATGTGTAAAGTTATATGAAAACTTTTGTGTTAAAATTTGAATTGTTTTTATATGTGGTTGGTTGTTTTTATAAGTGTTTATTGTTAATATGTGTTGTTGTTTCATTTTTTTGTTTTGGTTATAATAAACAACCAAAACAACAAACTTTCATCAAATTTTTAATACAAAAATTGGTTTGAATTCATTTGATCCAAATGATAGTGTATAACCAACTTAATTTCTTATATCCAAATTATCAATTTGGAAATATTTAATATCAACATAATTTTAAAACAGAATGTCTTAAATGTCTGTTGTTAAATTTTATAGTGTAATAAATTAAATAATGCAATTACATTAATTACTGTTATTAAAAAAACCTATGGAAATAATAACTCCAAATAATAAACATTTATAAAATACTTTGGTATATATAAAAAGATATTATGTACGTTTTGATATTATATATTTATTTTTGTGAATATACGGTCTAAGTTTACAGGGCAAGGAAACAATAATTGAAAAATAATATCAATATCAAATATCATTTTATTTTTGAATCAAGAATTTCTCCTATGTTCAACACAACTCAAATGCAACCAAAATTTAAAAATAAGTTATATTGTTTTCAAAACGGGTGTTGAAATTTTTTGAAAATTTTTTTGAAAAGGTCAAAAAAATCTCATTCTCAAAGAATTCAAATTTTCTTCCATCCCTTTTCAGGACTTTGATATAATTAAAAAAAAACTCATGAAGACTGCTTTGACGTAGCATGAAGTCGATATCCTCTTCATTCTCAAGTACTATTTTGAATATGTATGAGTCTGACTTCTTCTCACATACTTTAAAAGAAGCCAGTGGTCCAATTTAATTGCATAATTATAAATGTGGATGGGATCGTTGACTCCAAAAAACTTAAATAATCCAAATAGCAACTTTATTATAAATTAATAAAAAACAACTTATAATTATCAGAATACGTCAATTTGAATGAAAATTAAAATTAATATCTATGTATTATCAAATAATACACAAACTCTGAAAATGTCGTTTTCTCCATATTTTACTAAAAATAAACTTATTAATAATAGATATTAAATAATAATGTTGTTATCATTTTTCCAAACATGTCAAAAATATAATTTGTTTACCAATTAAATCTTTTTACCATATTTTTTAAAACATTTAACATTAAAATGTCAAGAGTAAACAACTGAAAAGAGCGGGAATATGTTGATGTGAGATTTAGAATAAAAAAACATTTAAAATTAAAAATACTTTTTTAAAACAAAAAATAGGCTGAAATTATTTTAAGGAAATATTTAATCTTTATTATAGTATAATAAATTAAACGATTTAGTTGTGGCATTTCCATTTTTAATTCTTAAAGATTTTTAAAGACTAAAAATCTTGGAAATTATCTTCAATGTTCTTCTTTGTGTTATTAATCGGGTTCGCCCTTTCACAAGTTTGCAATACTTATATGACACTGAACAGCAAGTCCAGTACTGAACTTTTCAAAAATACTCAAAGTAATTGCTACTTGGTCATCCCAAACAAAGTCACACTTGCTCCAATTGAGGTGTCTGGAAATGGAAAAATTATTATATTGAATGGTGGGTCTCTTACTGTTACATCATTTAGTTCTGGGTTTATAGACAACTCTGGTTCCTTGACATTAAAAGCAGTGACGACAAAATCAAAAATACAGAATAATTTTGGAGCGTTTTGTTCTTTAGACTTCAATTCAACCCAAACATTTGGGTTTTTGAGTAATTGTGGTACTTTGATTTTCTCCGAATCAAGTGCAAAACAAGACATATCTGTTACATTTAAACAAATATACACAACAACGGGATTTATTGTTAATCCAAGATACCAACTCACTTTTGAACTTTTAGGGACTATGGGTGCAGACTCCGACTTTGAAATTACATCAAGAAAATACAAAATCAAAGTCGATCAAGTCGATTCCAACTTGATCTTCAATCAATTCCACAATATGATTTACTTCCAAAAGACTTTAACATCACATGAAACTGTTACTTGCATTGCAAGTACAACTTTACCAATGACGGTTCTGACAAATCAACAAGACGAAGGTATCATTTGCCCTTGCCATTTACTTGATGTTTCTTGTAATTTGAATTATGGAAACATCAACACAACAATAACCCCCTCTGATGGAATCAAAATTAATGAAATTACTGGAAATGAAATTACAATCATGGGTAATAGCTCTTCAGTTCCAAGAGTTGTGATAAACTCGTTAAAAGCAACAAAATCTCATTTACAATATCTCTTGCTGACAATTACAACCGCAAGTGGAACAATTGACACAGTAAGAGGGTCGCTTTCTATTGCAGCATATTACGGAAATTCCCTTTCAAGTTTATACACAGAATCAGTTATTTCCTCAAATGTTGCTTCTAATTTTAGTTTCAGAGGAAGATCATTAGTTATACTTGCCTCTTCCCAAAAACCCACTATTGTGACAATTGATAATGTAGCAGCTACTATCATTTTTGGTCCAATTCCATTTGGAGCTGATATTACACTTACCAATCATAGTGTCCTTGACCTTACAAGAATCACTGGAATAACAAACGGTTGTGATATCAAGGGAGATTCAAAAGCAACAGATGCAACAATTTTACTCCCCGTACTTGAAGATCCTATTAAAGACCTTAAACTTGATGGAAAACCTTGGAAAGTTTCATGCGATAGAAGAATGTTGACGTTGACTGCTTCAATGAAGGATTCAATTGAGAAATGTTCAGAATGTGAAGTTGGAGATATTTATAATGGTGTTCATTATAATTGTTTGAATTATATAACAAGTGGATTGAATTATCTGAATGTCACAAAAGAAAGCGCTTCTCTCTTTGATAAAAACAAACTAATTGTTAATAGAGATGGACTTTTGATTACCCAAACTACAAATTTTCTTGAATTGGATTTAATGAACAGACCAATTTTTTACCTGACTTCAGTTTCAGAACAAGTCTATACAGTCAAAATCATGAAACTATCAAATTACAATTCAATTACACTGGAAAACATTGTTCTAGATTTACAATCTATTACTGAAAGTATCAAATTCGACACTTTAAAATTGATAAACTCAGTTGCGAAATATCCATCTCTTGTGAATGACGCAGATAAAAAAGTAGAAATTGAAAATTTAGACATGGATTCTAAAAGTAAGGTAGAGGTGCCAACTGGATATACACTCATTGTTGGGAGTGCACATTTCAATATATCTAATATAGAAGGAAATATTGTTAATCCATTGATTAACACGAAAAATTATGCTTCTTTTGTGGTCAAAGGTATTGTCTCCGTTACAAATCCACCACTTACAGAGTATTATGCAATGATCGCTTTGGGTGAAAATACTCAAGTATATCAAGGTTCTCTACCACCAGAAATCAAAAACAAGTGCTCACAGAGAGCTCTTGTGTATAACTCAGACGCTCCAACATTCAATTGTTCTATATTCCCTGTTTTGCAGAATAAGATTTGCACTGTCGACTCAACTTATTTGAAGGACTCTGTAGATCTTGATAAAGATGTGTATTTGTCCAACCCCGATAAGGCTTGCCCGTGTTACAACGACATATCTGGTAAAGGTGGGGACTGTCTCATCCACCTTGAAACTACCTCTGCCACCCCAGTCACAGTTATGGCAACAAAAGATGAACACAGATTTACAAAAATGGAACTTACTGGAAACTTTGCTTTGAACCTCAAAGTGCTTGTCATCTACTCGACACTCACGTTGAACGGTGGAGATGTGACAATAAATTCAGATTCAAACACGAAAATTGCTACAATTGAAATTACAAAAACTACAACACTTGTGCTCAACACATCAACAACAATTGGAAAGATCATTGTTAATGATGGTGTTGAATTCACTCTGAAATGTTATGGTGATACATTCATAGAAGCTTCAAATGTTGGAGCTTTTGGGCTTTATGTTGGTAAAACGTTGTCGATCAGAGGTGCAGACACTATTGTTACAATCAATTTGCTTGATGTCAAAATGACTGCGACCCAAAAGAGTAAGATATATATCCTTGGAGGCGCCAAGTTGAACTTCAGCGAAGCAACAGTCAGACTTGAAAAGAGTTTGGAATTCAAAGACATTTCTGTGATTGAAGCTGATAATGTCGATTCAATTACATATGTGAACAAAACTATTGAAAAAGATCCAGTCAAAATAATAATGTCCGGTAATGCTGCGGCTTCAACATGCACTCCACTGGCACTTTTTACTGTTGCTTCACAAACAGAGAAAAAGTTCAAAACAGACAACTCGGACTTGGGATGTGGTGGGTCGATGTGGATCATCTGCCCAAATGATCCCAAAAGAACAATTTATCTATGTATTGGTTTTACAGAGTGTGTTTTTGTTGATCCTGTCAATACAAATGAAAGTATATCTGCTTCTGAAAGTGATTCCTATGTCAACACAAGAGACTGCCCATGCTCTAAAACAACTGGTTCAGTTTTTATGTCTGGTTGCAACACTAGAATACCAGGCACACTTTCGGGAATGACAATAACAAACATCACTGGCAACTTCAGGCAACTTAGGGCAGAGGCAAGTGTCAACTTAAATATTAGGGATATTACTGTAAAAGAACTCATGTTAAGAGGAAAAGTGGTTATTTCTTCAGACCAAATTATTAATAACGACACATTTACAGACGACACAACGTATAGTGGATTCGGGTCTTTAACTGCCACTGTGTTGAACATCTACACTAAACAACCAACTAAATTGACCTTCAACGTTACAAGTAAAATATTAAGAACCAAGTCGAGTGAGACAGCTTCGTTATTAATACTCTTTACTAAGACTTCTTATATTGGACTTGGTAATATTGGAAATAAACCAGAGGATGATGGTAAAGTTTATGCATATCTTGGAAATTCCACTTCTGTTACTATCAACACTGAACAGGACTCGGAAGATTTAGAAGCCAAATTTATACTGGAACTTGCTTCTGAAGTAGCGAAATCTGATTTAATACTAAGTGGAAATTTGCCATATAAAATTGATGGAGACTTCATTGCAAGATCTCTTGTGGTGAGCAGAGGAAGCTACAACAACACTATTAATGCACTTCCATTCATACAACTTGACGAAAATCACAAATTTACAGTTGAGTCGTTCTCGGTTATTCCATTAGAACTTCAAGAATATGTAGTGACGTACTCCTCTGATATTTACCAGGTCAGTGTCAAAAACCAAGACAAAATGGCTCAATCAATTCAACTTGACCTTGACCACTCAATGTTGCTTTACAGAGGAAGTGCAGATGACGAGACAAGACCACCAATTATGTGTGAATTGACTGTGCCAAAAACAAAAGAACAAATACCAACTGCTTTTGTCAAGATGGAAGGTGAAGACAACACAACAACAATTGTGTCTGTTGTGCAGTACAACGAGACTGTAGCAGACAACGCAAAGATATACAACAGAAGTGGATGTCCATGCAATGGAAGATACTGCGTGACTACAATAACAGCAGAATACACAGCACTGATCAATGCAACTACAATTGGATCCAACCAAATTAATCAATTCATTGTCAAAAACACTAAACCAGTTGAAGTTGTTGCTGAAACACTTAGCACAAAAATAATGACAGTCAATGGGGATGCACCAGTCATATTTTCAATTGACACTTTGACCGTTGGTAAGACATTTGAATTCAGTGCGGACACCGTCAACATGACATTCAACAACACAAAGAAGATGAGCATTGCACCATTCACAATCAACCAACCACAAGACTCAAACAAATCAATCCATGTAGCACTGTACTCACGCAGTTCGTCACTCTCTAACAACTTTGAATTCTCAAAGGTTGATGTGTTTGATGATTTGGTTGTGGAAGATGCAGCAGACAACGAGCGAATGGCACTGTTTGTGACATCGTCTGCATCAACAAACATCACCAACTTGGAGGTGAGCAACGCACGACTCTATCTCCAACAGGGCAAATTCAACATCCTTGACAACGAAGTTGTCTTGCTCATCAAAAAGCTAGAGGCATTCCCACTGATGTTCTCAACTGGTGCCTCAGTCAGTTGGCCAGAAGGCACAATCAAGATCGTTGTCGACCCATCACTCCCCAAAGACGTGCCAATCTTCATCATGAGAGTTGGTCTTGGAAAGAACTTCACAGCTGAAAACGGCGTGAAATTCACTGTTGTAGAAGGAACAAAAGCAACTCATTTGAAGAGCGCGTCATTCTCGTCATACACCATCAAACAAATCTGTTCGATTTATGTTGCACTTGTGCCAAGCGATTTTGTCGAAGCAGGATATGAGTGCCCAACAGATCCAACTGATGCAGGAGAGCAAAACAACCTTGAACCAATCATTAAAGATGATGTGCCGACCTGGGTCATTGTCATCTTGATCATCATCGGTATCTTCATTGTCATCGTCGTCATCTTGTTTATCGTCTTTGTTGTTATTGCAAGAAAGATCCTGTTGAGGAGAAGAAACTTGAAAGTGTTCAACGACGAAGACAACCTGTTCTTCCAAAGCGCAGAAGAGTCTACCGAAGAAACCAAAGAAACAACAAAAGAAGAAGCTAAAGAAGAATCTCAGAAGTCGGAAGAGTCTTCTTCGGAGTCTTCTATGTCTTTATCATCAAAATCAGACTCTAAGTCTGGTTCTGGAAGTAAATCTGGAAGTCAAACAACAAGCAAGCCACAAAGCAAATCAGACAAGAAATCGGAGACTAAACCTGAAAGTCAACCAGCGAACAATGGGGCGGAAAGTAAAACGGACGAAGAATCAAAAAACAAAGAAAATTCAAATGATCAAGACAACAAGTCTGAAAATAAACAAGTTGAAACTGTTGCAGAACCAAAACCTGAAAATACTCACGAGCTTTCTTAATTAAGCATGGCTATTATAGTCGTATTTGATGGTGTTCCTTAAAACTAATTAATAATAGTTTTATTTTTAAAAAAATATTAGTTTCGATCAAATAGATTAATATATAACCATACAAATAATATTATGGAATGAATAACAAATTATAAAATTATAATATATTATAGTAACAAATAACTCCATAAACATGAAATTATTTTTGATTCTATAAAAATAGTTTTGAGTTTAATTACTTTAAATAAAAACTATTAATAATACTTGAAACTTAATAAAAATACAATTCTATTGAAACATCAAGTTTATTTAATTAAAACAATAGTTTTACAAACTATATATAAAGGTATTTATTTCTCTACTATTCTTTGTTATAAAAAACTTGAAATGAAGTTATATTGAACACTCAAAAAAAAAAACAGAGACTACATTGATGGGTACAACTCCATCACATTTTCCTACAAAATCTAAGAAAACTGGAGTCATCATTTCTAAATCGACTCTTGATGTTCCTTCGTCTTCATTAATCACTGAAAGTATATGTGATTCTGATGATGACTACGACTCTTTGCGTGTTTCGTCTCTCTTGTCAAAAAGCGCTACACCAACTACTCGGTTCAAACGCCGAACAAAAATCCAATCGATTGACAACATGGGCTTTGACACACAAAAACACTCGAAACGAGCTTATAGCCAATCCCCCTCTCCAAATCACTTCAATAAAGAAAAGTTCGAAAAAGTTGGGAAAAATGAGAAAGTCGATTTTTTTAAAAAATCGAAAAGGTCGACTTCCGCTCGAGACTCCTTACGAAACTCGTTGAGAAATTCCCCGAAGAGCACCCCATCGCCACAGATCCCGGAAACTTTCATTCAAAATGCATTAGATTTGATTCATTCGGAAAAGATGAGTGTTGTCTTTGATACTGAAATTGATGGATGGGATGCGCGCGAATTAAATGCGCACATCTGTGGGTTGAAGAATGTCCTCTTTTTAATATTCATTCCAAACGAACATCCACTTGGCTTCTATTCTAAAGACATCATCCCACTCTCTACACAATTCGAGTGCACTCACGTCACATCATCAAACACTTTTATATTCTCCGTCGATGAAACCGGAGACATCAAAACGTACTTTAGTAACTCAAATTCTCAACGAAGTTTCACACTTCACTCAAATGAAGAAAAGAACTTCTTGTTCACGTGTTATGCCGCATTCTGGATAACTTCAAATGCAAAGATATACCCACACAACGCAGCATTTAAAACTTTCCCAAAACTCCCGGAAGTGTTCTCTTCATTAAAGAGAAGTGGGACAGATTGCTCCAAATTTGTCGTCGTTCAACTCTCTGATGCTTTGTAACTTGTTTGTCTTCAATTCTATATTTCTAGTTCTTTTATAATTTAAATCAAAACGTCAAACTCAACGTACCATTTTTGTAATTAATTAATTATTAAATATAATTTTAAAAAACTATATCAAAAGCCACATGAATTTGGTTTTAAAAATGTAGTTATTTTATTCTTTCGATATTGTATTCAACTCTTGACCAAATGATACTATTTAATACTAATTAATATAAATATGTTTACCATCAAGTATTATTTGAATTTCAATAGTTAAAAAAAGATTGTCGTGTTTTTTTTTTGTCGCAAAGCATGAAACAAAAATGTGGATTTTTGATAATGAGTCTCTTCATTTTTGCTCATTTTAATGTTCAAATATTCGGCTTAATCTATTTGAAACTTTTCTTCGATTTTTTATGGTTATTTTTATAGTTTTAATATAGTTTAGTAATGGTATATTTGTTTGCTTTAACAACAAAAACGATTTTGTAATAGTTGTTTTTTTCGCTTCAAAACCCTTTTGCACACTTATCTACTTTTTACTATTCATAGAGTTATATTCCAAATCTTAAAAAATACCTCAATTTTGTGAATACAAATAAACTTTTTTTATACCATACAAAAACTGATCACTAAAACCCAAATCCATTAAAAAAAATACAACCGTTCATTTTTTTCTCAAAAATTGAAAAGAACAACGAACTTCAAAAAATGAACTGAAAATCGAATTTTGCATTTTGAAATGTCGAAAGAACGCCATCTGACTCATATTCCAATCAGTACAACACCCACAACAAACTCTTCACAAGAGTCTTTGGCGTCTCATACAATGAGTGACAACGTTAGTGAGGATCGTTCGCGCTCCACATCCCAAGATGGAAGTTCCTCCAAAAACCACAGCAAAGAGCCCAGTCAATTAGCTTCTTTCACTTCAAATATAGAAAAGGATATTTCCACTGATTTTGTCTTATATGGGACATGTCCTTATTACGTCGATGTCCCAAAGGTAAGGAGAGTCTTTGTAGCTGGTCCTCGTATCTTTTACTTATCGGATGAAACGGCTTTCTTTTCATCTGCCGAGTCTCCAGCCGCTACTAAGACTGCTTCAGTGAGCAGAAGTTCGACTGAAGTTGCTGTGGGGCCTCACGCGTTTTATTTCATCTACAAAGGGAAAGTGGGGAAAGGGAAGAATCGGACGTATTCCACAGTCGATGGGATAGTAGCGCCAGAGCACATCTTTGGGAATGAGAAGGAGCTCTACATCTTAGATCGATTTGGGGAGTGTTACAAACTCTCCCGCGACCAGAGAACACGGTTGGCGTATGACACCACAATTGTTCGCGTTTGTTTGTTAGATGACCTGAAGCGGTGTGTTCTCCTCAGTGATGGGCGTGTCGATTCGAAGATTAAATTTGTGAACAAAGAAATGTTCATTGACGTTGGTGGGAAGAAACGTGTATGGGGACTTCGGATGAAAGATTGTTGTGTAGAGAACACCGATGGGTTAATTTTAGACCAACGGATGTTACGGATATACTCTGGGTATGAAGAGATAGTTGGGGAAGATGAGAATTTCAAATTGTGTTACTTAAAAATCGGGCCAAATGGGAATTGTTATAGTTGGGTGACACTAGGGATGTGTGAAGGGAGAGAGATATCAGCGGGAGATGGGTTTGTGATAGTAGGGAAGAACAGATCTTCATTTTGTTTTGCTCCTCTGCTTTTGGAGATTCGCAAAGCAATTCGACAAATTCAAGGGTTTCAAAAGTTCTATGAATTTCCCGTTGTCGACTTGGATGAACCCAGCGAGAAATTAAAGAGAAGTGCCACGGAAAGAATCGATAAAACAGAACGAATGAAACGACAGACGACAACAGCAGCGTTCGATGAGACTAAACCACGACTCTCTATATACATCGAAGGGTTTTGTAAAGTATTCAAAACTCTTCTTTCAAAACTCTTAAGTCTCAATTCGGAAGTATCACGACTGTATGCAGTGCCGAATAAAGAATGCACGTTTGGCCAAATTTTACATCAATTTTTGGAGGAGACAGTACCCCTCTATATTCCACTTGCTAAGGAATTTGCTCAATTCCATGACCAAGCACTTCAATGGTATGTCAACGAGAACCCATTCCGAATTTTCGAGCTGAAAATCCCACAAGAAGTTGTGAAGACCATTTTCGACAAGAGACCAGACATTTTGAATGTCGTGTTCAATCCATTCAAGTTGCTCAGTAAACTCCTCTCCACCTTCGAGACGTTGAAATCGAGTTTCAATTACATCTCCGAAGAAACAATTTGGAATAACAAGAACATCATTTTCATTGAGAATTTGCTAAGTCGGTTGAATGAAGAAATTCGTCTTGGGAATCCAGTGACATGGAGTTCATGGTTTGGGGATGACACTGGACATATGGTGATGAGTACTGGCAGTCTCGATGACTTTGTCAACTTACTCAAAACCGATTTGAAGTTCGACCCCGAGTTCAGAGAAGTCTTTGTGAATACCATCTCTCTCTTTTTCAGTCCCGACAACGTTTTACTCAAAATGATACCTTCAAAGGTCGATACCCTTTCCAAAAGCGAAATTGTCAATTTACTCGAAACTTTGAAGCTTTGGCTCGAGACGGATCCGTTCCAGTTTTCCAATTTAGAGCAAGCGAATAAACGACTGGACACATTTTTAGAACTTGGGAAGAAAGATTCAAATGGAGACCTTAAAAAGGAGATCATCGTGTTACTTGAGATGGCTAGAGGGATGAAGAATGAGATCCAATTCAAAACACCGAAAATAGAGACATTCAATTTCTTGCCAAAGGACTTCTGCAGCGGGTTTAATGACCATTTGCCATTTGCAGATATGATGACTTACACCCACCATTGCATTTTTAATAACATCTCTGTACAAGAATATATCCAATTCTTTAACTCAAATGGACAAACTCCAAATATTAAACACATCACTGTGTGCTTCAATTGGTTGTCAGAAACCCTCTCTAAAATGATCAACGACTGCGCTATTAGTTTCCAGACACCATTTTTCAATTTCATTATGAAGACCGCAGAACGGTTTTATGTCACTAATAACTTCTTTGGTCTCTGCGCTATTGTCTTTGCGTTCCATAAGATACCAGACTTCGATTATATCAAGAAAAACGTTTGTTTTATAGTATTAATATAATTTAATAATAATATTATTATATTAAAATATTACAATTATATTATTATTATATTAAAAGACACTCAAAACTAGTTGTCAAAGGACACACAAACTTCTATTGAAAAATTTGATTCACTATGTTCGTTCGAAAATAACTACCAAGGTCTTAGAAAAGAAATGGAAAGGGCAAAACCCCCACTTGTCCCATTTGCTGGGATCATGACTAAAGAATTTTTGGTCATGAACGAAATGTATGCCTCAGTCATCAACAAAACAGGACAATACAATTTTAATAAGCTGAGAGCTATTTATAAACTCATTAAGAAATATGAGGCGTACAAAAACAAAGCGGTCTCGGTACCTAAAAATGCACCAACAGAACTTTTTGAAAAGATCAAAAAAATCCACGGGATTTGATCTGTGTTTTTGTGTGATTTGATTATTTCTTGTCTTTTTTATTGAAGTCTTTTATTTTGGTATTTTATCTACTTTTTACTTGTATTTAAAGTTTAAATTAAACACAAAGATGTTGTTACCAAAATGTTGCATTTTTAAAAGACTTTTTGGGTGCTAAAAACAGTCACTACTATCTTCAGAAAAGAAGTGGTTTTGTTGTGTCTTTGTCAATTACTTTTGTAATATTCAATTATGTCCAAAACAATTGAATGAATAGTAATGTTTAAAATAATATGTAATTTGTGTATTTTGGTATTGTGGAAGTAATATTATAATCAAATAATAAGATATTGTAAAAGTAACTTTTAGCTTAACTTTATGTATTCAACAAAGTATCACAATTGTAAACAAAACAAGTGTTGTATTAAATTTTGGAAATGTCTTTGATTTAAATGTGTATAACGAAATAATCACTTAACGAAGATGACAAAAACTGGCTTCCCCCATTCCGACACAAAATGTGTGAATTGTATGATGACAAGAAACGTGTCTGCATTATCCAGAGAATCTACTGAAATAATGATAGACAAAGCTGCACTTGAAATAACAGAAAAAAATGTAAAGGAAAAACATAGTGAATTAAAAAAGACTGAAACTGACAAACAAACAGAAAAAATAACAAAGCAATTGAATATACCAAAGATTCAAAAACACACAATCAAAATATTTGGAAAACATTTGTATCAACCAAAAACTATACCAGACAAAACCTCGTATATATCAGTAACTCCACTTAACTTCTTTTATATAGTAGATCAAGTAGTATATGTCACTGGTGTGTTGGACTATAAGAAAAAGATCCCAACTTTGATACCAAAAGTATTGATGGGGGTAACAGGTTCTGTAAGACAAATAATAGCAAACCACAAGAAGATGATATTCATCAATGAAGGTAAAATATACTCGTCGAGTAATTTGAGCGATCCCAACTTGATTAAAAGAGTCAACGATCTTCAGGGGGTCGTTCAAATTAGTTGTTCAGAAAATCATTATGCAGCACTGACTTCACTTGGCCATGTGTATTTATGGGGAAAGAATCTGAAGTTCGAAATTGGTACAGAACGAGTTGTTCCGAATGATCGGCCAAGTCGAATTGAAGAAATATCAACGCATACAATCGTGAAAGTTGTATGTGGTAATGGATATACTGCATGCTTAAATGACAATGGAAAAGTAATTGTCGTTGGCAGTGAAATGTGTTGGAAATCCAACCAACGATTTGTTGATATAGTCCGTTTCAATGATCATCTTGCTGGACTCACAGCAACTGGAATAGTTATATTAGAAGATGGTACAATCATAAACAGTGACAATAAAATTACACGGATTAGTGAAGGACTTGGGAGTTTAGTTAGTGAGAGTTCAAACAAAATGTATTTATTGAAAGAATTGGAGTGGGTATATGTTGACAATATGGCCAAACAAGAGTGGAGTGGGTGTGAGACAAGTTTAGTGTGTTTCAACAGCAATAAAATGAGTTGGATGTGTGGGATGATTGAAACATTTGAACTGTATATTGAACAGCTCCAAGTAATGAAAGAAGTGTATATAGTGAAACTAATTCAAATAGTAAATGAAAATAATTTAGACAATGATGAGACGAAAGAACTGAAGAAGAACAAGTTATTCAAGAAAGAAAAGAAGAAAGAAAGACCAAGTCCTCCCTTTAAAAATGGGTTTTGTGTTATTAAAAGTGAGACATTCGAAGTCTTTGAAAAATTGTATAAGACTTCTTTTAAAATGTATGAAACGTTGTTAAGAAATTACAATTCAAAACAGCCATTTGAACATACAGAGTTTTACTTCTATTTCTTTAAAAAGATGTCATCCAAGTTAATATCATTTGCAGACACATTTCCAAGATACACAGAGATGTTCAACATAATAACAGTGATGAAAAGTCCTTTATATAATGAATTAGAAAGCTTTGGGGCGACACTTTCAGAAGACGTTTCAACACTGTTATTCAATAAACATGTAGACCTCCTTTCAATGGTATTGGTCCCTTTCAAATTTCTATCTAAAATGTATAAAAACTCCACTCAATTAAAGAATATGAACAAAGCCTGTGCCCAAATTATTTTCGAGAAATTTGAGGAGGTATTGTTCCGGTGTAACGAAAGTCTTAAATTGGAGAACATTAAATCGTTTGAATACGTTTATTCCAACCCACGTACTCAAGAACTATTGGTTCAACTCTCTTCATTGGAAGACTTAGTTATTCAATTAACTCGACCAAATTTTAGAGAACCAAAATTTCGAGATATCTTCTTATTGATGTTCAGACTCTTCACAACACCTGAGTGCTTTTTAGCATATCTGTTACCTCAATCAAACAACAAAGAATCTTTTGAAACCAAAATGCAGACTTTGGACGTTTTGAAAGAGTGGATGGAATGTTACCCTTTGGACTTTTTGAACATTAAAAGTGGTGAGCAGAGTTTGTTGTATTATCTGAAAACAATGAAAGAACCATACTCTGCCATTCAGAAAGTTAAAGATGATGTTTATCATATCTTTGAGAAGACTAAACTCCAAACAAAAAATGAAGAATACCCGCCAATCACTTATTTGAATATTTTGAGGTATGAAGAGTTTCTCCTCGACCCAACCAAAGTGACAAATACAATGACTTATGTCTATCGAAAGCTCTTCCTTCGCATTACCAAAGTCGAGTTCTTATATTACTTAGACAAAGAATTGAAAGAAAGCGCCGTGAATATTAAAAATATGATCGACAGCTTCAATTATCTTTCACAGATGTATTCACAGATGTTTAATGAAGCACCAAAAGATAAGCAACTTCTGATCCTTGAAAACACAATCAAGATGTTAGACATATTTCTTCTCAATGATAGAAATTATCACGCCATATGTGGAATAGTATTCGCTTTCATCAGAATTAAAGAGATGGACTCATTTAAGAACAAACTATCTTTAGACCTTAAAAATAGACTCGATTTTTTTGAGAGTTTGTGTAGTTTTAATAACAACTACAAAAACTTGAGAGACACAATTGGAGTGGACGAGTCCCCTCTTCTCCCCTTTATGGGTATTATAAGTAGAGACTTGGTATTTGCCTCTGAATATAATGCATCAAAAGAAGGCGACCTTTTCAATTTTAATAAGCTTAGAATAATGTATAACGTTGTAATGAATGTCATCAACTACCAACCCAACAACGTCATTTGTTCAAACAACATCGACGAAAAGTTTCACAAGAAGTTTTGCCAATTCCATGGTGTGTGAAATAACAAATTTTGTATTTTTGTTTCATGTTTATAATGTTATAGATGACTTTATCTTCTGTACTCTTATGTTTATTCTTCTCAAAAAGACAAATTCTATAAATTTAGTTTTATTAAATTATATAAAAAATTATGAGTCATGAATACCTCAATAATTGCTATAAGCAAATAAAAAGTATTTCACAAACAATAGCAGGTTTTCTAATGATTTTTTGTTGAATATTAAAATGTTTAATAAAATCAACTATACACATTTCTTTCAGATATAGATATATATACTTAGTATTATATGCTAAGCATAATTCATTCGTTAAAACCACGGACTGAATTCATAAAGTTTGAAAGGAACATTAAATTCACAAGAGATGACTGCAATGAAGAACATCTTGGAATGTGTTTTGGGAGAAGTTGCACCACTTGCGAATGTCATTGATATGATTGTTACAGATGAAAGAAGTAAAACACATGACTTAAATATCCAAGAACTCTCTTTGAGCATTTTCAAAAGCAAATATTTTCAAGATCTTAAGAAAATGGCACAAGACTCCTTGGATGCACTTTCTCGGTATGAGGCACACTTAACATACAATGGAAAGTACATGTTTTATGCTCCAATTAAAGAAAAGGTTTTGCCGACATTTGCGATGTTGCAAAAGACACTTTTGATATGTGAAACTTTATGCAATGATTGGTTAAATTTGGAAAATGTTAATAGGGCATTTGTAATTGAAGGACTCATCTCTGCTGTGCAAGAAATTGCTTCATTTTCGACTCAAGAGCAACTGTGCCGTGCTCTTAATGCGTTTTTAAAGTTCGATGTGGAGACTTTCATTGCCTTTCAGAAGAGTATCAACAAACAAGAGGAGGATAACAAAGCGAAGAGATATGGCGACCTTGAACGACTACTTGAAACAATCACAACCAAAATGCAAAACCGACATACAGTGTTTCCCAAAAGCAAAAAAGAGTATTTTGATTCTATTGTCTTTGAAAATGAGTTGTTTAATGAGAACAGACTCTTATTTGAAGAAAACATGAGAGCGACTTTAAAACATGAAAATGTTAAGGCAATGGCGGGACAAAAGAGTAAAAAATCACTTAAAAAAGAACCCACGGAGGTGCATCTTCCAGACGTCATTTCATTCAGTGTTATTATTGACAATAAACGTATTATAAGCACTGTTTTGATCCGTGAGGATGACATTAATGAAGACGTTATAATCACTAAAAAGTACTTTCCGTACCTTGAAAACGACGGAAGAGTGTTTTATGAAAGGAGTTCATTATATGGGAGTGTCATTGGAATGGAAAATCCAGTCCCTCTAGCAAAGACGAAAGTCGACAAAGTGATTCAAAAGAAAGACGAAAGTAAAAAAGTGAAAACTTCAGTCGACCAAGAAAGTGAAAGACTTCAAAAAGCCAAAGAAAAACACAAATTACTCAAACAAAGTCGAGTCAAGTCTTTACTTCACGAAATATCACGGATTTCTTGTGATCGAATTCAAAAGAGTGAAATCAAAGAACAAAGACAGACTTTTAAAACTAGTTCTTATAGAAGAACTAATGAAGAACGTTTAGCAACTTCAAGCGATCATGGAAAAATGGTTTGTAGGTCTGTTCTTACAAGAGACAACGTTAAAAATTCAAGGCCATTTACTTTAAATGGAATTGAACTAAAAGAAACTATTGAAGGAGTACAAGCCGAACAAGGCCAAATACCTTTTAAAGAAACAAATCAAGAAGTTGAGCTATAAGAAGCTCTTTCTATGTTATGATTGAGTATTTATTCTTACTTCAGATATCCAATACAATCTTCTAGATGTGTTGGGCTATGTTATACAACAAGAATCAAAAACCAATCACTTGTCCTTCACTTTCTTTACTAACTTCTTCAGCTCCGCTTGCCCTTCAACGTTGTTTTCTACACAGAACTTCAGCATCTCCTTTCCTAATTCGTAGTCTTCAAAGCCAAAATCAATATCCACAACACACCCATATGACAACGATATTTTGTTAATGGCATGTTTGAAGAATTCAAACGACGCGGAAAGCTCATAGAACACCGCAAAGTCGACCAACCGCAAATCGGCGTTTTTGACATGACTATACGCAACAACAAGGACTTCGTACTTCCGATTCTTAAACGCATTAATCGAAGCGAGGACATACTTTTTGCCCCTTATATCAGTGAGGCACCCAACACCAACCCCACAAAAATTGATTTTCTCACAAACACTTTCGGCTTCCTCTGCGGTCGACACAAATACGACTCCGCGCTTCCCAAGGTTGTTTTTAATGACTTTGACCAGTTGCTTTTCCTTAGCCTGTGGTGACATTCCTGAGTGAAGTCTCATCGTGATTTTGGTAAAGTCGATTTCCCCAAATTGGTCTCCAATTTTGACTGTCACAAACTCTCGATTGATTTTCCCAACAAGATCAACGCACTTTTGTGCAGTTGTGGACGAGAAGAGAGAGAATATCGTGTCCGGTCTAAATTGGCCAAAGATCGATGGCAACCGCTTGTCCCACTCTTTGTCCAATTCAATGGACTCCGCCAAGTCACTGCAGACCAAGAGTCGGCAGTTGTCGGTGCTCAACACCTTTCTTCCCAAAAAGTCGAGTAAACGAATAACAGTACAAACACAGATGTCGCTATCGCCTTGTGCGGCTGCAATCGAGTCGTCAAACGCTATTTTACCAGTAATCTTCAGAACCTTCAACTCGTTTTGAGCACAAAAGTCGGTGATTTTAGCAGCGATATCATCCACCATATTATACCTGTGTGTCACAATCATAACAGATGGACCAGGTCCCGTCTTTTCAGCATGGCACTTCTTCGCAATGAGTAACGACGGGATCAAATACGAATAAAGCCTTCCCGAGTTGATATCAGAAGTTGCAAAGACATTCTTTGCACTCAGAAGGAGTGGCCAACAGATTGATTGTAAAGGGAGGGGTTGTTTGACACCGACCAGAAGGGGGTTGCATTCTTCTGGGAAGTTGGTTTGGTCCATACTCAGCACAACAGGGGACTTTTGTGTTACATTTGTTGTTACGTTATTTTCCGTGTAAAAGGTGTTAATAAGTGTTTGGTCTGTAATAGGGTTTCCTAAATATTCGGTATAGTTTTGAGTGAATTGAGGGAGGGTTGAGAGATCAAAAGACTTTGGTTCTAACACAGAAGGTACGTCTGGTATCACTCTCTTTTGCTTGGGTGTAAAGTCACGACGTTGAACAACAGGGCGGAAATTATTAATTGGTTTGTTCGGGTGCGCACCACCGCTGCCGCTCATTGAACGACTTCTGTCGACGTCACTCTTTTCTGTTTTCTTCGAGCGACCACGTTTTCCTTTTCCACCTAATCCCTTGAGTATGTCCATGAATTGTTGAAACTTTTTCGTTCAATTTTTTTTAATATTTTTATTAATAAAAAGGGTTGAACTATTAATGATTTTTTTTAATTATTGTTTTAGCTGAAAAAAGTATTAAAAAATCGGGTTTCTCTAGTAATTAATTAATGTATAGAAAAACAAATTCTATTTTATAGTTTTTTATTAATAAATTATTAATATTATTTTGAGTGTATAATGGACATATTTTCAATTTTTTTAGATATAACTCAAGTTAATTTTAAACGTGTTTTTATTGTATATTTTGGTAATAAACTTAATAACTTTGATAATTCGAAAATATGGTACCAACCAAAATAAAACAATTAAAAACCATATAGTATTTTATAGTAAAAAATATTATTATTAAATAATAAAAACCATTTAAGAAATGAATAATATATTTTAAAAATATGACGGTGAACTGGAATTTCTCCAAACCAAATATCATGCCGGAATTTCAAGACCTTCCAACAACCATCCAGACGAAGATATTTCAATACCTAATGCCAAGTGATTTGATATCAATGGCGTCGACTTCTAAACAAGTAAGGTGTGCGATTATGTCAGACGATTTTTTGGTCCAACTTTCTTTAATAGATAACTATGAGGAATACGTGAAAACGCAAGACTCTGAACAACTTTTGGAGTTTGAAACATTGCAAGAAACGACTGCGACAGATTGCTTGGAGAAGACATACCCAAAACTCGTTGAAAATTACATTACAGAACAGAAAAAACAGATCCCAGGCACCAAAGTATTTACAAAGGAATTTTTGGAAGTGTTCAGCACGAAAAGAATATTTAACGTTTTGAATATATTCTTGTGTATTCCACTTGTGTTGTATTTTTTGCCAAATGTCGGATTCTTTTCATCATTTTTTGGAGTCGGGGCGGTCATTACATACCTCCTGGAAATTAAGGAAACACTCAATAACATCCACAAAGTAATTTACCACAAAGACACACTCATTTATCACGTGTTGCTGATACAATGCTTAATTAAGTATAAAGAAATTATCGCATTCATTTTGACTGCATTGCTCTTTCCAATTTCTTTGGGGCACCCAATCCTTATGTTTGTAGTTGTGTTGGTGTGGTACGCCTCGCCAAAACTGATCAAAAACGAAATGATGAAAATTGTTATTGGATTTGCAGTTGCAGTTCTTGTCATGACACTTTGCTCAGTAATTTCAAATTCTGTCGTTCTTTTATTAGCAATTTCTTGTGTACTTTTGGTGCCATATGTAATAGAAGTTGCTGTGTTCAAATTATATAACAAAAATGTGTGTCCAAAGAACGTCGAGGAAATACTCGTTGGGTTGGCGGTTGGTGGAGTGATTGGGGTGATGGACACGATCGTAAAAATACCAAGTATTACTGGAACTCTTGTTGGGCTTCTTATGGCAACAATAATAGCTGCTTTTATTTACACACATCAATCAAAATAAGTGAATTCTCTTTCATTTTTTATTTTAATTAAATTTAATTATAAAGAATTCTGTTTGAACGAAATTGTGTTATTTTTTTGATCTATAACGCTAAATTGAACTTTTTTAAAAAGTGCAACAGCTTTCGTATTGCAAATTGCTCAATTGGATTATTATCATTATTCAGTTTAAAAAAACTGTGTTACACCGCTTCCACTGATTTTATAGATTCAAATAATATTAATATAATAAAATGTATGGTACTGTTTACCATGAAGGCTGAAAATGCCTCGTGGAGACTTTTTCTGTCTGAGGTGGTAATTTGTATTATACCTTTTATTATAATGTTATTAATTATAATTATAAGAACGAAAGGAAGCGGTTAAATCGATAATTGCGTTTTTTATCCAACTTGTATTAGACAATTATTCTTTTGTGTTTTAAAATTATAATTTAAGTCAAAATTGATTAACGAAATAACATTTGAATGTTTTAACATAATTAATATTTTTTTTAATGAGTTTAACAATTGTATTTCAAAAAGAAAATATTTATATTTTAAAAAACTCAAAGCAACAAATAATACTTTATGAATAAAAATATGGTTACAAAGAAGTGTTATCAAAGATCTTCGGATGACAAAGAGAAATGTAAAACGAACAAAGACAATATCTTTTCACTCAGTATGTCATACATTTTAAGAAAATAATTAATACAATCTATTAAGGTGATATTATATATCATATTATTATTGCTATTTTTATTTTTTTTTGTAACCCAAATAAACAATTTAATTTATAAATTTCTTGTTGGAAAAAAAAGTAATATTAATTATATTTAGCCCGAGTTAAAATATGTCATATTGATCAACACTTCCAATATGCGTTTTAAACACTGTTGCAATGAATGTGTTCGATGTGGTTTAAAAGTGAAAACCTCAAAACAATAAAAATATTAATTTAAATTAATAGAATAAAAATTATTACCAATGAAAATAATTACAACAACTTTCCAATTGTTGGATGATTTGTTTCAACAACAATTAATAATATAAAATATTGTAATAAATTTATATAAAATAATAATATAAATCTTTTTGTTTGTAAATTATCCAAACAAAATTGTAAAAATGCCATAGTCACAATGTAAGATTTTACGAAACACAAAAGATCTATTAAAGAAAACAATTTATCAAATAAAATTATTACAATTGTTATAATTAATTTTTAATTGTTGTTAATAAATCAAACCAAGACCAAAAAATACAACAATCATTTTATTAAGAGTGAATTGTTATTACAATGAATAAATAAATGGGGTTTCACACACACAAAATGAAAATGCTGATATAAAATAACAAGATAAAAATTTCATACCAATTATTCTATTTTTATTTACACTTGTGGAAATTATTTTCGGTCTTTTTAAAATGAAAAAATCTTAAAAAATCCAATCACCAAGAAATGATTTTGTTCTATTTCCTATTATTTATGAAAAGTCTAAGTGTTTGTGTATGCTACCCTAAAACTGAGCTTTGTACGGGAGACTTTGTTAATACATGCAGAAAAGTACATACATGTGATGTTATCATTTTAATCAACCAAAATTTCACACTCACACAAGAATGTTTAAGCCAGAATGGAAAACCACTTACAGTTAACGTTGAAGGAATAGTAGGCTTAACTCTGTATTCTAATGTGTTCCAAAATGGCAATATATTGTCTCTTACTTCGTCTTTTAAACTTATTCTTACTGAATACAATGAATTTTATTTATTTGATATGAAAATGGAAGAAGATTTACTTGAAAATAACAGAAGAGATTCAGAAACACAATTTTTGAATAAAGATCGAAATAAGGTAACGAAACTGATAAATTCAAATAAATCAAAACGAAATTTTAATACCATGAAAAATAAAGATGGAACAACCAAAATATCTTTTGGTTCAATTCAAGTAAACAAGGATTTGACATTTAAAGACACAAATATAGCTTTTCTTGAGTCATCAACATTGGTTGCATTTTCCAATGTTATTATTCAAAACACAACTTTGGAAATGTCCGATTCTAGCATACTTTTTAATGGAAACGTTATCATTAAAAATAGTACAATATCAATAGGTGAAATGTCACATATATACACAATTGGAAACACGTTGTTTGGTACAAGCTCTTTCTTTGACATAAAGGGTGGTGATTATTATTTCAATGGAGACATCGAATTTAAAGATTCACAAATTCTGTTAAATGAAGGGGTCATAGCATCAGTATTTATGGCTACCCAAGAAAACAGTGAACCAACTTCCTTATTAAGACATAGAAAATGTATTTTAAAAGGGTCGGGGATTAAAGGAGTCATAGAAGAAGATCCAGTCAAAGAAGTGAATACAAACACGACTGTTATAATAACAAATGCAAACATCACTATATCAGAAAATTCCGTTTTTTTAAATGGAGCCGTTTGTGATATAACCGATAGTGAATTTGATATGAAAGGTAGATGGGAATGTAAAGAAAGAACTTTGGTTAAAGATACAAAAACGACTATTTACAATTCCACTAACTTCAATCCACAAAATAACATAAATAAATGTAATGTGACAACTTTAAGAATTGAAGGAGGAGAAGTTATTTTTACAAAAGATACAATTCAATTCACATCCTTTGATATTTTAAACAGTCAAGTGTTACTTGAAGACAATGTAAAAATTGGACTTTTTAATATGGGGAATACCGAAGATGGAAATCTTACAATTGGAAATAAAAACGAGATAAGAGTCATACACTTTTGGGGCAGTGAAGATTTTGCAAAAAGTGTTTCAGAAGTAATAGTTGGTGTATATGTATGGCACTTTCCAGATGAAATAAACAAGAAGATATCAGGTTTTCAAAATGGTTTCGTTATCCCTATTGTTGGATTTGAAATTCATGGTAACTCCGTAATATCTTTTGAGAGTATTGATGTACCAACTGAGGGAATTAAAAGGTCTATTGAACGCGTGAAAATGTCATACTTTATTTTAAAAGACAATGCAACCTTTATTTTGAACAACTCCGAAATTTATGTTGGATATGACATCGAACTACACAACGAATTGTTCGACAATTCCAGAATAATCGTTGAGAATTCTCAAGTGGGTTTTCACAAAACTTCATTTTATAACACAAGTGAAATTACATTAAAAAATTCATACATAACCACAAATGCCCATATGCCAACTGGCGCCAACAACGATTATATTGAGCAGGACCCAGAAATAAATCACTTCAATTTCCACGACAAATCTGTGATGAGAATATCTGGGAAACTCTATTTGAATTATCACTTTGATACCAATAGGTATGATTCTTCTGAAATTATCATTGCAGACGATTCTGAAATTTTTAGTTGTGGAAATGGTGGTGAACCTGTGTATTTTACAAAAGATTCAAGGAAAAGAGAAAAAAGTCAATGTCGTTCTTTCAATTGGGACTTTGTATCAGAAGAATCCAAATTAACAATTGGTGACAATTGTATTGTTAACGTTTATCATTTTGTTATGAGAAGTGAATATCACAATTTTACAATTGGAACCAACTCAGTTGTGTTGCCATATGTTTGGTATTTCCCTGAACTTAAAGAAGGAACTTTACCACAATTTGAAGTGGAAATAAATCAATTACATTTCTTTCTTGATTATCAATATGTCATTGAAACACAAAAAAATAATATAGATATAACTCTTCATGAACGTTCAACTGCAGTGATTAAAAATCAAGATGGTTTATGCCTTTCCTTGTTCGACAACTCATCAATGATGGTTTCAGATTCACAAGTTTATTGTTATGACTGGTTGGTGATGGGAGACAGTTCCCAGTTATCAATAAACAACTCACAAACATATCTGTATTTAAACATGGATAATAATTCAATGTTGACAATAAATAATTCTGTTATTGAATTGCTTGAACTTAATATGAACGGCAACTCAACAGTTGTGTTTCAGAATATTACAAAGTTGAATACACACTCAAAGTTAAAAATTCATATATTTTCGAACAATATAACACTCTTTGTACATACGGGTAATTTTGATATTGATATTCAAATAGAATATGAAGTGGACAATCTCAGGCCGTTCATCAACTTTCAAATTGGGAAGAATGTGATTATAAATACAAACTATTTCATGTACAATACAAGGAAATCAATAATTATGAGTAACGTCACTATAATCACATCAACTGTCTTATTATACGACTATTCAGCAGATGAATTACCATTTACATTGGTAAACAAAAATGAGGTATTATTTCTTTATGGTGAATCAAAGTTCGATGTTAAAAACAACGAAACATTCACATCATTTTGCACATTCGACAAATCACAATTATTTATCAACAATTTCATATTTAAATCACTTAATATTCAAATGTACAATGAGTCACATTTACAGTTAAAAAATGTCACAACAAATGTCATGTCTTATGCTCATTTTCTTGACAAATCAACAGCATCAATTGAAAACTTTAATATCAATGGCACTATTAGCACGTTTCTTGTTCAAGACGAAACCGTTGTCAAATTTACTGGTTGTTTTTTTAAACTGGGTACGTTTTTCACAGAAGATCATTCACATGTCACATTTGATACTTGTGACTCAACTGCTAATACATTTGAGGTTAAATATGGAAGTACATTGATTATCAAAGATTCTCATTTTAATGTCTTATATGGAGCCTATATTTATGGAACATATGAATTATATGGCAACATCACCTTTGAAGGATCTTCATACACTTTACTTGAAGCTTATTCGCAGACAATATTCCAAAGTGGAGCAACAACATCAAATCCTCTTGAAATAAAACAAACACCATTTTCCGAAGTCATTTTCAAAGAGAATACCGGTGTTCAAATCGTAACATTAAAAACGAGGATTGATGGTAAATTTGTAACATTTCCAAATACAGCAAAAATTGCAGCAAAATACCTTTATGTAAGTTTTGACATAGCATCTTATGAAGAGTTAAATACACTCTTTTCAGAAATAGGGAGTCTTGAAATTGGAGGTGGAAATGACATTGTTATAGACAAACAAATTATTGGCGTGAAGAATGAGTTGGGATTATATGAAGCAGCCACGGTTACGTTATCGAGTTCAACACCACTTTATTTTTCGAATATATATATTCACCATTATTCAATTATGAAAATCAAAGAAGGAACTGTAAACATTGATCTGTATTTGGATTCAAAAGAAACTTCAGTAATTATTGTTGAAAAAAATGCAATTGTAAAACCACAATATTTAAATAGTTATAATAGTTTGTCAATTGAAGGTCAACTTCTAGTGTCTCAAACATCAATTTGTAGAGGAGAAATGATACTTCAAAATGAAGGAACATTGAATACAATAAATTTGGTTTTTGATACAAACGAAACAAATGTTGTTGTAAATGATGCATCAATAGTTACATCTGCACTAGGAATTTATGGGAACAATTGTATATTTGAATTAGTTCAAAACAGTACTTTAATATACAACTCATTGATGTTAATTGTGTATAACGTGACATTTAAATTTGGGAAGGACTCTCGATTGATTGGGCAATCTTTTAAAGGTGGATCGACTGAGCGACCATCGGAGTCTGGAATCAAATTTGATACTATCAAACAAAAAATTGTCTTTGATGTTACGAATGCCAATATCAAATTTCCACTTATTTTAGCAAACAAAAGTGACTTTTTGGATATAGGAAATGTCGATTTTGAATTCACAAAAGAGCCAGAATTTTGTGTGGATTTGTTTTCGTTTGGAAAATTTAATAATGCTTTAAAAATAGCTTCAAATATGATAAATATGGGTATAATTAACAACCAAATTGTTCAGTTGTCACACTCTAAATTGTTGAGATACTGTCCTGTTGGTAAAGAAGACAATGAAGTAGTTTGCAAAATGTTTAAAAATAGGTATTATGAGGACAATTTAAATGGTGATAATTATGATTACAAACATTGTCCTTGCAACAATGACGAAACAACTGATTGCTATTTTGTTCCATTTTCAAATTCATTGAACACCCCCAAAGACATCGAACATGAAGTTAATATGACATTCACTGATTTAATTGAAACGGTCCAAGTTGGAACAGAGTTTCCCAAACAGACGTTGAATGGATGGTTTAACACTTTCAATTTCTTTAATAAGTTTGTGTTCACTCGAAATATGGCATCAACTCCATCAGATGTGTTGATTGAAATGGGTATTAAAAAATCAATTAAACAACCACTTGTAACAGTGGAAGTGCTTCCAAAATCGTTTTCATATGTCACTGCTAATATTGAAACCAATGAAGCAATTGTGATGAAGCAATTTACATCCACCAAGCAATTCAATTTTACCACAAACGTACCTTATGTACTTTTGGTTACTAACAACAAGATAAATTTTACAGACCATGGTATTTATACAACATTTAATTTCGATTCTGTATCACTTGATTTCACACATTTACATTCAGTGAAGGTTATCACAAAAGACCCAATTTCAGATGGAAAGTTCCACTGTTCGGAAACAATGTTTGAGGATAATAAAATAAAATGTAAAGGAACATTGGAATTGACGTGTAATGCAACAGAGTTTGCTGATTACGTGAATCAGGCATGTCATACCCAACCAGTAGGTTCAAAGAAGTGTTTTTCGATCACGGACTGCATCGCATGCAATGACAATTACATAATGGATGAAGACAACCACAAATGCATTCAAAAGGAGGACAGTTGTTTGTTTTCAAGTAGTGACGAATGCAGACGTTGTAAATTTGGATTTACTCTCATAAATGCGAAATGTGAAAGTTGTGCTGATCATTGTGGCATTTGTGATGACAGTCCATGTGATTTCTGTTACAACTCAGTGCTGAACAACGAAGGTAAATTGTGCGACATGATAAACGGATCAGAATATTATAAAGATGGTCAATTAATACAGTGTGACAATTCACATTTTATGGTTTCAAATAACATGTGCAGTTTATGTGAAACTTCAAATGAAAATTGCGAATTTTGTGACAACAATAAATTATGTAGTAAATGCAAAATTGGGTTTGTGTTTAATTCCAAAAATGAGTGTGTTTCGAAAAAATGTTCAGATATGTTGTGTGAACAATGTGAAGATGGTTATGTCTTTTCAGACAATGGAACTTGTGTTGCTTTTCCCAATAAATGTAAAACAATTCGCAAAGGAATTTGCATTGACTGTGAAGAAGGAACAACTCTGGTGGGTGGAGAGTGTGTTGATAACGCCATTGTTAATTGTATGAAATACACAACGTCAAACGGGTGTTTACAATGTGAAAATGGGTATTTTTGGGATTCAGGAAAATGTACTGAATGTAGTGATGAATGTAAAACATGTTTAAATAAGGCAAATAATTGCTTGACTTGTCCAGAAGGTACTTTTATATCCGAAGGAACTTGTTCCACCAATGAAAAGCTTGAGGGTATTTGTCTTCAATACGCTTCAAATGGAGGATGTGTCAGATGCAAAGAAGGTTACTTTAGAAAAGAATTTGATTGTGTCAAATGTGACGATGAATGTGAAACGTGTCAGTCCAAAGGAAGTTGTGTTTTGTGCAATTCAGAGCACTTCATGACATTTGAGAACACCTGCAAATTAAAAAGTCTAATCGAAGGTTGTCAAACGGACATTTCGAGTGTTTCTGGATGTCTTCAATGTTCGATTGGATATTACTTGTATCACAAAGAATGTTATAGATGTGATGATAAGTGTTTGACATGTGAAAATGCCTTCGAGTGTCTCTCTTGTAATTCGACGGTGGTGTTGTCCAACAGCAAATGTTTTGTCATTTCCGAAATTAAGAATTGTATTTCTATATTAAATTCTCAATGCACAAAATGTACTTTTTGGAAGGCTCCAAACGATAATGGTGATGGATGTAATACTAAAATTGTTTGGTGGGTACTTCTCTTGGTTGTTCTGTTTGTTGTAATGATTTTGATTCTTCTAATTGTTGTAACTGCTTTATTCACAAACAAAATGCTCAAAAAAATTCACCAAAATCAACAAGAACAAAATGTCTGTGTATTTAAAATAAATCGAAGTAATATTTCATTCCCATTTGAAGTTTGTGAATCTCTGGTTTCAAACAAATCCAAACTTACTTTCAAAGACGACAGCGACGCCATCCCCGTTGGTGAGGAGACGCGTGAATTGATATGCTTTGGGAATACAGGAGACTCGACAATGAAAGTACAAATCACCGTAAAGGAGGGGTGTGTAAAATATCAAATCCGTAGTCGTCCCAACATCATTACATTAAAGAAAGGTGAAGCGTGTGAATTTGAAATATTTATTCGACCACTTTGTACTTCAAATACAGAAGACTCAATTAATTTGGTTACACTTGATATGAAAAAAGGCAAACCGATTACTTCTGAATTTAGAATGTGTGTAGAGACTGTTATCTCAACCAAACTCGACTTTGATGAATTGGTTGAAGAAACAAAAATTGGTGAAGGCTCCTTTGGGATTGTGTATAAAGGAACTTTCAGAGGAAATGTTGTTGCAATTAAAAAGATGAAGCAGTGCGCTCAAGAAGAAGAAAATGGTGAAATTGAAGAATTTGAAAAAGAAGTAGAAATGCTTGACAAGTTTCGAAGTCAGTACATTGTTCACTTTTATGGCGCTGTTTTTATACCAAATAAGATATGTATGGTCACTGAATTTGCTCAATATGGAAGTTTACACGACTTGATAAAAAACAAGGACAGACAACCAATACCCATGAAGTTGCGTATCAAAATGGTGACAGACGCTGCTAGAGGAATACTTTACTTACATGAAAATGGTATTTTACATAGAGACATTAAACCAGACAACATTCTTGTAGTGTCATTAGACGAGACTGTGGCAATACATGGAAAGTTAACTGATTTTGGCTCAAGTCGGAACATTAACATGATGATGACTAACATGACATTTACAAAGGGAATTGGTTCACCTTCATATATGGCGCCGGAGGTTCTTCACCAAGATAAATACAAGAAACCAGCAGATATATTTTCGTTTGCAATAACATTATACGAGTGTGTGAAATGGGGCGAGGCATATCCCAAAACCGAATTCAAATTCCCTTGGAAAATAGCAGAATTTGTGAATAAAGGAAATCGACTTAATAAAGCTGATGGGATGCCCGAGAGCATTTACAAAATCATTAAACTGTGTTGGGCACAAGACTCCAATTTAAGGCTTGATATTATGGAAGTTGTGTCTCAATTGTCTACTTTAATTTTGTGATTGATCTTTATATAACGTAAACTCCCATTGTTTTATATGTTTCGTATAAATTTTTTTAAAATGTTCCTATTTTGATGTACTATATATTTATAATAAATTTAACCAATATTTATAATTAAATATTTTAAACAATAAAAACATTTAATTGTTATTAAAATGGATTTTTAAATTCAAAACGGGATAAAAACATATATAATTTATGAATAAAACACAACACAAATTGCCTCTCTCTGTGATTAAGAAAATTTGTTGTCACTGTGACGCTTCAACTTTTTTACATGTTACAGAGACGTGTTTAGAGTATTCTAAATTGTCAACAGACGATGAAATATATTCGGGAATAAGTGATGGACTTGATTCGACTCGACAATCTTTTTATGCTCGAAGAACACAAGAAAATGTTAAAGTCGTCAAAACAAAAGCAAGAATTATTGCCGAGGATAAAGCAAGCTCAGTGCTATGGTATCGTCAGTTGACATTTTTCTTTGCACTTTTACACACAAACCACTTGACAGAAATCATCCCATTTCTCTTCTTATTTTTGTTTTTTATTCTATATCCAATATCACTCGACAACCCCAATTGTCTCTCGCCAAAAGTCTCTGTTTTCTTTTTGGCGCCAACAATACTCAATTTTTGTGTTGGATCATATTGGCTCTCTATTTGCCATTATATGATTGGATTACAAGAAGAAGGATTCTTTGTTGGACTTTTGATGCCACTGCCATTCCATTGGGCCTCTAACTTTCTCTTGATGAAGCTCCCATTTGTCAGTGCAGACTATTTCTTTCCGTTTTGTGTTTTTATTTCATATATTCTATTTGTGTTGTTCAATTTTCATGTTGTCACTTTGGGAGCTGTTTTAATACCTTTTTTGACCTTCTTTGTGCTCAAAATAGCGACTTGTGGTGTTTCTGTGAAATTTGATACTATTCTCAAACTTTTTAAATGTGAAAATTGTGAGTGGAGGTTATCGAGAAATGAGGCAATTAAGTCTGCTTTCTTCTATGTTCCAATGTTCTCATTAGTATGTCCCGTATATTCCAAATTTAGTGGCAATGATGATATAAATGACAAAACAACAACTTTCCTCATTATCACAATGTTTGTGTTTTTCTATATTTATCATTTATGTGAATCATGCGTCGTTATAATCGTTTATTTCAAATACATTTTCAGGATGAAAGGACCAGAAAGAGAAACTACATTTTGTGGTTCTAACTACTTCATACAAAATAGTCCAAACTGTTTTCTTAGTATTTATATAATGATCGCGTGGCCGATTATAACTGGACTTTTATGTTCAAGTACAGTTCTTTGTTACAATGTTGCGTATTTTAAAAGCGGAATGAATTATATGAAAGCATTTTCTTCATATATCACAGCTGGTTGTATTTTTTACATAACTGGATATTTGAATTACTGTTATGTTGATCAAAAAGCATTCTGTCCGATGTTATGTTGCTATGGAAAGCCCAGAAATAAGTTTGAGAGTTGTTGTATCAAATGCCTCTGTTTTTATGAATCTGAAAATTACATCAAAAATTTCATCGTTTATGACACATTTTACAGTGATAATAAGTGGGAAAGGAATACCCTTTTGATGTGTTGTGTCAAGTAATTTAAAGACTCTATTCTATTAATACGGCATCTAATCTATATTTATGCAATTAATGTTTTTCAAATGACTTTCTTTATCATACAGACAATACTTCCTTCAACATAAATAACAAGACAACACTACAAAAAACTCAATTTAATTACATTTCATCGCTTCTCTCCACCTTACTTTCTTGTGTGCTTTCTTTGATATCTTCAATGGAACACTCAACAACTTTCTGCTTCAATAACATCGAAGGCATTGCAATCTCAGTCACAAACTTCTCTCTTTTGCCACCTTTCTCTAAGTAAAATACCCTCGTCCGACCATTCTCTTCACCTTTTATGTAACTTTTTTCGGGAAACACTCTCACTACATCTTCAAGATTCCCTTTATTGATGTTCTCCTTTTTGAAGTCGTCAAGACTCTTTTCACTTCTATTGATAAATCCGAACGACTTTTGATTCTTCCCAACAAGATAATAGTAGTCCACAAATTCATCGTTATCATTCGAAATCGTTTGATACAAATTTGCAAGGTTGTTATGACATATCTCAAGCTCTTTGATTTGTTTTGTTGCCTCAAAAATGTCAACTAAGACAAAGTAACACTTTATCGCCATCTTTGTCCGCTTGCACGCCTCAAACAACTCCGCCGCTTGCTTCACCCTTGATACAACTATGTTCATGTTCTCCTTTACATTGCCACTCTTCTTCCCCAATACATTCGGTCGCTCGCACATCTCAAGCAATTTCTCGCATTTGAAATCGTACAACAGGCCAATATACAGCGCAATATGTAAACAACATATACCAGCTTCACACAATACATTCTCCTTCAAATACTCATCAACCATTTTCTTCACCCACGCAATGTGTACTCTCGCGGTGTTCTGGTACTCATTCGCAAATGTCATGAACCGTTCAATAAGTAATTCAGTCGACTTCTCTCTTGTCAAATTTTTGATGTCGTTCAATTTGAGTAAAATGGTGTCTCCCGCCAACACAAATTCCTTCAAATCACCGACAAACTTCATTTGCTGACTCTTCGAAACGTCTATGAACGAGTCTCTGTTGAACTCCAAATCCGCTCCAAAAAATTTGTTTCCCTTCAAAACGGGGATATTCGGTTTGAAACTGTTTGAGTTGTGTCTATTCTTCTTCTTTATTGTTGCAGTTTTCTTCACATTTTTTGTGTTCGTTCCAAGCATATTGTCGGAGTACGAGTCCATGATTTTGTTCACTCTCGTTTGATACGGGTCTTTGCATATCTTATAGTCGACATATCTATTTAATTTACCAAATTTGTCGTCCGAATTCTCGAATTGCCCAATTCGTTGCGAAAGGATTTGAACGTCTTTAAAGACAGCTTGATTAATAGTTTGTGGGTGTGTAATAAAGGTTTCCGTAGCAGTAAACAAATACTGTAAAGTAACTGCATACTCCTTCCGAATAGCTTCTTGTTGCTCTTCCTTAAGAACAGCTGCGCTGATCTGTTTGGAACATTCCGCCAACTCCGCAAACAGTTTTTGGTTCTTCTTGTTCACCTCGGAAAATTTCTGGACTTGGCTAAACACTGAACTTTTCTCAAGAGTACACTTGAGAGAACTTTCCCCTCTCACGGAGACCATTTTTGTGTAAGATTTTTCCGATTCAAGAATACCATTTTGCACCTCACTTTCACGTTGTAATACAAGAAACGCTGCTGCTGAAACTGCTTTCAAATAACTTCCACATTCTCTCATATGTACTTGGAGAATGTTAGAACCAATAGAAGTCCAAATGTACGACTTCATCACTTCGATCATAAAGTGTATTTCCTCCGACAGGCATTCTTCTTTCTTCCTTTTCTCCTCTTTCTTCGCGTTGTATTGTTCTTTGACTGTTTTATAAAATTCACATATTTGTATACCAACAGCAATGACTGCCTGATACTCATGGAAGTTACAGAACCGCTCTTCAACCTCGCAACGATCGCTTCTGTTCTTCTCAATTGACATTTCAAGGTCCAAGAAATTTTCAGTTAACCCCGTAATGCTGTGCAACACGTTTTCTAAATACTCTTCTCTGTTCGTCTCAGAAATTTCTTGCATTGATGTTTCGTATTGCGTTTGAATGTACTTCACTTTACTCTTTGTTTTTTCGTCTATGATTGACTCGTCTCGTGAAAAGTCGGTCTTCTTTTGTTCATAAAATGCGGTATCAATTTGGGTGACCTTGCAATTGTAATCTGCAAGTATCGATTCTGTCTTTTCTAATATCATCTTTGTGACTTTTTGAAGTTCTTCACTTTCAAAAATCGCGTCTTCCCACCGCTCGCTGAAAGTCTTAATTTCATTCAAAAATTCGGTGACTTTCCCGTCCAATAAAACCTTCCCTATTTTTGAAAGGATTATGTCGAAGAAATGGTCCATCTCCAACACAGCCTCTTTCCTCTTCTCGTCTTTCACTTTGTCATTCTCGAGTTTCCGACTTTCTTCGAAATAGATTTTATTGAACTGACAGTATTTGTCAATGCCAGACTCAATTTTCAGTTGAATTTGCTCAAATCCTTTTCCCACGTTCTTTTTGATCGACTTAAGTGCTTCGACGTCGTCTTCTGAAAAGAGCATCGCAGTTTTTAACTCTCCAAGAAGGGCGCTTTTGACGTCGATGTATTCTCCAAAGACTTCGTTTGTGTCCAAGTTCTGGACGATCCGTATAACGTCCATGTACACTTCCATCACAGAGTCCATGAATACTACAAAGACATCCAAGTCCCCGATTTCAACAACGTAATTGATCTTTTGGAGAGACACCAACGAACTGACATTCTTCTGACCTTCTTCCCAATACCTTTTCCGAAGTTGCGCAATCAACTCATAAGAGTCGTCAAAGTCCTTTTGAGCTTGGACTGGCAATGATCGAATCATTTTCCGGAATTCGTCGATGTCGTTGTAATTCAACTCGGAGAGGGAAACGGCGGCATCGGACATACAACACTCAATGTTCTGCGAGAAGATGAAGTTGTTCTTCAGCATCGTGTATACCAAGTCGACTGAATTGCGCTTCAAATTTTCTTGTGTGGAGTTGACGTTCTTTAGCAGGTTTTTAAGAAGAATCCCACCAAACTGTGAATTGCCTTCAAATAAAAAATGTCGGTGGCGAAGAATTAGTGTCCGGATGAATTCGTTAAGTTTCATTAAATATTCTTCACTCTCGTCGACGGAAAACAAAGTGCTTGAAACAATTTCCTCCAGTCTCTCAAGAGACTGTCCACCATCAATGCCATTTTCAAATCGTTCAAAAAGAGCTTCAGCGCAGTCCATGGCTATGTAACTCATCTCACGAACAACATTTCGAACTTCAATGCGTTGTCCCTTTTTGCGTTGTTTCAATTTCTCCTCCAACTCTTTTTCACTCTTCTCGGGTTTCAGCGATTGCGACGGAATTATATCGGCTTTGGTGATGTCTTGGCCAAACTCAGAAGAGAGCAAAAAGTCTTGTCCTGCCATCCGAGTTGTCAGTCGAGCCGAGCCACGACTTGGTTTTGTTTTAAAATCGATTGCAATGGTGTTTCTCATCATATGGTTTGAAGGGGAGACAGATGATTCGACACTCTCTCTTAATGTAGCTATTAGTATTTGGATTTCTACAATTGGGTCTTTTGGTAAGAACGGGTAATGTGAAAAGAGCATCAGAGCACGACGAATGTGGATCAGAAACACTTCCATTCGCGTTGGAATTTCCTTTTCAAACCACGACTTAAATATGTCATAGGACAGATGTTTGAGAATGTAGAACATGGCAAGATACATCAATTTGATATCTTCAATTTCTTCGTCTTGAATACTAAACGGGTTGTAGTGAAAGTCTTTGACCTTCTCAAACTCATCGAGAAGGTATATCAACACTTCGAAGAATATCGACGACACCTCACTCTGTTGATTCATTTCTTGGAAGCGACTGTCGTAATTAAAATGGACTAATAACAACACTAAAGTATACATCCCGATTTTACCAACAATGTTTTCGCGCAAAGTGATGTTCAGCAAATCACGAACAAAATATGTTGAGACCAGGTGGTTCTCTGCAAAGTAGTCTCCCATCATTTCAATGGAGTTTAACTGCAATTGCTTTGGGTTGTTGAACAGAATGAAATTTGGCGAAAATCCAAGCACGCCAATAAACTGAATGCGACACAACCCAAGCATATGAAAAGCGTCGCTCTTCTTGTCCAATTTGTTGACTTCGTCTGTCGAAAGGGATGAACTAAGAATTGTCATGTGTTTGATTACAATGCTTGTTAGTGTAGCTTTGTCGATGAGGGAATACAGTCGTTCGACAAACTCTCCGAAATTGTAATTACCCTCCAGCACCCCACGACTTCCCCTGTTGATTATCATGTACCGCAGATTTTGTGAATACTTCCGACACCCAAGAATCAGTGCGGTCGCCAATTTACTTTCGATCTCCTTTTTATTGTGAATCATGACAATCATTGCTTTCAGCAAGATATTAAGAAGTACCCACGAGTGTTTCAGAACGTTTTCTAAATTGCCAAAGGAGTCCGATATTCTCACAAAGAATTGGTATATCAGTTCGGTGACAATAACGTCCGCTTTGTCATCTTCAATGGAGTAATTCACAACAAAGTCTGTGAGGAACTTCGACCGCTTTGTTGGGTCTTTATTCAAATTCGCGATTTTGGCAAAGATGTCAAAGAGGTACGAAATCTCCAGTGAATTCTCCTTTGCCTTCATAATGAAAAATTCAACAATGGAGGGAAGAAAATGAATTGCCTCTTGGACTTGAATTGACGCGAGTGCTCCTTCCATACCAGCCAATTGTCCATTCAGTAATTTAAACACGTTTTTCTCGCGGGGGTAGATCGTCGACTGCACGTCAATTTTAAGGTTCAACGAACACTTCATCCCATCCATAGAAATTTGGTTTAAATACCCGTCAGTTGGTTCTCCTCGGATCAGTGGAAGAGAGTACGTCATCGACGACACGATCATTGAATTTCTAAATAACGGAAGTGTTGCGTAAAAGATGACCTTTTCGGAGAAGTCGTCGGAACACACCAAACTGACTGTAAACAACAAGTGATGTTTGACCGTCAAAGGAAATGGCAGTTTCATTCGAATTTCGTCGGTGAAGATATTTTGCTTTCCCGTTGTCACAGACGTTTTGATTTTATCCAACAACAAGTTGCTCATATTACTCGTTGAGTAAAAGCACAAAATTGGTTGTGTCAATTTGATGATATCGTCCGACCGAAGTTGACATGTAATACAATACCCACAATTCTTCTTCTTCTCCTTTGGAACCACAATCTCTGTTGGGAATATGAAAAGGGTGTTATAGAAATCCGTGTATATTTGCGAACTCGATTTGAGTCTGACTATGTTGTATAACATCGGAATCTCTTCATTCTCCTTTTCATTTGCTTCAGCTGGCTGCGCCTCAACATTTTGAATGACACCGTCTTGTGTGATGATCAAATTGGCAGCAGTGAAGTGGTCCAATTTCTCTATTTTAAACCCCCACGACGCACTTAGTATTTTACTCTTCCCGTTTTCAACATTTTTATAATATTGGGACAAGTCGTTCTCATCACAGGAATACACTTTCATGTTGTAGTAACTTTTTCGATTCTCCAGTAAATCACTTTTTAAGTCAACAACACCAGTGCCTAAATATTGGACAAAAAATTCGTTCTTACTCCGTTGTTTGGAACTCGCGCTTCTCTGTTTATCTATCATTTTGACACACATCTTACTCTCACCATTTTCTATGTACCCGTCCAAACTCTGATCACCATCAAACATCTTATAGATTTGTATGACACCCCACAACCCCGCATTTTCAACTTGTTTCTGGTCAAGTGACACCGCAAACGTACTCCCCAGTTTCGACATCACTGACATATCAGTTTGTTGCATAATTTCAAAGTAACTACTTGTAACTCGTTCGTTCTTCTTTGAGTCATAGAAGAAGAATGAAACAACAAGTCCATCAAGTGGACCAAAACACCATACAATTTCGCTCAACTGTATTACAAAGACGTTTTGCGCATTTTTCATCTCTTCACTAACACCAGGTTTGTATATATCAAACACGTTTAACCCTCCCCAAAACGACCCGAAAAGGGTGTTTGTCTCCTCTCTCCGATTGAACTTCCCGGGCTCGACCAACACTTCGTTCACTCGTTGTTTGTCTTCGTTGGAAATAAATTGTATTGGCCTGTCCCATTGGAGTGTCGACGTTCGTTGGAAAAACTGATTTAAAATGAGGTGGTGATAGTCGTCCAGTGTAGCTCCCGTTGTTATATTTTCTCGCGTGAGTCGTTGTTTGTGGACCACATCAAATCGTTGAACCGGTTCGTTTTGATATGGTTTAATTCGTCGGTCATTTAATCTTTCGTCTTGGTCACTGAATAAATTAATAACAGAGACTGTTTCCCACTGTTGATTAGTATTAAAATAAATTAATTAAAATGTATTAGTTAAATTATAATACAATAATAATAAAAGGATAACAAACGGTAACTTCGTCTCTCTTCTGACAGAAGAAGTTACAAAATTTGGGGAACTCCTTTCTGTTGATGTGGGATGAGTTCTCCAGAAACATCGACCCCAACATTTGTCGTAAATTGTGTTCTTTGATGTACAACTTCTGATTCGAACTCATTGGGAAAGCTCCCGATTCTAATAGAAAACGCAATTGGAAGATATCCAATTGTTCAAGTTGGTCAGCGTCAAACTCCTACACATCAGAGAAAGTAAATTTCCGTGGAACAAACGTCGAATGAAATGTTGAGAAGTCGATCCTTTTCCATATCCTTCAACTGCTTTTTAGTTGCCGTTGGGTATTGTTGAACAACAAGTTTTGGGCTTTTCCGGTGTTGGGGTTGTGAGAAGTCCGTTTTTTCAAAGATGTCGTCGAGGATAATCTGGTCCTTCCTCTTCATTTGAGACTTTTCAGTTAACACAGATAGTTTTTTTATTGGTTTGTCATATTCGGCATTTTTGGTGATTGCGTCACGTTTTCTCTATTTGCACCACCATTTTACATAAAAAGAAAGAACATTTGGTATTTCATTAATATGAATGGTACACAGCAATTCTTTCAGATTTCGATGAGAATTACTTTTTTTTAAAAAGAAAAAAGGGGGTTCGGTGTTAAATGTTTAAACGTATTTTATTGGTCTTTCAAATTTACGAAAAAACAAAAGCTAATGCTTTAGTTAAAAATACTATTAAAAAAACACTATGTTTTTTTGTGCTAATAATATATTGTAACTGATGATATAAAAAGATCGGGATTGATAATTATAGAAATAGTAGATACTAAACTATAACATTTTAATATTTTTTAATAATTTGTGGTATATAATATAACATAGTTTTATATTTGTAATTGTTAATCACTGGAATTCAATTTTTCAATTTTACAAAACTTTTAACAGTCTTCTATTTATTAATAAATCAGACAAATTCTATTTGAATAGTATAATAAAGTTATTTGACTTGAATTGAAATATTTCTAATTATACAAGTAGAGTTATATTTTTATGTCATCAAGTATTTTATGACTTCATTTATTAATTCCAATTTACAAATAAAAGACTAAGAACTAATATAACTTGTAACACCCAACACAGCTAGTTAAATCAACACACGATCGTAGAATATCTCTCATCAAACACTTTTCTTTCTTTAATTTCTTTTATGGTGTTATCGAAGAATTGCAATGTGTGTCCATCATGTACTCTCCCCAACACCCCTTTAATCAACTCAATAATTTTGCTAATAGTCTCTCCCGTAAGCATTTTATTTGTTGTGAAGTGAATCACAAAGTAATTCAAAATGAGCACAAACAGCTTCGCATTTTCTTCCACTACAATTACATTACTTCCCATCATAGCCACTTTGCGAAGTAATTCCTCCACGTGTTGGTCATCTCGAATACTCGACAAACACCCAGAAAGCGCCGCACATTTACAACACATCTCACACCGCTTTGTTGTTTTCAGTAACACAGACGACTCCTTTTCAACTTTCACTCGAAATTGGATGGCTTCTTTGTTCCCGCTTTCAATTGCACTCATCGCGCCTAACAATTCCAATAAAGCGATTTCTTGCTCCCCAGACTCTGCTATGCCATTATAAACATTCCACAACCGTTCAACCATTTCAAAGTACTTCTGACTGAAGTGTTCATTCCGCCACTTTGAAAATTCAACAGTGATTTGTGACCCAATTTTGACGGTGCGCACTTTGTCGATTTCTCCGAGGAGTGCGACGTTCTTAGTAATTTCTTCCGCGCACTTTTCCCTCAGCTTTGGGAAATTTTGTCCCGTGTGGAGGAGGGCAAAAATGATGGGTGGGAGACAAGTTGACAACTTTTCGTCGTTCCCTTTTTCCATCGCTTTAATTTTCTCTCTTTCTGCATCGTCGCAATCTTTCATGTTGACTTTTTCACTCATTTTTTCTCTTTCCATCGCAACACTTTCCACAACACGCGCGTTCAAACTCAAAATCTCAAACAACTGTAAATCCCCATTTTGTTTGTTCACAATATGAAGCACCTTCATCAACTTTTCAAGGTCTTTACATGAACTTGTGAGTATCGACGAACACACATCTAACAAGTTGGTTGCCTCCTCTTGACTGTCGATAGTGAATTGCCCCACGTAATTGTCTAAGATCTTCTTCGCGACTGATACCATCCTATCGCCACTCATCTTCTTGACGACCGTTCGGAAGTTTTTGTCGGAGATATAAGTCTTCAGCATATTGGACTCAATCGGCTGACTTAACATGTTCCACAAATTGTTTGCGGAAGACCCCTTTAAAGGCGTTGGAATTGGTTCGGCCAATTTGAACACCAAACTTGAGAGAGTTTGCCAGTCACTACTTGTCTTAGTAGCTTGGTACAACACTTGCAACAGCGAAAATAAGTTCGACTGTTCGATGACGTCGCGCATCTCCTCAATCAAGTTGTACAACAACGAAAAGTCCTTTGGCGTGATCGATTCTCTTCCCACTGTTTTTATCAAATTTCCAAGAATGGTAAAGACAGACTCTCTGTTTATGTTCCGAAGCGTTGTGATGAAATTGGGAAGAGTCGATAAGACAAGTGCGGGGGAAATAGACTCTAAGATGGTTGTTAAAACAAGTGGCTTCGAGACGTCATGGTTGGTCTCAAACACTTCACTCAAGAGAAGTGGAATCATTTCGATGGTGAGTTGATCATTAGAAGCGACACCAGATTTGAAAAAGAGCGAATAGAGTTCTTTAAGAGGATATACTGCTTCCTCGATCCACTCCTTTTCACTCTGACTTGAAGAACTGGAACACGTATATCGTAACACTGCGCGCGTGGCTTCGACTACGTTTGTTTTGAAAAATGTGTAATACATATTGTCTGTAATGATTGAAGAAACAGTTTTTGAGATGAAGAGTCTCATTAACAAAGCTTTGAGAGGCGAGAAAATGGCGAGTGAGAAATTCAAAATGTCTTTGAGAACCAAATCGGAGTACTCTTGATTCGTTTGCACAATTTTGGAACCAACCATTGACATGAGAAATACACGAGGAACCAATTTAGTTTGGTATTGAACTGTTTTGTAGATATCAAGAAGGTCTGACCGACTGTCTAAAAATAACGAAAACGTTTCGACTTTGTGGGAAACGGAAAGAAAGATCAGATGTGACTGTCTGACTGAAAAAGAGTCTTCACATAATATTTCTAATAAATCAGAAATTGATTCTGATACCCCAGTCGTACATAAGTCGTTGAAATTGGACACAGTTAATTTGGTCTCTTCAATTTGTTTGATTTTTTGAAAGTATAAACTGGGAGGCTCCTTTTCAGGTACTTGTCGGGAAAAGTACTTGAAAAAGGTTTCCTTCTTCTCTTCTTTCTCTTCTTTAGAGTCTTTCAAGGTACTCATTCACTCTTTGTTAATTTAAAGTTCCACATTTTATTGCGTGATTAAATAACATTTTCATTTTTGTGTTAATCAAAAAATGTTTTAGACATTAAAATTTTTTTTTTGTATAAAAAAATGATTTTGTCTTTTTTTTTATATAAAATATAAGAATGTGATATCATAATTAACTATATTTGATGGTTCTATTAAATAAATCTAAATAATTAATTATCTATTCAATTGAAAAAATAAAATATAGTTTTATATTATTATATTTAATAATTTACTACTCATTAAATAATATTAATTTATAATAGTAATTTTAATGGTTATAAAAAAGTGTTTGAAATGGATAAAAATAGCTTAATTACATTGAAATTTTGAAAAATAAATAAAAAATAGCAAAAATAAACAAAAATTATAATAAAGATTTCAAGATCTTATAGTAATATAAATTATTTAAAAATTATTAGTAAATTAACAATAAAAGTACTAATTTTTTTTATCGCCTAAAATTGTTGATAAAAAAAGAGTTTAGTTTCAGTTTCTAATTATATACACTAATATCAAAAATAGAATAATAATGGTTTGTTATTTGTGTTTATCACATTTCACCCAAATCTTTCGGGAAAATCACAATCTATTTATTTTAAATGAATTATCACACGTAATTCGGGAATAATCCCAAAATGAACCCATAAATAAACAACTCCAATCACAGAAAATGCTCTTTATTTACACTTTTCCCATTCTAAAAAAATGCTGATATAATAAAAATAATAATATATTAACTATATTAAACAAACACACAAACAGACGTTTTCCAAAAAGACAAAATTTTGGTTTTTCAACTGAAAATAGGGTCTAAGGAAATGCCCAATCAAATCACGTCATAATGTGCGTTATATCACACATTAGTAAAATAATAGTAACTTTTTTAATTTACAATAACAAATAGAAAAGGGTAAAATTAGATCTTAAAAGACTAATTTTAGTTCAGTCGAATGGGGCGAAATAAAATCGTAATAGAACGCATAGCAAACGACCGTAACAGGCAAGCTACATTCACCAAACGCAAGAATGGGCTGATTAAAAAGGCCATGGAACTTTCGATCTTATGTGATTGTGAAATAGCACTCATTTGTTTCAATTCCACTAATAACAAAATATTCGTCTACTCATCCGGAGATATCGAAAAGACTCTTTTGAGATTCACAGAGTTCACACCAACACAAACTCCTCTTACAAATCAAGACGTTTGTTTTTCAATTACTTTGGAATGGGATTTGGTCACATTTTGAATCAATTGGTTCGATTGGAACTGATCCTTCTTTATTTTACTATTTATTATAATATATTATTATTTAAAAATATAAGTACTCAACAAATCGTTTCTGAAAGTTGTTAATAAAAATATATTAAAAAAGTGTAATAACTAATAGTACCCAAGGTTCAGTCGCAGACGTAAGAATGCAAAGACTGGCGATGAAGAAACTGACGACGACGATGATGAAGCGCCGGCACCACTGAAAGAAAAGCCTTTGACTGCCCCGAAGGCACCAACCGCATTACCGACTCCACTCTTCCCATCACAACCGTCGAGTTTCCAACCCGTCAGTGCACCTCTTCCTCCACAACCTCCAAGGCAGAAGATGGAGAGAGCGCCTCCTGAATACCCAAGTGCACCTCCACATGCTTACTTAGATGTCAGAAATCAATTGGAACAGAGAAGTTCTATGCAACGCCAAAATTTGGACATGAGACAAGAAAGACAAGGCTTTGGACAGAACCCACAACAAAACACTTATCAAAGACCTTTCGACCAAGACTACCCACCACAAACGCAATATCGTCAACAGTACCAAGGCGACCCTGGGTATCCAAGATACTCCGACTTCGATAAGTCGTACGACAGAGATAAAGATAGAAAGGATCAAAGAGAAGATAGGCAACAAATGCCCCCAATTAAGGAGGAAAAACGAGGAAGACCAGAAGACTGATTTTATTGGGCAGTCTTGCTTGAGTTTTAGAATGGTAAATTAATGGTTTCTTTATAGTTTGACCCCCATTTCTTGTTTTTAATTAAAAATAGTAAAAATTATAGTAAAGAAAAGTAAATAAGAGTTAATTACAAAAAAGAGTCCAAAGAGGTTTCTTTGAAAGAAGAGCTATTTAATAAAGCATTGGGTTGAGCTTCGAGGATGGAGGAGAGTTTCTTGTTAAGTTCGTCGCCTAAGAGTCTTATTGAGTTTGTTGTGATTGAACCTTTTTTTGAGTAAAGTGAGACGGAGCCTTCATAGCCGTCTATTGTCTCCGAAGAGATTTCGACGTAATAGCCGAACTCGAACAAAATGTCTTGTAAGAACCTCATCTCCTCCCGTCGCTTTGTCGGCTGTATTCTTCTCTTTGCAGTCTTCTGTGTAGTGTTACCAGTTTTGTACTCATGTTGTGCTTGTTCGTTTGAACGCGTTTGAATGAATTGAAGGACGTCGATTGAGTCCAAATTGCTAAACACGATTTTTTTGATTTTAATGAATTGCTTTGTGAGGTGAGAAAGGCGATGTGGACGACCTATGGTTATTGTACAATGACGTGCGAGAAGTGCTATATATATCGCTTGAAGGTCAGCTTGATAATTCATTGCATTAATCTGGCGGACTTTAAAACGAGGGATTTCGTCGTCGACAGTAGCAGACTTGTGTACTTCACTACTGAAGTGTATTGTGTTGCCCAGAGTCAGGCCAGACATCTCATTTAATAAAATGGAGTTGCCCCTTTTTATAGGTTGTACGAGTAAAAGACACTCAAAAACCCTGTTCACTCCTCCTGTTTCTACCAGCTGCCCACTTGCACCCCCCTTTCATTGTATTTTTCTTTGTGTTTTTCAATATTTTTTTGACGTTTTTCTTCCTTCCTGTTTTATCAATATTTTGTTGCTTCTTTTGATGCTATTCGGCAAGTCATGCCATGCCTTCTTTGGTATTCTCTCCATTTATTTATGTTCCATTATTGATTACTTTTTTGAATATATGTTTTTTCTGCAAGAACAGTGACGTGTTGACTAATTATTTATAAATGATATGCTATGGTGAATTTATCAAAGAGTCGAAGTGGATAGAGTCTTTTCTGGTCAAATGGAACCATTTTTGGGCTGCTGTTTTTTCAACCCTATTATTTGCAGTTCGATTGGAACTGAAAACATAAGACTCTAAAAAGGCACTCAGTTTTTTTTAAATTGTGAGCGGAGTTCGCGGTTTTTTATTTTGTTCTCACCAATGAAAAAATTCAATTAAAAAAGCAAAATAAAAAAATGGGAAGAACAGTACAACGCAGTGGTTTATTGATAAAACACGGGAAATGATATGAAATGATTTGTTCAAATAATTATCGATTATTTTCGAATGTTCAGAAACATTTTTCCTTAAATAAATCGAACAATCCTGTCGTTTTAGGCGTTTCTAACGTAATATAATACCATTTTGCGCTCATCAAAACATTTTTAAAAACAAAAGTTTTTTACTAATACGACTCATTTCCCGATAATGTACAATAAATTAAGCCAATAAATATAAAACAGTCATTGGTATTTTTTTTTCTCATATAGTAAAAAGTGTAAATTTGGATGCCCCATTGGTTTTCCTGATATTTTACATAATTCTTTTATTAAAATAAAAGCATTTATTCTGATAATAATTAATCAACTTCCCATTCTTAATCTTAGTAATCAAAGTCATTTTCCGTTTTTGTGTAATACACAAAGAAATAAAGTAGATAGATATTACATGATATTCAAAAAAATACTATATTAAAATAGAATGGTTAAACGCGATTGAATTAGTCGATTTTTTTTCATTTCATGTTATGTTTTTTGGAATTTTTTCGTTTCATTTTTTATTTGAGTTGATATTTAACTTCGCCTGCTAAAATTTGCCAAAGAGTACCAAAATAGAAGAAATCTACTAATTATTTAACTAATAAAATAAACAAATTTACATAGTATTACCAATTTATAAAAAGTGCCTTTTATCTTGCAATTGTAGCTTTTTAGTATTTTGAGATTTTTTACTTTTTGTCTTGTTTACTATTAATTATGATTATTTAATCATTATCTTTTGTACTTATAGGGCGTTATAACCCCCATTATTTCATGGTCTTGAGTTTAATTATTAAACCCAAATATTTAAGTAATTTTTTTGAGATGTTCGCATGTGTATTATTATTTAAACCAAGATTTTGTTTAACTAAAAGGAATGATTAACCAGAAAATGGTGTTTGCTTTTTTGAACAAAAGATTTCAAGTTTTAAAGTGTTCAAATAGTTTCCCGTCTTTTTGAACAATAATACAAATAAAAATAATAATAAGTATATTAATGAATTATGATTCAAATAACCAACTCATTTATATAATAAATTATAATAATATTTATTACATCTAAAACTATAGTTTAACATCATTTATTTAGTTAAAACAACTATTACATAATTATATTCTTCTAATTAAAATAATAATATATTCAATGATATTTAATTAACAAATACCCCAGAGAACTCAAAAACGCACTTTATATGGTTTTCACATACGAAATCCGAGGAGACTATATAGTCTATGTTGGAATCGATAAATACGAGAATGAGGAATTGATCAAATGTGCACTTCCACAAGACATCTGGTTTCATGTTGACTCTGAGTCATCTGCCCACGTCTATTTGAGGCTCAAAGACAAGGACACATTAGACACAATACCCGAAGACACTCTTGAAGACTGTTGCCAGTTAGTCAAATCTCGATCGATTAAAGGCTGCAAATTACACGACGTTGTGATAGTATACACCCCCGCGTCTAACTTAAAAAAGACAAATGGGATGGACGTTGGACAGGTTGGGTTCTTCAATGAGAAGCTCAGGAAGTATAAAAAGATAACAAAGGAAAATGTTGTTGTCAACCGAATTGAAAAAACAAAGAAGGAAAAAACACTGGAAGAGCATAAAAAGGATTGGACGGATTATCAGGCCGAACTTAAAAGGAAAAGAGCGAAGGAATATGAAGAAAAGGTTTGTTTGGTTGTATATTATATTAATAATAATATTTATATAAATAATACTAATATTATTATACATCTAGTCATATGTATTAATAAATAGAAGAAAAAGGAAATTGAAGACACAAGAAGGTCTAAAGAAGAACAACGACTTTTGTCATATTCAGATGTCATGGTTAACGAGAACATGACCTCAAATGATCAAGTTGAAGACGAGGACGACTTTATGTGATTGACCTTTTTGTTGGGTATGTTTTTCTTATAATTTGTCAATTTTTTTGAAAAAACATTGAAAAAGGTATAAAATAAAACATTTCAAATTTGTGTTGAGTTTGTTCTTTTTCATCAATTACAATTACAAGAAAAGTTACAATCTGACAATTGTTATTATGTTGTGTAATAAAGAATTATAAGAATTGTTTTGTATACAAAGCAATTGATAATATGAATTTAATTGATTGCAACTATTATTGTGTATAATGTAATTTTAAAAAGTTAAATTTTTCTATTGTTGATTTACATGAAAAAACAAGAAAAATAAAAACAAAATAATGACAAATACAAAAAACTTTAACTTTTTTTGTTTAACTTTTTTAATAAAAAGTAATTAATATTATTTGATTAATTAGACATTTAATAAAATAAATCAAAAAATATAAAACAAAAAGTATAATCAAAAAAAAGATTGTAAAAGATGGAACGAAAGGATTGAAAAGGGAAAATAAAACATGGGATTTGCGTCTTACGATATCAAATGACAGACCCTATCGACGAAAATCTATTAGTACAGAAAGTGTCACAAGACTATGAGTGCCCAATATGTATGAGTGTACCACACCCCTCACATGGTTTGTTTTTGTACCTCCAGAGTGTGGTGGAAAACTGACAAATAGCCATTGAACACTCACAATGCGGAAAAATCTTTTGTGAGAAGTGTATCTTTGTGTGGTGGGAATTCCAACACAAATGTGTGTGCCCATATTGCAGAGGTGATTTCACTGATTTCCAAACAGTGAAGAAACACAGCAGAGCGCTGTACAACATTTTGATGGAACAAAAATTCAGGTGCCCGGTTTCTGGATGTTCTGAAATTATTAGCTTCAACGAGTACATCAAACACATGAAAAAACACAACAACAATCTCGAGACACTTCCGGAGAGCGTAAGCGATAAGTGGACGACGGTATACCCCGAAGACCAGTCCACAGAAGAGATATTCGAAAAACCGTTTATTGTAAAATGGTTTAACGAGAATAACCCATGGGAGCTCCTGATATTCCCCGATGGGCTGAACGAAAGCAACCGCGACGATATCGCAGTTTTTGTTGGGACAACAAACGACGTGCGTTCGCGCGCAGTCGTCTCGATCGAAATCAAACAAGGAGAGTTTTATCACAAGAAAATCGCGAAGCACAGCTTCTCCCCACAAACAGGAAGGCCTGGCTTTATCCAGTTTTGCCCGAAGAATGGTATCAACTTCGGAAGACCTTTCTTGTTAGCCTTTAAGGCGACAACTTTTTAATCTTTTTGTTCATACTTTATCTTCAAACTGTTTTGTTAATTATTTCAAATATAAACATTAAAAAATATTTGTAACTAAACATAATAATAATAATAATAATAATAATATATTTAACTATAATTGACTCAAAGCAGAAAAAAATGAACAAAAAATGATGTTAAAAAATAAACTAACAAAAGCAATTGAAATGATTTTAAAAAAGAAAAAACTCGAACCTGCGGAGTGGAACATTAACCTCGACCAATACTCAGAACCACAAAAAAGAGTAACTCTTGGGTTGGTAAACGTAAACATTGAGAAGTACTATTTGGCTTGTGTTATTCCATACCTCGGCCATTGGAAGGACCTTCTTCACTTTGGGTTTGTGAACAAGAAGTGCTTTGATACTCTTCTGATGGTTCACATCAACCCACTTTTCCCACAACCTGAGCCAGAATATCAAAACGAAAACACGCCTATAATAATGATAGACCATACCACGGAAATTGTGGACTTGTTTTATGAGACTTTTCTCCTTCCAAACATCCAAACATTCAAAATCAAATCTTCTCAAATTAACGAGGCTGAGTCTCTTATGACGAAGTATGATCGAATTGAAGTTCTTCCGCAGGCTGTATCTTCTATTAAGTATGATTATATGGACTGCTCGACATATTGTACATTAAACAAAAACGCAACCAAAATAGTTGCCCTTGATTTTTTGAATTGCAAACCTGAATTGTTTCAGTTGGAATTGTTCACAAATTTGCAGCATTTGAGGAACATCCCGATAGATATGAGATATGGGATTTTCAACACATTGAAAATTCTCAAATTGGCGCATTTTGTATCAAAGGACGCCGACTGCTTTGACCAGATCTTATTTGAACGGAAAACTGACACAAGTTTTGAGAATTTGAAACTGAATTTGGAGGACATCAATTTTGACAAGACGCGGGTCATTGTCACGTTAAACCAAATGGTCGAGTTCAACAAATTGCGAGAGGAATGCAAAAAGTTTGTCGCACGATTGAACGTGTCTGTGCGCGAACTGAACTTTGAGTCTATGGAAACCGAGAACTGCGTCATACAATTGAAGGGAGTCCGAGTCAGTCCGACTGATCTCGAGAGCAAGTTGTTTCAGACCTTTGTGGACAAGTATCTTCCTTTTGACGTGACGATAGACCCATTGTACCGGTGTAAAAAGTCACAATTTGACTTTTCGAATGCGGCAATATTGAAACACTTAGAACTGACAACTACGAAGGACGTGTTGCGATTTAACCTTCCGACTTTAATTGAAGACTTGCATATCCCAAGTTCAGTCTGTGTGTCGAATTTTGAGAAGTGTCATTTGACGAAACTCGAGATCACTGGAACCAATGTCTTTCCAAAGACGTTGCCAAAGAGTTTGAAGACGCTTGTGTTGGGCGAGAGTAATGCAATTTATATCCGAAATTTTGAAGATTTAGAGATTGAGGAATTGAAAATGGAGATCTACAGTGACGACTACGATCTCCCAAAAACATTGAAACGATTTGCGTTGGTGGGAGTATACAGTGATTTGCCCAAATTGGGAGAGTTAAACTCGTTGACTGCGCTCACGATTATTGCTTGTATTAATAAACCCCTTCAGTTACCAAGTAACTTAGTGAGTGCCAATTTGGATATTAGAACCAGTGAAAACATTGTATTTCCAACGTCTTTGAAATATTTGGACATTTTAGGAAAGCGGCCGGATGTTTGTCCGAATGTTGAAAGTTTGAAAATCTATGGGGAAAATACATCAAAAGTCGACTTTGTCAAGTTTTTTGCTCGGTGTAACAACTTAAAAATGTTGAAGATGAGTAACTGCGCGGCGGTGTATCAAAATCTTCCATCCACATTAATTGAACTCCATATCAACGAACGCAAGTTAAAGAGTGTTTCCATTGCCAATTTGACATCATTAAAACGTCTCGAAATGTGTTTCAGTGACATTGGTGATATGAAACTGCCGACGACCATTCAAGTATTAGTGTTAGAGTATACTCTTGAGTTGGGAGTCGCTGGGGAAAAGTATTTTGAACATATGGATAACGTGGAGTGTTACATTGGAAAGGAGAGTTTTCGATTTACAAAGGAAAAGATGCGATTATGTCGAGTGAATACCAAAGGATTATATTCAAAGTACACCACCCCGAACTTGGAAGGGGTATATAACTTTGGTAATGGGTTTGCAATTTTCTCATTTCGCTTCGAAGATGTTGGATATGATGACTCGACGTCTGATCAAGAACACGACCAAATGGAGCGCATCACAAGACGAAGAGCATTAATGGATCGCGATCCATACAGTGATTTTATTGTTGAAGAAGACAACAATGAAATGGCGAATGAAGACAATAGAGCAGTTCTCTTCCCTCAAAATACAAGACCAAATAATAGCACATTAGGTACAAATGCTTTACTCTTCCAAAATAGTCCAATTGTCATAGAAAACAATGCCCAAGAGTCTATTCCTGACAATAACAACATTAAAAGTGGTCAAGGCAATCAAGACTCTCCCTTTGAAATTGATTGATTCTATAGAATTGAATAGAACATAAAATACTATACAAATGCATTCACATTACAACAAGAATGAATCGACTACATTGAGATCATCCACCCATCTAAAGTACATTTTCAACTGGTCGACAACGCTTTCCGTCTCACAATCTTCTTCCGCAAGTTCCATCGTGATTTTCATCTTTTTGACGCTCTTTGGGATCTTCAATTTCCCACAGTCAAACGGCTCGTCTTTGTTCACACAGATTTGTAAGTCGACCTCGCGCAGATTTTTCAATTTGACGATGTCAATTTCTTTAATAGAAGAAACACTCAACACTTCTAATGTAGTCGGAACAAATGACGCATTCAAACAATTTCCTTCTGCTATAAATAACTCTTTCAACCGTCTTGATTCTATGATTTCATTACACTGAGCTACTTTTAACACCTCTAAACATGACGGAAGACTCAGCCCACACGGTAACGACCGTTTAATTACGACGTTTTTGATCTTCCGCGAGATCTGTGGGAAGTTCTTCCATTTAAATATCTTGAGGGTCTCCAACTCCAAAGTCATCAACTCTGGAGGCTTCCGACTTAAGTCCTCAATGACTAATTCTTTCAAACAAGAAGGAAATTCTACCCTTTTCGGGAAGTCCCGTATGCGCAGTTTTTGGAGTGCTCTAAGAGTTTCTCTGCCATCAAATCGAATGTCTTTTGTCGGAAAGTCTAACACTAATTTAGTTGCACTGTGTGGGATGGTCAAAGGAATTTTCGCTGTATCAAAATTGATTTTACTCAGACTTGTCATTTCTTTAATAAATTCAGTTTGGCTTCCTGTGTACGAGTATGGAAGATATAATTCCATAAAAGCTTTGAAATCAAATGTTTTAGCTTTGGAATCTTCAAAAAAGTTATTAAAGTGGGATGTTAAGACTATGATTTGAGTATCAAACTTCCCAAAATAGAAATTTGCGGCGTAAAGATGTGTATATTGCACACCAATCATTTCACGAATCTCTTTTGACACGTCGGTAATCTCAGGGTGATTGACAACTATGTGAGCACCAGATTGCTTCAATTTCTCTAAGATTTTTGCGTTGAAAAATATTTTAGTTTTGTCCTCCTCTTCTAAACAAAACTCAACAAATTTAACGGTGCGCGGAAATTCTATGTTTTCCAATTTGGAGATCATTTCACTCGCCGGGTTCTCTTCGGGATTGACTAAATAGATATTTTCAAGTTTTGTGAAAAGTGAAATCTTTTCGAGAAAAAGTGAAACAGTTCCAAAAAATGTGACAATTTTATCGTGTGGAATATTTTTCGGGAAAATGTCGCTCATTGGCACCGCGTTGATTGACGCAATCTCAAAATGAGAGAAGTCAAACGGCAAAAAATCTGAAGTGACATTTAAAATTTCTATCTTTGGAAAAATCCGAAAAATTGATGAGATGATTTTTTCAAAATTTTTTTGTGTTTTCGGTTCCAGTTGAAATGGTGGATTTGTCCTCATCTCAACGATCAAACGAGATACCCTTTTCGACAAAACTATCATTCGGGAAAATGTCTTTAAGTCTAATGTATAACTTAAAATACTTCGTATTTGATGATCGGCCAATCTCATTATTAAACATATCAGTTCTGTTAGGGTTACATTTGGGGTTTCACATTTTTTTATCTTTTTATTGGAAAAAAATATAAGTACTATTTTTTATTATAATTAATTAAACCATTTTTGAATTTATAATAATTTATTTGTATTATTTTCCATATTAATAAAATAATACAATTATAATTTTTAAATGGTTTTTAATAATAAATTAATAAAACCCAATATAATATGAAATATAGTTTGCATCTGATTGATTTACTAATAAAAAAAATTCATAAAGTAGTTTATTTTTTTTCTTCTTCTGGGATGAGAGGGACGGTTTCTCTAATTTCTGGGATATTATCAACAGTTTCTTTTACGTTTTGGTTTTCTCTAAACTTTCTGTCGACTTTTTCTCTATCAGTCTCGAGTTCGTTTGAGCTACCAAGAGCTGGGTCGATTTTGACAAGATCCTATATTATTAATATATATTATAATTAGATTACTATAATAGATAACAATTATTATTATTATAAAAATAATAATATAATAATAATAATATTATTATATCAAAGAAATAGAAAGAACAAACTTTTTCGTTTCGTGGTTGACCGCCGAAATATTTTTTAAGGACTAATTCGTCGAACATTACAAACATTTTTCTAAAAGCTTTTTTCTTTCCAGGAGCAGATTCTTCCAGTTCAAGACTCTCTGTTGCTGTGATGTTTCTGACATTAAGTGGCTCAGCACCGCCCATTTTAATTTTCATTAATTTTAACAAGAAAGGTGTAGTCATCCCGATCACCACATTAGTGAACAAGACGATCATATAAGTAGTATTTACGATAAGGGGGTTTCCCATTTGTAAAGCCAAAATGATAGCAATTGCCCCTCTTAATCCGGCATACCACAACATCAGTTGATGTCTCCAAGTGATTTTAGCCGCTTTCTTTCTGAAATTCATGAGGAAAGAAATGGGGAAGACGTTTAAAGCTCTTGAGAAGAAGCACAAAAACAAGACGTAAGGCATGAAGAGTGGATTCCAGTATTCTCCTTTCAAATTGTGTGGGTTGAACAACGTGACTCCGACGGAGATGAAAGTCAAAGTGTCTGACACAAACGCCAACGTGCCGACTGATGTATAGAGGACTGGTCTTTGGTCTTCTGGAATTGAATACCAGTGGTGATGTGACATAATAGCTCCCGACACAAATATTGTCAAAATGCCTGACACTCCAAGTAAATTCGACACGAAATACCCAATAAACGCCACACATAAAATCATTAATAAATTGAATGTTCCAGAGATGTGCATACTCTTCACTTTGTTAAAGATGAATGCAGAGAAGTATGAAACAAAAAGTCCTATAGCAAGGGACCCCACGACATTCAATAGAAATTCTCCTATGATGATTAAAAAGTCGACAAAAGTGAATTGGTCCAATGAAGAGTCTAATGTATGAAACAAAACTATAGACACCGCATCATTCAAAACACTCTCTCCAAATACTAATGAGTACAATAAAGGATCTACATTTAATTCAAGAAACAAAGCTAATGTAGCTACTGGATCCGTCGCCCCTAATAAAGTCCCAAATTGAAGACTTTGTGACATATTCATATTAGTCACTCTGATATAATCCACATCTATAAAGGTATACGCGTATATCCCAAAGCCTATCAATAACGACGACAAGACACACCCACCAACTGCAAATGACAATATAGGAACGATGTTCTTGAAAAAGTTCCGCTTTTTCATCGTAAACCCTGCATTAAAGATAATAAGTGGAAGAAGAAGGGTCTGGAAAATACTGGCAAAATTATCGGAGTCTAATATGTACTCAACTCCACCGTAGTGAAGACCTAAAAGTACTAAACCAACTAAGATCCCAATAAAAAGTGACACAATCGATTCAGAAAAGATGTGCAAAAATGGAACTATTCGAACAAAGATCATTGTAAGAAGTGTAAACAAAAAGATCGAACACACTAGAAGAGCAGCAACTTCAAATGTCTCCGTGTCCGTCTCTTCACTCACACTGGATATGGTCGACATTTTGTGTGCTTTTTACAGTTCTTTTCGGTCTTTTCTCAATCAGTAAATAATTAATTTGTGTTTTTGGGTGTGTCAAATACGCCAAAAATTCAGTGGTTTTTGTAAATAGTGAAATGGCAGATATATTGGGATTTTTGTGGCTTTCCACCTTGTTAAGACTTTTCTTTACTATTATTTGATTAAAAATTTTAACGTTTAGAACCGACTTTTCTTTTGTTTTTTTCTGTTCTAATTGTCTGAAAAATGGTAATTATTACAATATTCAAAACTTGTATTATTTATTAATTAATACATTATTATTTATGTATAATACTTAAAACTATTATTTTGGATATATTCATGGTTAGACAAATAATTCATTTAATCAGTTTTTATAATAATTTTTACTGGAATTAATAGTTTACATAAAGCTTTTGTTTAACAAAAAATTATTTTTGGGAATATAAAATATGAAATAATAATAAATGTGATGAAAACATTTTGTTTTTTAACTAGCAAATTTATAATTTCTATTTTGTTATTATTATTAATCATTTTACTATAAAATAAGGACAAATTATTTTAAATTGTTTAACTATATTACAGAATCCAATGAAATGAAGCTATTTCAATTAATAAATCTAAATTTTTTTGATTAAATCTATATTTTTACTATAAGTCTATTAAAATTTAATAGTTTTTTATTTAATAAAAAAACTAAATACAGTATAATCCGTGTTTAATTCCAGTCCGGGTTTAATTAAATAATCGGGTTTAATTCATTCAAAAATAATTAAACCCGAAGTAAGAAAAAATAATAAAAACGACACTTTTGAGTTTTATTACCATAGTCTTGTTTTTGTTCAAATTTATGTAAAATAATTGGGTTTTTACCTAAATTAATCAGAATATTTGTTTTTGAATAAAAATGCATTATTTTTGTTTCTTGAACTATTTTTCGGTACTATTACATTATAAATTACTTATTATAAAATAATGAATAACTAAAAACGAATATAACAAACTCGAGTTTTATTCGTTTTTATTTATTTAAACAGACTTGTTTCATTATCACCTTAACAAAGTATTTGCCGCGAGTGTTTTTTGAAGGAAGTCCATCTTTAAGTCACTGTTTGTGCGTCCCCATGTCACCACTTTCCTCCTCCGTACTGTTTGGACGCTGATGTGGTTCCCTTTTCAAACGGGGCGTTCCTTGGGATCTGCGCAAGAATAACATTGAAAGTGTGTGAAACGGGTGCACAAACAGACCGCCTGTGCCTTCTTTTTGATTATCGTCTCACTCGGTTTCCACTGTTTCGAGGTGAATTATCGACACATTTTTAATTCGGGAACCAGACCAATTATTATCCCAAGCTCCCATTTACTATAATTTTAATTAAAATATTATATTAAATAGTTAAAAAAACTTTATTTTTAGAGACGATGAAAAAGCCTTTACCATCATCATTTGTTTTTGATTGAATCAAATATTTATTAAATAATTATAACTATGAAACTACCGAAAGTTAATTCCATCAATTATTTTTGATTTAAAAATCATTTAAAAAAATTTTCTTGAAAAAAGTGGAATTAAACCCGATAGTTCCAAAATATTTTAAGTGAATTAAACCCGGATTATACTGTATATTTATAATATTAGAGAAGTTTTTTGTAATTTATAACTAATTTATAATTATTAAACTATTAAAATATACTATATAATTCAAAAAAATAGAATCTGCTTTTTTTGCATTCTAACCAAAATAACGTGTTTGCAGCGATTGTTTTTTGAAACACCTCTCAGCCACTGTTTGTGCGTCCCATGTCACCCATTTACTTATTCATACTGTGTGAACACGGATGCATTTCCACCCAGCTTACGAAAGGTAAGTAAAGGGGAATCCGCGTCAAAGTGGCACAAACTTACTGTTAGATATTGTCTTTATAAGCCTTCTTTTCAATGCTCCGTCTTACTCGGTGTCTACTGAATTGAAATGACTGTTGACATTTTTCGATATTAAGTAAACATTTGGAACAAGACCAAATGTTTACTTTATTTCCTATTTACTTTAATCATAATTTACATATTTTTTTCAAATAATAAACCTTTTTTAATAAAATAATAAACCTATTAAATACTTATTAAAGAGTGTTAACGTGATAGGGCGTATCCACACGAAATTGTGAATCCCTGTGGATTGGAATATTTTGTGTGGATAGCCTCTTATTTTTTTGTCGAAAAAACCCAAATATTCGTTTTAAACCATATGTTATGATTTTTAAAATTAATAATTGTTATTTATAATCATTTATGGGACAAAAATGATATACAAACATGAATACCCCCATAAGGAGTATTTCCAATATTTGCAATAATTTCATAGTAAGAAAAAACGCTATTCTCAGCCTTTTTTGGAGTGGTAAAATAAAAATAGATCAAAATGAACAAATAAAATTACTAACGAAAGTCACTCGTATTATCCCGTTTATTTGATACATGTAACGCTATTTTTTTCGTTTTTTTAATTGAAAAAACATTTCAAAAGTGATTTATGTGATTATAATTTGGGAAAATTCCCGTTTTTTGCATTAAAAAATATTTAATTTTAATATCAATTAACAATTATATTATTTAATTGTTAATTGTGGCTCAAAAATGCATTAATTATCACTTTTTACTAATAGTATTGTAATTTATATAAACACTTCATTAGTTTATTATTTTAATAATAATATTTGGGAATTGAAATTTGTTAAATAAAGTTCTTTTAGTTTGCGCAAATTATACGTATAAAAAAGGGTTTTACATCCTAAATTAATTCTGGTTTTGTTGAAAATGTTAAAGACAAAGGTTTTATGTCTAAACTATTAATTAATAACAATAAATTATATAACAATAGTACATTATTAATGAACATAAAAATGACAGAATAATCACAAAACAAATTCTATTAACATAGTTAAATAAAATCTAATTTTTACTATAAAAACCTTAAAAAGTTAAATGGCAAATTACCACATTGTAACCATAAGTTATTATTTATGTTATTAAAAAATCATAACAATACTAGTTAATTAGAATAGAAACATACGACAAATACCAACAAAAACCATCAAAAAATACAAGTCATGTTACTTATTTTGAACACATGTAATAATAAAGATTGTCTATCTATATTTACCATCCACACCTTTTTAGCCTATCCACAGTAAACTATGCCATAGTTTTTTATGACAAATTATATGTTATTTTATATATTATTCAATTTCAATAATTTTATTGATTAAATATAATTTATACAATTAGTTAAATAAACTAAAGTTAATTAATAAAAAACTTTAGTGTTATTTTTATTTTAACAAAAATTGTTTTTTTTTGCGGCAAATTCGTTTAAATGGTAAAAGTAAAAGATGACTTTGACTAAAAATAAAATTTGTTTTTTCTGTTTTTACTTTCAAAAAAATCGCTTTTTTATGAATTCGGTCCAAAAAACCCATTTTTTTGTAAACTCTTAGCCAAATTTAATGGAAATTACAACATAAATGTGTAAGATTTTCAAAGCCATCCACATAAAAGTGGTCTATCACGTTAACACTCTTAATTATAACTGTCAGATGTAATTGAACTATATATATAACTATATTATAAATAACTTAAAGAAGTTATGGTTTACTTATAAATAATAGATTTCTTTATTAAAACATTTAAAAATCAAACTACTCTTAAATTATTATAAATTGTTAGTTAATTATAATATATTATATTAATAAAATAATTATTTTTTTTTAATATATTGTTTATTTTTAATTTAAATTATTTTTGGAGAAAAAATAAATTTAAATTCGTTTTTTCTATAAATAATTTACAGTTATTTTGTTATTTCAAATTAAACCTTCGTTTGATTACATTTATAATTAATATAATATTATTGAAACTAATATACTGAAGCCCTAAAAAGTTGTTTAATATTATAGTATATTTATTGTTTTAATAATGATAAAAAATAACATAATAAAAACAAGTATCTTACTAAAATATTTATATTTGTGGTATTCAAGATAAAATACAATTAACTTATTTTATAATAAATAAATATAATTATCTAATAAATTACATTTTTATTTATGTCGTGATATATTTTAAGAATATGTATGATTTAAATTTTATTTTCGTTTATTTTCAAGTCAACAACTATCGAGCCAAAACCCGCAAAGTCAAGCAAAAAGGTCTCAATTTTTAAATAAACAAAGAATTTTTTTGTTAATGATTAAACTAATATTTATAATAAAATCAATTATATTATTGGTTCATATGTCTAAAGTCAAGAAGAAAAATCAAATCCACTTTTCACCTTTGTTGAGGCATTTTCAAATTCGATGTTAATAATAACTTAAGTCAAATTATAAAATATGGCATATTAATTAAAAAATATTAGTTAAGGTGGTTAATAAAACCCTGAATAATTTCAAAATAAAAATCCTGAAATATGTAAAAAGACATGTTGATTTTTATAGGTAATAAACCTTCCCAAATTTGCATAATTATACAACTAATATAAAGTTATTTATAGCACACTATTTTACCTGTAAAATTAATATAAAAACGGATTTCTTGGATTGCAAGAAGAATTATACGCACTTTTGAGAGGATTTACAGTTGTGAAGTCATGTTAAACATAAAAATTCATCACCTTATTATCGGCATATTTCTATTAAATGTTCGCAAAATCATTTAAAAATCAAGGCAATGGTATATAATCAATGAAATTGCCTTCATTCTCAAAGACAATCAAATAACACCAAAAAAAACACCCCAAAAAGAAAATGCGATACAAACTTATAATACTACTATCAAAATAACACACCAATGTCTGTTCTCCAATCTTTACCTTCTTATTATCAGCGTTCCTTTTACTTGAAAACTGTGTCTCAAACACCACTCACAGTCCCGTTATTCACTCCTCTCTTGATTCCAAAGGTCAACATGAAACCATCAAATCCAGTCATTCTGTCCGACGACAACACATTCGAAGACTCCTCAGCAGATATCGTCGAGACTCCTTGTGATTTCGTCGAGTTTGAAAACACCTGTGACATCGTCAAGAGTATCATCACTTCGACTTTGCTGGACCTGAAAACCCCCAAAGACACACCTTCAAAAATCTCAGACGAAAAGTCTAAAACAACGGAGTCGTCCTTCGTCCAGCCATATGCACCAAACGACTCGAACAGTCTCGAAGAGCTCGAAAATGAGATCAAATGCGATTTAACCAAGAAACACGACACCAAAGACAAGAAGACTAAACGAACAAAAAAGATCGATGACAAGCGCACTCACGTGATCAAAAAGAAAAAACATTACACACGACAAGAGCCTTGTAGTAGTCGTTTCACTGACATTGCCAAATTGGTGACGGTCTTCGGAATGATTTTTATCTGCCTTGGTCTCATCTGGAAGAGCCACACTGACATGCTCACACTTTAGTCGCTGTATTTCTTCGCATCATTTCATTACTTTTTATCATTCTGGTTCTATCTTTTTTACTACTTAAAACAATATGGTGATGAAGAAAATATAAATAGTATCGATCACTTGAATTTATCAAACTTAGACTTCACTTTGTCACACTTTTCAGTAATACGGCCTATTTTCACTTCGTGTTGTCGTTCACACTTCTCACTTTTTGTGATCTTACCAAACTCATCTCTCTTTTTGCCACATTTAGTATGATACTTCACAAAGATGTCGCGCTTCGGTTTGTCACACTTCTCTTTCTCCTCCTTAAAGATATCCTTCTTCTTCTCGCACTTCTCTTTTGGTGGCTCCGAGAACTCTTCTTCCTTATGTGGTGGATTGTCGGAATAAGGTGGTGGCGGGATTTCTGAATCAATTTTTGGTGGGTTGAATGAATCGTGTTTGTGTGGGGGTTCTGAGCTATTTGGTACTTCTGAGAATGGTGGGGTTGTTGAAGACGAGTCTTTTGGTGGTTGTTCTGAATTGTCTCCAGGTGGTGGAATTTCCGAATCTTTTGGTGGTTGCTCCGAATTGTTTGGTACACCAGAGGACTGATTTGGAACACCCGAAGACGAATGGTTGGGAACACTGGATGAGTGGTTTGGTATGCTTGATGAATGTGTTGGAATATCCGAAGACTGATTTGGTATATTTGATGAATGACTTGGAACACCAGATGATTGATTTGGAATACTGGATGAATGTGTTGGTACACCAGAGGATTGGTTAGGTATGCTTGATGAATGGTTGGGAATATTTGAAGAATGACTTGGCACACCAGATGATTGATTTGGAATACTCGACGAGTGACTCGGAATACCAGATGATTGGTTGGGAATATTAGAAGACTCATGTTTTGGTACATCAGACGAATGGTTAGGAACACTCGAAGAATGATTTGGAATACTAGACGAGTGATTTGGTATACTGGATGAATGTGTTGGTACACCAGAGGACTGATTTGGAATATTCGATGAGTGACTTGGCACACTTGAAGATTGGTGCTTTGGTGGATTACTTGAACTTTGTATTTGAATAGTTGATGATTCTTGTTTTGGTGGATTTGGCACATCACTACTAACATGTGGAGGATTCGACGACACTTTATTAACAACAGAGGAGCTTTCTTTCTTCACCACTTCTGATGATTCGTTTTTAACGACCTCACTCTTCGATTTGGATTCCGAAGGGACTTCTGATGGTACACTTGATTGGACAAATGTTGACTCTTCCTTTATTTCAACCTTTCGAAGTCTAATTACAACTCGGTGTTCCAGTGACAAACATGTTATAAGTCTTTGTTGGTTTTCATAAGAAACCATATCAAGTCCTCTTCTCATTTGAGCGATTAACCTGACCTTGAGGAGGGAGATTTTTCTTAAATTCTTTCTTACAGTTCTAATCTTGCACAACAACAACTTTCTATCTCTGATGCCAACAAGTATCGAAAAATCTTTCATGTCACTTTCGACTTCCTTCCGCAACACTCTCTCGATATCCTCTAACCGTTTCATCTTCTTTTCTATTGATGATAACAAGTGCTCCAAATGGACCATTCGACATTTACACTGTTTCCCGTAGCAATGCATGTAATCACACCGCGGTTCGCAATCCTATTGTGTCATTTTTTATCCAAATATATACACTTCGTTCCACACCACATAATCTCAAAAAATCAAGTTCAATCGTTTGTATTTACAACCTTTGTTTGTTTGAATTCAACGTGACTTGTCAAATCTCATTTTGTATTTTTATTTTAATTAATTTTTGGCTGAAACGAACTCAATACAAAAAGAAAAAACAAATAATAAAAACAAACTTTGCACGGTTCTACACTCATTACAATCACAATCAGCGAGGCGATAAGTGTTAAAATTTTCATTTGTAATATTATGAATTTTAAGAACTCTTTTCAAGTTTCTTTTTTTGTTGATTTTTATTTTTATTTTTTTTTGAGTTTGGTAATTTTTTGTTTTCTTTTTTTATTTTTTATAATTTTAATTTATAGTTTTTATTATCATTTAATCATGGTTTTAATCGATCTTTATTTTTTAACTCAAAACTCGTATACTTGTGATGTGTTCGTTATTTTACGATATACAATAAACTCCACTTCTTATGTTTAGTATTTTTGAATGACACTAAATTAAAAGTTGATTACAATTAGATGAGATACAATTAAAATATTAATATAGTAAATTGATCTATAAATAAACTATAAATAACAAACCATATGGATACTGAGTTATACCCATCCAATCCGCCTCAAGTGAAAAAGATCAAACAGTCAGTTGTTCAGACGATTCAAGCTGGAGTTTATGAAGGTGGGTTTCAGATTTGGGAAGGTGGTGATGATTTATACAATCACATTGCTACAACCCTCCCAAAATTTTCAAACAAGCGGGTGATGGAGTTGGGGTGTGGTCAGGCTCTCCCTTCCATTTTACTCAAACTCAATGGTGCGACAGTTGATGTTTCCGACTACGTTTGTGTATTCTTCAAAACCCTACTTTATCTTCATTTTCCAAAATTCGTACATTGTTTATTGTCTGAATTTTCTCAAATTCAGACAACTGATTGTAGTATAAATTATAATTAATATATTTATAATTTTATAGTTTCTAATCGCAAGAATAAGGAAGTCATCGACCTCACTAAGCTCAATTTCCAAGCAAATGGGCTTTCCCTTGAAACTACCAAGTTTTACACCGGCGACTGGGACTTACTTCCAACCTCCGACTATGACTTTGTGATCGGTGCTGATGTCACATACAACCCGGAGAACCACACAAAGTTAGCGCATGCAATCAACAGATTACTGTCTCCACACGGCGAAGCAATTATAGCCACAAAAGTGATCTATCCAGGTAACAATGGCTTGATCTCCGATTTCAACGCTGTGATGACTTCACTTGGTTTCACATATTCATACACCCAAGTCAACTCTTCTGGGGTCGTTCGACTCATTGTGACATACAAAAGACATAACTAAACACTCCCTTTCTGAGTTATTATTATCATTCGATCGTATTAGTTTCATATATTATATTTTACTAATACCATGGAGTAACTAGTCGTATTAACAAGAAAACTACAAATCTATTATTACAAATCACTTCGTCGTTTCCACAAGCAACCGATGGTTCTCCGCCTCGTCCCATCCCATTCGTTTCATCTCGTCAAAGACAACACTATTCCTTACAAAGTCTTTCGCGTCGTCTAATCCATCTTCTTTCCTCTCAAACACAATATCTTCTTCCCCTTCAAATCGTTCTTTCAGTTCATTCAAATTGTTCACATTAAAGGGGTACTTCCCTGTCATTAAAAAATAGAGAACTAACCCTAGAGAGTATAAGTCACACTTCTCGGTGTATTCCATTCCCTTCACTATCTCAGGAGCAGCATATAAAGGTGACCCCACTCCATGCACCATCTTCTTCAGAGTCTTTGTCGCAAAGCCAAAGTCACACATCTTAATCTTCATGGGACACTCCTCAAATACTAAAAAGTTCTCGGGTTTGATGTCTCGGTGGATGATCCCAAACGTCTTCCGAAGATAAGAGCAACTCGCAAAAATCTGTCCAAACGTTTCTTTGACCTCAAAGGGACTCAACGTATAATTCTTGAATTGCCGCTTCTCGACGTACTTCGTTAAATCACCTAACGGACAATACTCGACACACAAACAACACCCTTCCTCACTGTTTAATGTGCTTTTGATACTTCCAAAACCATAGCACTTCAATATGTTCGGATGATGACACATCCCCATGATCTTTTCCTCTTTCTTCAAGTTGTCACACTTGTCACCAAACGACTTCTTAATCACTATTATCTTCCCACTGGTCTTTTCTAGGGCTTGGTACACCGTCCCATACTTCCCTTTCCCAATTTCATTGATGATATAGTAATCGTCCATATTCACTTCTTTCACTTCAACTCGCTTTTGCCACGTGTCCATCGCGTTCACAAAGTTCGAGAGAAGCCTCAGCACACTGTCTATTGATTTTCTCCTCTACACTGTTACTGCTCAATTCCGTATTGTTGATATGTATAATTAATTATAGAATGTGTATCATATGAAGTATATTTCAATGGAGATCAAATCATACTATATTATTCTAGAGTATGATAGTAATTATTATAAGAGTACAATAGAATAAAGAATAATAAACAAACTAAAGAAGGGAAATTGGGGGTCTTCTCGTCGACAAAAAGGTCGATGATTGTGTTCAATTCTCTTGAAAAAGCCTTTGCACTCTTTGGTTCACAAGTTGTTTCAGTATTTGTTGAGTTCGACGTGTTTTTCATATTAAAAGTGTTTTGTGGGGAATTAGACTTTGACGGCTTTGACAACATCTTTAGAATGAAAGAGAGAGGAGTGAGAGCGAGTTGTGGGAAAGGGGAGTTCTGTTGTTCGAAGAGAGCGATTGAGAAGTTAGTAGGTGCGACGGATATATTGTCCTCGAATTTGTCTTTATGAAGTTTAGAGGCGATTTCGAGCAAAGAGGAGAGAAAGGAATTGCGCTCGAAAGGAGTGACGTTGTTCTCTTCGAAATAATTTTGGATTGAAGTGTTAAAGGGTTGTGGAGTTAAAATATAAAGTCGTTGTGGGTAAGAAGTCTCTTGGAAGTGAACGACTGGACTGACATAAGGAAAGGAAGTTAATTCTTTATATTGAGCAATAATGTCAAGTAACACATCGATTTGTGAGTCACACATTTGCTCTGTATTCACTTCGATAAGTAATTGATGTGGAGACGTGTGGCATTGACGAGCGTACGGCATATTTATTGTGACGGAAGAACAGGAGATGTTCTGCTCTTCATAAAAAAGGGAATCACTTTTGTGACAGATTATGCCGTTCAAACACTTCATTGAATTTGTAAGTTGAACTTCACAATTCGTTTTTATTGAGAGGAAATAATGAGGCCAAGGTGTATTTTTGTTCACTTTCTATCTGTTTTTCTTGAATCAGTGACTTCAAAATTCAGAATTGTATCATTTTTATTGTTTTGTATTTTATTCTGGTTTATTTACTGGATATATAACTATAAAATATAGTAATTTCAAGAAAAAGAATAAATTTGTTTTTAATAAACAAAAATTGAAAATAAATTATTGAGAAACAGAGATTTTTGAGGATTGAGTTAATTTGGAAAAAAGAATTCGGCGATTTTTGACCTTTGGATAATACGTGTAACAATTTAAAATAACAAAACAAATAATATTATAAAAACACAATCACAAAATAAAAAGATAACATTGGTAATGAATAGCAAAAAGTGCTGTGTATAAAGTTGTAAATATAAAAAAACTATTTTTTGATTTTTGTTATGTTTTTTTGTTGAAAATAACCTGAAATATCAAAACAATTTCTTGGAAAAATAAGTTAAATAACTCATTTATTTTTGTTTAATTTTGGTAAAAAAAATTAATAAATCTATCATATAAAAACCATTTTATTAATTATAATTATTTCTCGTGTTGAGGTGAGAAAAAAGTATTTGTGGTAAAAAGTGGTTACGATCTGTGGATTATTAATGTCAAAAAACGGCAAAATATCTATGAAATGTTGAGGTTTATGAACTAAATAATATATTGAACTCATTCTGGAAAAGTCTTAAAAATCATTACTATTATTCATTATCAAAATACTAATAAATTATTACTAAAGTTTTTAATAAAAAATATGAAAAAAAAACGATATTTATAACATTTATTCTATTTAAAATGTTATTGTGATTTTTAAAAATCAAAAAATTATTTTTTAATTGTTTAAAATTAGAAAAAATATTTTTATTATTTTAATTAAAAAAAAATTAAAGAGAATTACTAATTTTTATAAAATAATGGTTATAATAATATATTTGTTAGTTTAAGTTTTTATTTTAATGTAAAATAATTACACAATTATAATTTTATAAAAAAATGTTAATAAATATAGTATAATATTAAAAAACATATTTAAATGATTTTATAATATTTTGAACTAATATATTCAAAATGAAAATATAAGAAATGCCAAAAGGCATGCAAAATAACTTTATAAATATTAAGGCATTTTTAATTTTCTTTGACACTTTTATTATATTTTAATAATTTGATCAATCATTATTAATCATATCACGATAATAATCCACAATACAACGAAAAAAGTTGTCAAAAAATTCACAATTATTAATTTGATGGAATATTTAACTATTTTATATAGTTTATTTATTAATATTGAATAATAATATTTTATCTTTGCATTTTTATATTCTGAACACTTAATTTATTCTATCAACAATCGTCACTGGCATTTTTCTCACTTGGATAATACCAATACTTTTTAAACAGCAACTTAACAAAACAATAATTATAATAATTAAATATTAATGGTAAAATTTTAGATATTTACTTATAATTTGATACTTTTTTTTTTGACAACACAGAACCGTTCATGAATGTTGATTGATGTGATTGAATCTGTCAGAACAGGGAAAAAGAACCAACTTAAACAGTCCACAACTTAAAAAAGAGACAAATGGACACCACAATGTCATACGATGACTTAATCCCAAGCGAAGAGCGCAATATTAAAGCAATAGCGCATTACCCGCATTTGATTTCCTACAATAACTACCTATCCAATTCCCTCCGCTCTCCCGCCCCAGACTCAATCACGAAACTCCCATCACTCTTTGTTGCTATTGATACAATGAATAACTCCAACTTTACCAAGTCGATCATATACGTTGTCAAGAAGTTAGTCCCTAACTTCAAAGACACACAACCAGACAAGTTCTCTTTCCGACACTTCACAGAAGGGATTACTAATAAGTTGGTGTGCATCACCGACACCACCACGAACTTCTCTGTCAATGTAAGAACGTACGGGTCGTATACTGAGTACGTCATTGATCGAAAACAAGAACTGTTGGTCACCGAGGCTTGCAGTACTGTTACGTTATATGGGACGTTTTTGAATGGTGTAGTGTACTCATACATCCCCGGGAGAACACTTTGCTTAGGCGACTTAATCGATTTGAAGACTTTTAAAGACACGGCAGTCGCTATTGCTCGACATCACAAGATCACCCCACCACTCGTTAAGGCACCTTTACTCTTCGTCACACTCAGAAAGTGGCTTGCAAACGTCCCACTCGAATACGTCGACCAGAAGAAAACGCCATATCCCATTAACGTGTTAAAGGACGAGTTGGTCTTTTTGGAAAACAAGTTGAAGGACAAGAGCGACGTCGTCTTGTGCCACAACGACTTGTTATTGAAGAACTTCATTAAAAGTACTGACGGCGTTTCTTTGATCGACTTTGAGTATAGCAGTTACAACTACAGAGCTTTCGATTTGGCAAATCACTTTTGCGAATGGTGCGGATTCGAGTGCAACTGGGACAGTTACCCTAATCAAGAAACTCAGAGGAGATTCATATCAATGTACCTCTCGGCTTATTACGTTTGTTACACTTTAAAAGGCACAACAAGTTACTAATTATTAGAAAAAACCTGCCGAAGAATTAATAGGTGAGATAGAAAAGATACTTGAAGACGTCAAATGGTTTGAATTGGCTTCACACTTCTATTGGGGGACTTGGTCACTCATACAAGCCGCTCTGTCTTCTATCGACTTCGACTACACCGTCTACGCGTATGAACGGTTTAATAGATACTTTGTGGTCAAGAAGAATCTGATGGGCTAATTCTGTATCCTTTTTATTATTAGTTTGAAATAGAAAGAATATAGTTTTATTATAATACAACTGTTGTTCTAATAAATAATAGATTATTATATTATGAGAGTATTAAAGAATAAAACACAGAAGAAATGTATCAAGGCCGATGGATGGAGATGTGCGAGAGTTGAGAAGGGAGTGTATCGACTGCTTCCCATAAGAAGCAGACGCTTTCTATAACACGTGGGTTGTCTTTGTATTGTAACAAAGCGGTGGTGAGTATATTGAAATAATCGTTGCACATTTCCTTGACAGAACAAAGACCGGAACGCAACTTAGAACGCGTCGCGACAACTTCGTCGTCAGCATCAGAGACACAACACTCGACAATTAGTATCTTCAAGTATTCAGCCGAGAATGACTGCATGAGGGCTTGAAGTGTTGGAGTCTCTTCAAAGAGTGTAAACATCTCTTCAAAGAAGCACATGACATCAGAAGAATATTCTAACGACTCTCGACAATACGTTAAAAGTATTGGCATCACTTGTTGGAGGTGTGGTGTATCGTAAAATGAAATGGCAAATGTTACCAAGACTTCCAATGATGATGATGTGTTCATGGTAACTATTTGCGATAAAATAGAAAGTGTTAGTTGTTTTAAAGGTTCTTCGACGACTTCAGGCACTAACACTGAATTTCTCTTTTTTTTTGAATCTAATTCATTTTACTATTAAGTAATAATTACTGATAATAGTTTATTAATAATAATTAATAATAATTAATAATAATAATTAATAATAATTGATAATAGTTTATTAATAATAATGGTTTTAAATTCTAAATGAAATAAAAACATTAAACAAACTTCGTATAAAAACTGCGGAGTATAAGTCCATCGCTTCTTCAACAGATGTGTTATGTGAGATTGCAGAGAGCACTAGATTTAAAAATGGTATCAAGTACTTTTTGTCGAACGTTGTCGAATGCCCTACGATATCAGATAATAGCAACGTCACTTTTAAGTTGTTGGTTTGAAGGAGTAAAGGTATCAATTGGTTTTGAAAGGAATACATTCGCTTTTGAAGAAGGGCTGATGAGTCATATGGCAAGATGTCGATTGTGTCAAAGATAAAATGGAGAATAGACGTTTGGTCGTCGATTGAAGTAAAACAGTTGAGGACTTCCAGCGGAGTGGTTTCGGATTTGAGTACCAAAAGAGAGGAAGTTAAACCAATAGTTTGTTGCAACCTAATACATTACTATTTAAATATAGTTTGGTTAAATTACTAATGATATATAATATATTTATTATAATTAGTATAGTAAATTTGTTAATATTAAAGAAACTATTGTTTGTATTATATTGTTCTAAAGTGATAGTTAATATAGTTGTTTATTAATAACAATGGTTTCAAACTGAACCTTGGAATTTATAGTTAGTTTTAATAAATAAATATAACATATTATCATGTGGTAGAACGACAAACTTTGAAAGGGAAGGATTGAGCATTTGTTTGGCGTATTTGTTGTATAAGAATGTTAAATGGGTAAACAGGCCTTTTGCGTCGTCGAAAGACAGAGCACTTTGATTCAGCTTGACGTATGTAAAAAAACAAAGCACCGCGTAAAAAACAAGTTGTTGGTTGTTTGATGCGATTACGTGCTGCAACAATTTTGCTGCATTTTGTGATTTCATGTATTGTGTAAGCTGTGTATCAGCATTTCTTCTGATGTTGTCATCACTCGTTCCGTAAAATTGGGTGATCAAGGTGTTGAGAATTTGCAGGTTTTCTTGACTCTCCAAACCAAGCAAAGCCATTCTGCTTTTTTTCTCAAAAAATAATCTTTTTCTTTTGATAAACTATACTTTTAATTTTTTTTACAAGAATTATACTATTATAATTCTTACACAATAATATTAGTATATTTTATAATATATTAAATTAGCAGAAAAACGGATTGATGGTAAACTATAAATAAAAAAAAAGATAATTATGAAAAAGTATTAAATATAAATAATATATTTATTAATAATTAAGTTAACAATTAAATGAGAAAAAAAGTGGTAACAAAAAGAAAAACTATAAAAAATAATAAAAGAAACTAGTAATATAGATTTCAAAAAATGAGCCGCCAAGTTGACATCATTGACCAGATATTTGCCAATATCGACTATCTAAACGACGCGATGATAGCCCCACTTGCGGAGCTTGGAAATTATTTAGCAAACGATCAACAGTTACAACAGCTAAAAGATGAGGATTATCAACGTCACGCCAAAAACATAGTAGCCGTTGTTAAGAATGTTTGTTATTATTATAATTTAACTATAATATAAATTACATAATAAACCCATATAAATACTATAATTTATAATAAAAACAAGCTATACCAGGGTATAGTAAATTCAAACTAATAAGAAGTTAGACGTCCTTATCGACCAACTTCCTCCACTTGAAGACAACACGCCCGAAGTCAACCAAAAAATCCAAGAGCTTGAGGTCAGAAACAAAGCTGTTGACCAGAAGCTGAAAGAAGTTGTTGGGGAGAGCGAAAGCTGTTTGAACCACTTATATGCCGTAGACGAGACTATTCAGTCCGCTGTTATCAACTCTAAAAATTGATTGTTTTTTATTATAATTTTATGGTTTGTGTACTATTTCTATACTATTTGTTATATGAACTTAAATAGTGTTTTTGTTCATGTTCTAATAAATACATATTTTCTCATAAAAATATTGAACTATAAACTATAATAAACTGTATTATTGTAATAATACAAATAAACAATGAGAAATGAGATTTCTTATTGTCATAACGAGGACAAACTAAAGTAAGCTTTTTCGGTTTTTGTACGATTAATTCACCTTTTTGCAGGATGACTCATCTCGGATTTTTCTATTTTTTAGATGGGGTTATACGTTTTTCTTTTGATTGTTTGCCAATGAATAGCCGAAATGAAGTCTTTTTTATTCTTTTAAGAAGAGAAGCAGGCATTTGTCGTCTTTATAACCCACGTTTCCTCTTTCTTTTTGTATAATATATTTTTAATATTATAATTATAACTTGTAATTATACAAATTGTGGGTTTGTTACCCGAAAATTTCCAGAATGACTAGTTATTAACAATCTTAATGACTCTTCATTTTTATCATAAGTGTTAGTATAAATAATTATAATAAATAGTTAAAAACGAATGAACAAACTGAGGTATTTTTTGGGTCGATTTTTGAGTTTAAACCCAACAGTAAAATCAGAATGAGTAAAAGTGATGAACAGGCCTTAACGAAAGAATCTGCTAAACTTCATGCGTTTGCTGGCCAAAACACAACCCGTCGTTTTTCGCTGAAATACAATCTTGCCACGTCTGTCCAAAAGTTGTCTCTGTTGCTCCAACAAACGCCACCTAAGGTGACGTCACTCAATGAATTATGGGATTCATGTCTTCTCATATTTCCCACCATCGAAACAGACATCAATTTTCTGAACTTTTTTTATCTCATAGTTTCCCATCCAAAGTACATTTCAGCTCTTTCATTAGAAAATTCGTTGTACCTAACTTACAGAACAAAACTCATCAAAACGCTTGAATTAGTCATATCTGCGATCTCGACGTTTTCTCTCAAAATTGATCTTCCATCCGCTTCCATTCGAGGAACAGCTGGGAAACTTCATGCGGAATTTGACGAGAGGACTTGTTCCTTTGAAACGGCAAGACCGGTGTTATCCGCTCCAAAGAAAAAATCACTCTTTTCGAAATTTAAAAGAACTAAAACAGTTCCCGTCATGACCGTGACGGAGGAATTAATTCCATTTGCTGTTAAAATAATAGGACTTGGGTACTTTCGAGTACCCATATTCAGAGAATGCTTACTCCTCGATTTCGAAACGCACATACAATACAAATCAACGTGGACTATGAAGAAGGCACTTTCAAAACACTTTCCGTCTTTAATGATGTGGGACGACTTCGATAGTAAATTGAAGAAAGCAGAGCTCGATGTCAATATCAAAGTCCTTAACAACGAGAAGTCGTTGTTTGTGATGATTTTCCATGAAATCGTTGTGTATCTTGAGAAGCAGACAATCAACAAGTTTGTTTCATTGACAAAGTCTTCAATAGAATTATATGGAATTAAATAGAATTGTTTAAAATCGTGCATATTAAAACATAGAGTCATTCAATGGACCATCTTCCATGGGTTTGATGTATTACTCGAGATGTACACAAGGGAGTACAAAGATTTGAATATTGCAGATGACTATGTTCACGCTCTCGATGGGATATTAGTATCTTCTGTCCATCCAAAAATGATCAATTTCTATATGGAGACTGAGTTATCACGAACAAATATGTACGATGAAGGTGCTGTCTTGTGTTTGTTACTTCAAATGTTTATTTTCTAATAATTAAAACAAAATTAATAACAAAATTAATAACATTTTAATAACATTTTAATAACATTTTAATAACATTTTAATAACATTTTAATAACATTACTTAGTCTGTGAAGTAAAGAATGACCGATAGCAACTATAGCAGACCTTGAATTCTACTTTTCTAAACTACGGACAAAGGTCTTGTTATTGAAGAAAGACTTTGACGTTGAGTTGTTATGTAAATTTATAGACACGATCATCGAGAGCGAAAATGTTGTGACACTTCAGCGTATACTGACAGTGTTATACTCATACGCAGACTTGTTTAGTGGAAAGGTGCGACATACATTCTTTATCGAGTACTTGCTCGACAAGAAGTTTTTTGTGTTAGCATATTTTTGGGAGGAGAATGTGATCTCCCTCTTTGTTCAACTTCTTCTGTTCAAAGGGACAATTGCGAAAGTGAAGAACATTGAGAGTGGAGTATTGGAAGACGTAGAAAAGAAGTTGTATGACTTACAAGAACCATTTGAGAATATTACACCGGCGCAACTTGATTTGTTTGTTATACTTTGTTCGAATAGGAGGAGAGAAAATAACTGATAGGAACATCAACAAGAAAGTCAGGCGCAAATTTGAAAAAACAAAGGTCGAGAAATTAAGTCGAAAACAGCGACCATACTATGAGTCGTGTGGAAGGATATATGGCTATTTCACTGATATGTATAATGAGTGGCAAGTCTCTGGAAGTGATGTGTTCCCAAACCTAATTTTCATGCATTCTGTCAAGGAGAAGGATGAGATCACACTTGCTTTGGAAAATTGATTGTTTTTCATGTTTCTATGGAGTCTGTTGAAATAACTTAATTAATAGTTTAATTTTGTTATATGAATAGAATTTGTTATTAGAGCAGAGTCTCTGTCATGCATTCGAATTGATACTAAATACTACATGTGAACGAACTTGATACAATCCAAATACTTCTATAGGCTTGATTAGTCTTATTTAGTTGAACAGAATAACTTCAAGTGATCAAATATGATATTCTTTGTAAATAATGTTATATTTGAAAGGTATGAAAAGAATAGAAAACAATAATTTACTAAAAGCTAAACTTTAAAAACTAACTTAATTGGGATAATCAAAAGATGAATAATAAGGATGGAACACAAAGTAAGCCTATTGTGATCAAAGAAGAGCCAATCCAAAAAATCATAAAAAGAAATTTTGTTTTGGAGTCGATCAGAAACAAAGAAAATTTGGCAGCTGACGTAACTAAGCCGAAAAAGGTCGGACAACCTTTCGTTTTGATAACAAGAAAACAACAAAACCCAACAAGAGACTTGAGAAAAGAACGCTTTCTGAGGTCTATGGAAGATAGGAAAAAAGCACTGGATATGGCACAATTTGGAAGTGTCAAAAAGTAAATGACTTTCGTCCTATCTATTTCATAAGTAAAAAAGGTTTTTATCTTTTCTTATACCGTATTATATCTATTGAATTTATTTTTCTATAACTGTTATGACTTTTTTACTCAAGTTAAAATTTAAACTAAAAAAAGGTACTCTTTGCATACCCTTGAAAAAGTCGAGGCATCTAAAAAGTATGTTTCAAATTTGTTTGTATTAAAAACAAATTTTCTTTATAAAAAAACTAAAAATTTTCGCCCATTATAAAGTAACTCTTTATTTTCGTTTTAATTAATAGAGGATAGCGGTGTTATCGTTTCACACAACAAAGATATCACAACCAATAGAAATTAAAAGACAAATGACAGAAACGTTTATTTTTAAAATAACATTTATATTAATCATATCAATTTTTTGGTTGACACAACAAGTCAATCGGATTGCATTTCTTAATAAGAATTATTAATAATTTTTTTGTTGTATCATTATAGTTTTATTGATATTAAATACAAGAACCTTAAAGCAATTATTGTCATATATATGGTATTAAGACCCTGAATTATATATATTCATTTCAAATTGATTATTAGAAAAGATAAATCACACAATAGTTAATAAATACATTTTTAAGTTTTTTTCTTCAACAACATAAAATTAAAATAAATTGTATTTCAATAATATTACATACTTGGTGTGTATTCAAGTTATAGCAACTATATGAATACAAAAAAGTTAATTTAACCAAGACAATGTTTCAATTAAAACACATTAAAATTTGAATAACTATTTAATATGTAGTATCTGTTTGTAAAAATATAAAATTGTAATTGTTTCAATAAAAAAGTTTACTGATAAACTTAATATTTGTATTATAAATTTGGTTATTTATTGTTTGGAGCACCAAAGAACAGCGAATATATTCAACCAAATACAATTCCAATCCTTTCAAATGTTAATATGGTGTTAATTGTTTATCATATAACAGTAGTTAAATTTAAATATAACCATTGAAAAAAAATCATTGAAATTGTCAAATACATATAAACATTTTCATTAAATAACAGTTGATTTTCTTTTATTATTTTTCATAAAGTAATTTATTTAAAACATAACACTTTATGGTGTTGAATAAATATTGACAGTGTTATAATTGATTTTCAACTTCAATTTTTAAATTAAGCTTATTTCAAAGAGTGTAACTTGATAAATGACAACATAGATGAAATTATAAACAATGAAAGAAAAGTGGAATTTTCATATCATATGGGGTATTTTGGTACTATTAAGTCTATTTCGCACAATAATTCATTAAATGACATTTTTTTAAAATTTGAATACTATTTAAATTAATTTAAATAACAATTATTTTTTTGAATGCAATTCAACTATTCTGGTAAAAACGTCGAAAAGAAAAATAAACCAAAAAATTCCCACATATTTATATAATTATTTTTTAATTAAAAATATTATTAATTTTACATTTGTTTTCAAAAAGATTAGCGACATATATAGGAACTGCTATGCAAATTTATAAAAATGTTACAACTTCAATTTTTTGTTACTTACTATTTATAACACTAAATTATATTAATTACAATACAATACCAATACTTTTCTACTTCAAAAATTAATAACTTTTCGAACTAAATACGATATTATAAACAAACTATACTGTATTGTATATATAAACGAACTCTTGTTATAAAGATAGAAGAATGTTGTATATATACTATACTCTCTTCTTACTTCTTGAAGCTTGTGCCATTCGTCAAAACCCGTCTTATGTCATGACTAATTATCGTAGCATGATGATGGGGTGGACTAACACTTATATGACTGCTGTAGACCCACCTACAATACCACCTGGACTCAGTCAATTCAGACATTCTCAAAACTGGAACACCAATTTGATAAACAAAGACTCTTTTGTTCTTAAAATTAACACAGTGCCGTACACAGAATCTAACTTATTTTCTGGTAAAAACAGTATCGACTATCCGGGGTACTACTCCCATATTATCACTGCTTACAATAACACAGAACTTCCTCTTAAAATAACTAAAAAGTATTTTTTTGAAGCTGAACAAGACACATTACTTGAGAATGTAATTATTGAAAATACATCCCCTGAAGATATCACTGTTGAATACTTTCAATACACTGACTACCCCGTCTCTATTCAAAGCACAGAGATTTATGCAGGTGGTATAGTACAGTACTCCGATTATGTAGTTATAACAGGTATGCTGGAAAAGGCTGATTATGCTGATATTGGCTCCAGTGAAAGCAACACCCCTCTTTCAAGATTCATCAATTCGGAGGATCTTAAAGAAACGTCTTATCTTGGCAATAATGCACAGATTGGGTTAAATAAAAAGATGCTCATAGAAAAAGGTACAAATGCATCTTTCACAATTTTCCGATCGGTGACATTAAACATCAACGCCGCAAAAGACCTCCAATCGTTTTACAATACAACAATTGAAGACTGCGAAAGCACATTCACAAAATACATTGATGAGAAGTTTAGAAAATACAAACTTCCAGCATTCAACACTCTGAAAGAAGAAAAGATGTGGTATTCCAGTGTCTTCACTTCTTTATATTCACAGAACCCAACTTTGGGGACTTTACTTGCAAGTTTCCACCCGGGATATGGATGGAAGATGTGGACGAGAGACGGCACATTTGAAGCAATGATCTTAATGGCTTTGGGTGAAACAGAAGGCGCCAAAAAGTACTTAGAATTCATGATGACAGCAACACTCAACGACGATGAATATTTCCATTCATGTTATGATTGGTTTACTGGCGGCCGTGCTTCGATGCCAGAACCACAAAATGATGGGATGGGTGTAGTGGCCTATGCATTGTATTATTATTACACCATAACAAAAGATGTCGACTTTTTTATGAAAACTGAGACTAAACGTCGAATTCAAAAAATAGAGAAATTCTTGTTATACTCCGAATGGAAGAATTTGGTCAAAGCTGACTACTCAAACTGGGAAGAAAGCAGTGACTCCTGGACGGGACTCGACACACCAAAATGTTTCTGGGCCTTCACACAAATCCAGGCGCATCACGGGTTATTAGCATTAAGTAAATTAGAGAAGGTCGTGTATAATAATATAAAGAAGGAGAATGAACTCATTCAAAGAGCAGAGAAGCTTGCAACTTCTTTTGAAAAACTATTTTGGAATGAAGAAAAAGGATACTTCGTTGAAGCCATATGGCAAGACTCCAAAAAGCAGAAAGTTATATTAGATTCTTCAACAGCAACTATGGTCTTTTCTGGCATTGTAAAAGACGATGAGAAAGTATTGAAACATTTTGAACAAATAAGAAAACAATTGACTAAACTGACATATGGCATGGCCAGGTACAGTTATGATACCTTCTTTTATAGGAGTAGATGGAGTAGCAAAGAGGTTGGAGAAGCTTGTCCACCATGGGTTTGTATATCTTATCTTATAATGAGTAAATAATCTTTCAAAAAGATTCTACACTAAAAATAGAACATACAAATAATATAGTTCATTTATTAAAAAAATCTATTTGATATAAAAATAGACTTTATTTGAAACATAAGTCAATTGTTTCTCATTTCATTCACAAATAGGGAGTCACAACAATGTTCATGACCTGGGCTGAAATGATCTACGATGAAAAGGACAAACATGCATATTTGGCTCCATATAGAATTCAGTGGATGATTGACCACTCGGGACCAGACTTCATTCCAGCTGGAGAAGCAATTGATGGTGTTTCTGGTGAACCCGTGTTAAGTTCAATGCCTGATGTATATGAACATGGTGGTGTATACATATTAAGTGTTCTTCAATACCAAAAGTTGATCCCACTCTTCTCCTACAATAATTGGTAATTGTTTCTCCAATATTTCGTTCCTCTCCAATATAAGTGCTATAAAAATAACTACTCTTAGACTTTTTCTATATTATATTAATATAAATGTTATTAATTGTTATAAATAGAAATAAAAAAAATTAAAAAATAAAAAGTGCATTTGCCGGGACTCGAACCCGGATCTCCACCTTGGAAGGGTGGAATTCTGCCCTTAGACCACAAATGCTTCTTACAATAGAGATATTTTGTAATGTAGTTACCATTATAAAATTTATTTAATTCAAGTTCTTTATATTTACTCGATGTCGTGTTTCACAACAACAAATTAACCAACACACTTATTGACAATATTGACGCTGATGGTTCAAAAAACTGTTAACGAGTTGGTAGTTATCAATTTCATTCACAAATTTACCATCGTTGTCGACAGTGTATATAATATCTGCTTCTGGATCACAAGGCTTGCCATATTGTGCAATGTAACACGTTGTATCTGGGAACATCTTGTAGACTTGTTCTTCTACATCAATTCCTTCTTCAATAGTTTTGCAGACAATAAAGACGTTTTGTGGTCGACATTCAAGATACAATTCAAAAAAGTTTGTGGCATGAAAAGCGTATTTCATCCATTCGAAAAATTTTTGTTGTTCCTTGCTTTCAAAGTTGGGCATATACACAGCGACTCGGTGGTCTTCTCCCATTTCAAAGAACTTTTCTGCATTTGTTTTCTCAAAAGGTTCGACTTTAACTTTCACCAGCGACACGTCTATAGTGACACTTTGCGGTCGAGTCACATTTTTACTTTCTTTCACACTTTGTGTAGTGTTTGAGTCTTCCACATGTTGTTCTTCTTTATTGAGTGACTCTCTCTTACTCCCTGGAGCGGTTTTTGCTGGTTCTTTTGGAGAGCTCTTTTCCTTCACAGTTAATTCCTTTTGGATTTCCGCTTGTTGAAGGACGTCACTCTTCGGTCGGTCCTTCTTCTCTTTATTTTGGCGCTTTTCCTTCGCGTCGCTTATCTTCTTCGCCTTCTCCTCCTTCTTCTGGTTGGCCTTCTCTTCTTTCTCCTTCTTCAACTTTTCCTTCTTCTCTTTAGCAAGTTCTCGTGGCGTTTTGTTTGTGTCGGTACTTGGTGGCGGTTCTTCCTTCGATGTGCCGCCAATTTGTTTCTTTAATTTTCCAAAGAAATTTCGTGGACTTTTACCTCCTGTCGTGTCTTTTGGTGGGGGAGAACCAGATTTGCTGTTTTTCTCTTTCGTTTCCAGTGAAAGGTGATGAAGAGTTTCCGCCACTCTTGGGCTTGGATTCGACGGTTTGATATCTTCAAGGGACTTCCCACGTACCACGTCATTCAACGCTTTCAAGTCGTCTTTCAGAGTAGAGACTTCCGTTCCCATCACATGGACTTCATCTTTTAAGATTTGTTGAGTCTTTTGGACAACTAGAGGACTTTGGGTGTGTTCTTTAATTTTGTTTTTAAGATACCAACTGTAGTCGTCGACACGAGTCTTGACCTCTTCCAAAGATGTAGTAATCCCTTTGATCCCATGTGCGCAATCGTACACTTCTTTAAGGTCAAATAACAGTAATTTGTTTCCACGAGATATTTCATAGTAAGATGCGGTGTCTTCGTTGATCTCATCAAGTTTACTCGTCATAACAGAGAGCATCTCATGAAGAATCGCAATACTATGACTGTGAGCATCAACAGTTTTCTCAAGTTCCGCTAGTTTCAGTGTATTCACAGTGTTCATTTTGTGACATTTTAAGTTGCAGAGTGTCTTGCTCAAAAGGAAGGAAAAGAAATCGGTAAGGAAATAAAACACGGAAAAAATCAATGTTCTATTGTTATAGCATTTTTACTATTAACTATAACATTTGTCTTGAACAGTTCCCACCCAAGCCGGTCTTCTCCATATGCATTTTTGAGTTATTGTTGTATTAGAATACATATAGCAAAGAACTATAAATAAATAGTTGAGACAAATGTTAATAAGATATAATAAAAAATACCATATAAAAACAAAAGATTATTTTAGTAAAAAAGATAACTTTAAAACCATATATTAGATGGCTTTATCACCCGAACAAAATGAAAACAATTTCTACCAAATTATGATGTTCAACTTCTCGCAATACTTTGGAGAGAAGAACTTTGACGAGTATTGGGACGTGTTTACCGGAAAGAAACCATTTAGTTCGCTTCCATCGGAGATGTGTCCGTGGAACAAGAAAGGAGCAAACATGGCGGATTACTTCAATTACGGCTTTGATGAACAAACGTGGACCGCTTATGCCAAAAGACTCAACGAACTTCACACGAACAAAACAACAGAAAAGGAAATCTCTGTGTTGGACATTTCGAAACAACAACCCCTCGCAAAGGCACAAGTCGAGTTCAAAGAAATTGAACCTGAAAGGGCAGAGAGGGACTACACTAAAATAGAGAAAGAAAAGGATCGTCGAGACGATCGTAAAGACTCAAGAAACAGAGAAAGAACTACAAGACATTCCCGTTCAAGAGAAAGAGATCGCGACAGAGACAGAGATAGAAGTTCAAGACGGTCGCGTTCAAGGGAACGAGACCGCGACCGATCTCGTCGCGACAGAGATCGCGATCATTCACGAGACAGAAGACGACGTTCGAGATCTCCACCAGGGCGGTCTTCAAGAAGCAATCGTGATCGAAGTAGACGATAAATGAATTGAGTGGTGTTTACTATAATCTATTAATACTAATAGCTTACATCGTACATATAACAAATTTATAGGTTACTAATAGTATATATATTTGTAATAATATCAATAGTATAACTACTATTGATATTATAGTAAATAATACTATTTATTGTAGTTAAGACAACTCAGAACTTAGATGGTGAGTTCTAGTGATAAAGAAGTAATTGCGCAAAGTGTTCTTGGGTGTTGGGTAGTAATATTAATAGTGATATACATGTCTTATTTAGGGTATTCCTTTTATAAGGAACGCAGTCAAACGAGAAATGGACAAGTGACGTTTTAATACTAAATAGTATAATATATTAATATATTAATTATTAATATTATAGTTACATATTTACTATTATATAATAATATATTATAATAATCAAGTTAAGTCTAGTTCAATGTTTAATTCAGATGAAAGAAATATAAGAAAGAAGAACATCGTAAGTAAATTATAAAGCAGATGCCTTGTTCAAGATGAAAGTCGAAATTGGAGGGATACCTATGAATCGCTCGGATTTCGAAAATAAGGCGGCTATGACCATCTGAACGACTTTCGCGATCAAAGCAATACCAACGTAGACAAACATGATATACTCCCATACCATCCCAAACGCTAGAATGGATGTCAATATGAAGACAAAAAGCGCAAAGAATAGGTAGAAAAGCATAATGTTTTGAAGGGCAACGGCACGGCAGTACACATTAGCTTGTTCGAAGAAGTAGATGTAAAGGGAACTCACTAAACAAAGGGACGACAATAAAGACTAGACGTCAGATTGCTCATCTCTTACTATAATTTATAGTTAAATTAACTATAATTATTGAATTAACTATTTGGTTAAAAGTTAATTCTATTAACTAATAACACTACTCGAAAGAAAAATATGTGTCTTGTCATGTTACTCGACGGCAGGACTAAAAAACAAACCTCAACGATGACGGGAAGACCAATTGAAGTGGTCTTTGATGATGTTGTTGTTGGGGTTTCAGCGCTTCCGTCCATAATTCAGGCAATTGGAAATTATAAGATTTCCTCCTTTTTCTTCTCGAACTGAATTTTCTGTATGTGGTTGGTTTGTATAAATTTAACATTCTATTTGTACTAATTTTCGGGATTGGAAGTATTAACAACAATAGATTATTGATAGTATGTTTTGTACTATTTTTTTTTTACTTTTTTTAAAAAAACAAAAAAATAAAAAATCAAAAACATCAAAGTATTTTTAAGATTTATCTTTCCAAAAATTTTTGTACACATTTTTTCCATTCATTGTAATTATTGTTTTATTTTTTATGTTATTGTAATTCAAATAATTGTAGTAACAATAAAATATTGTTATTTTTATTATAATATAATTATTTAAAATAGTATTTTTAAATGGCTTATTTTAATTAATTTTAGTGTTATTTAAACAACTATAATAAGACTAATATAATTATAATAATATGATAAGAATTAATTTTAAATAAATACAATGTTATTATATTGTACTTTTTATTAAAAAAAAAATAATAAGGCTGTTTTTTGTTTGTGTGACAGAAATTAAAATTTTATAAAAAATTTAACCATAGTTATAAAAAAATAATTTGTTTTAACCATTATTTCAATATTTTGTTATTTAACCCGATTGGTAGCTATTTTAACATCTGTTTTTTTAATAAATTATCGAAACAAAAAAAATAATATTTTTTTACACATCGTCCATTCAAGAAAAGTTAAGACTATTTTTTAATAGCAACAATAGTTTGAATATGACTTACAATTCTAGTTAACTTAATAATAATTGAAACCATTCATTATTATAAAAGTCTTTCTAAAGCAAATCAAAAATTATGAGCCAATTTGTTTTGAATGAAAAATAATTCGAAATGAAATCAAAATTTTGAGGATGAGAAATTCACCGTCTTTTATTTTCCTTTGCCGTCTTTGTATTTATTATGCCATTTGACAATTTCTTTTTATGTGTATTCCTCTTCATGTACCATATATCTAACATTCCAAACTATTATTAATAATAAAAAATCTTTTTCGAAATGTCATTTTCCCTACTATCAAACACGATATAAGTAGTCGGCAAGAATACGAAAGTGGTGAAACAATAAAAACCATTCTTTAGGTTATTTTATATAAAAACAGTTGAAGATAGAAGTAATAAAGGAACAAAGAGTGTAACTTAATTATCAAAGGTGGATGTTCTTTCGTAAACAAGCCAAAGAAGAAAGTTAGTTATTTCTCTTTATTGCAGTGTTTTACTCACAAGAAGGGTATCCCACTATATATTTCTTTGACAAACAACGGAACAAAACACAGCACTTTCCGTCTAACGTTATTAAGACGACAAAGTATAAGTGGTGGAGTTTTGTTTTTGTATTTCTCTTCAATCAATTCAAATACTTCATAAACATGTTTTTCCTCATCGTAGCGATTTTAGCGTGTATTCCACAATTGAATGCTGGGAGTCCTGTAGCTTCGATAGTTCCCATTTGTATTATGTTGACCTTTTCTTGCATCAGAGAACTCTTCGACGAAATCGTTTGTTTTCACAATTCAATTGCAGTCTTTTTTAAAGTGTTTGAGTGGACTACCTTTTCTCTATTTCTTCTATTTAATACAATAATTGGTCATTTCTGTATTATTATTATTATTATTATTAACAACAATTAACAATAAAGAGAAAGTACCATGCAGACTCCAAATTAAATTCATGTTTGTACACTAAATTAGTTGGTCCTAACGAACATGCTATGGTCAAATCTAAAGACATCTACGCCGGTGATATTTTAATACTCAGATCTAACGCTCGAGTACCAACAGATGGAGTGCCTTTAGCTACTACAAACGACGACGGAGTCGTCTATATCGAAACAGCAGAATTAGACGGGGAGAGCAATTTAAAGCAACGCCTTGTCCCGTCGTTTTGTATGGAGAAGACGGAGGAGGAGATCTGTACCTTTGTCGGCGATTCATTTGACACAATACCCCCAGATCCCCTCTTCGATCATTTTATTGGCACTTTTAATATTGGAGAGTCAAAGTATAGCACTTCAGAGAAGAATTTTATCCCAAGCGGATGTGTCTTACGAAACACGGAAGAGATGCTGATGCTTGTTGTATACTGTGGGACTGACACTAAACTTTCCCGCAATTCCCTCCAGCCACGAATCAAGTTTGCGCGGACTAACGAGGCCTTCAACAGGTTTGTAGCGGTCGCTCTAGTGTTTGATTTTGTCGTGATTATCGCGTCGACGTTGTGTTACTTTGCACAACACTATTCACAGACGGAGGGGAAGATGTGGTATATTCCAAAGATCAATAACATTTATCTCTCCGCCTTTTTAAGGGCTTTTGGGTTTCTTAATATGTTCTCCTTCTTAGTTCCTGTGTCTTGTTTAGTCTCTCTTGAATTCTCAAAGACCTTCCAAATGCTCTTTATGGTGTTTGATGCCGACTTACAAATTAATGTCCTCAACCCCGTCGGTAAAAATGAGACACGGGGATGTATGCCATGGACTGGGACACTTAATGATGAGTTAGGATTGGTCGAGTATATTCTTTCTGATAAGACGGGAACACTTACGTTTGTTGGTACATTAAATTCTACTTCTTATTATAATAATATAATATCATATACTATTCTAATAGTACTTTTTTTCTTATTGGATCAAGAGAAATATATCTTAGATAAAGTGTTTATAATGTGAAAGGTGTTTTCTGTAAGATTTTGAATATTGTGATTGACTTTTTAGAGAAAATGAGATGAAGTTTCGAAAATGCTCGATTGATGGATTTTGTTTACAAGAAGAAGGAGATGGGTGTATTGTACAATATATGAACGATCCGTCATTAACTAAAAACAAAACGAATGTTGGAATATTCAGTTCACTCACCGGAAGTAAATTTTTAGGGCTTTCAATCCCCGAATCGAAGGCTTTGTCGAATATTAAAAAGTCTGTTGCGAGTCTGTCGCAGTCTTTGAACTTTGTGAACTGTTCGAAAAAAGACGAGAAAGACAGACAATCGAAATTGAAGAGAATGGCGGAAAGCGCGAAAGACGAGACGCCTCACCACCCGTCATCGACCTATTTTACAAAAGTTGAGAAAAACGAAAAGACGACAATCTCGAAAAATAGTGAGAAAATTGAAAAAGTCGAAGATTGTGAAAAAGAGATTCATGTGGACGAGATTGTCGCGAACAAAACGAATGACCGAACCCGAACGTTTTCGATTCCGATAAAAATGACGTCGAATGCGCGATCGAAATTGAAGGACTCAGAAATTGAGATTGTCGATCAAAAAGTCGACACGACATTTTCGAAATCACGAACAAACCTCGTTGACTCCGCGACGCGTTCGAAGAAAATAGTGATTACCATCAAATCGCAACTTTCGAAGGACCCGCAAAGTGTCGAAGGGTATACGGACACCTCCATGAAATCGCCGAGTGAAAGTTTCGATGACTTTGATATTGGTCTGACAACGAAGTCCCCCGAACTTCCACATCACGCGAACGACGACTTAAAGAATACGGACGAATCGACTGTTTTAAATAAAAAGGTGTTACGGCCACACTCCATAAATGTCACGCCAGGCCTTCCGGACACCGACGGCATGCGACGAAAAGGGATGATGACGACCCGTGAAAAGATGGACGAATTTCTGAAGTGCATGGCGATCTGCCATGAAGCTGTCCCTAACTTCCAAGGAGTCAAACTGAGCTTTCAATCGGGGTCTCCGGATGAAGTCGCGCTATGCGAAGAAGCGTCGCAAAATGGGTACATCTTCACGAAAAGAACGCAGAAGAGAATCACTTTGATGGTTGGAGGAGAAGAACGGGAGGTCGACATTCAAGTTATAATGCCATTCACGAGTGAAAGGAAACGAATGAGTGTTTTGGTTCGACTGTGGGATGGGAGAATAGCTTTATATAGTAAAGGAGCCGATTTAACGATGATTCCTTTAATGTGTGACACAGAAGAGCCTCAAAGGATTCAAGAAACTGTTAATCTGTTCGCATGTGAAGGGTTGAGAACTTTGGTGTTGGCTTGTCGAATCATTGGAGAGGAAGAATATAAGACGTTCATGGAGAAGTACAACAATGCGAGTAGTTTAATAGAAAACAGAGAAACAAAGGTCGACGCCGTTGTCTCTGAAATTGAAAAAAGTTTGAGGTTCCTTGGGGTCTGTGGAATTGAAGATCGACTTCAAGATGGTGTGCCTGAGACTATTCAGTCGTTAAGAAGAGGTGGAATAAAAATATGGATGATTACTGGGGATAAGGTTTGTTGTTGAATATTAGATATATTAATATTAATATTATATAATATAGTAAATATGAATGGTACTGACTGCAAGGTGGAAACTGTTTGTTACTTTTTAGTAAACGTTATGTATACAATAATAGTTAATTATTCATACTATTAAATATACTATTATTAAATAGAATAGAATTAATAATATTGACAGAAAGGCGATGAACATAGCAAAGACATGTGGACTGTTTTTAGATGAAGAGGTGTATCGCTTTGATAGTGATAATTGTGAGAAGATGGTAGAGGATGAATGGGTGAAGAGATATTCCGTAGTGTTTGACTTTGGGGTGTACAACAAGTTGAAAGAGAATGAGAAGTTTTGGTTGAAGTTGATCAACAGTGTGAGTGTAGTATGTTGTCGAGTGACGCCGCAAGTGAAAGGGGAGATAATGAAGACTGTTAAAAAGAAGACGGATAAAGTATGTTTAGGGATAGGGGATGGAGGTAATGACATATCATTGATCAAAGAGAGTAATGTTGGGATTGGGATATTTGGTAAAGAAGGGACGCAAGCTGCGCAAAGTTCTGATTATGCTGTTCGTAAGTTCCGCCATTTAGAGAAGTTAATTTATTACCATGGCCGACAAGCGTTACGACGGAATTCGTTAATAGTGAAGTTGTCGTTTTACAAGAATGTGACGTTTATAATGATCCAATTTTGGTTTGGGATCATGTCGAAGTTCTCATGTACCAGTTTGTATGAAGATATGATCATCACGCTGTTCAACATGGTGATGACATCGATGCCTCCTGTTTTCATTGGTGCGTTTGAAGTCGACATCCCGTTTTTTGGCGCGCGGGATTACCCAGAGACGCACAAAGAGATCATTGAGGAGTCGAATACCTTCAAAGGGATATCTGCGTATGTCTTTTGGTTAGTCTATGGGCTTTATCAGTCAGTTGTTCTCTTTGTGATGGGATATGTGATTATCAACTCCGATGTGTTTGAATGGAGTGGGAGAGTGAATGGGATGGGGTGCTTGTCGACATTAGTCACGTTGAGTGGTGTTCTGTGTATATTAGTAACGATGGGATTGAGTGTGAAGAGATGGAGTTTCTATTTAGCCGTTGGATTTGTTCTCAGTTTTGTGTTAAGTATTGTGTCGATAGTGATGGTATCTTTTGTGAAGAAAATGTCGAAGGCTGGACTGTCATCACACTCGTTGGCTCTATTACTCGAACAACCAAACACATATTTGTTCGTTGTAGTGTTTGTGTTGGTTGCTATAGCGCCGCTGTTGATTCGAAATACGTGTAATAGACTGATGGCACCGAAAGCGTATCAAATAGTTCAAGAAGTCATCAACAAAGAAGGGCTTCCCGAGTATGGCGTGGTAAGACCAGTGTATCAAGAAGGGAGTATCGAAGCTAAAAAGTATTTCTCGCAGTTCTGTAAAGCAAAGGATCTTCACGAAACTCATGAAATCGAAATGAAGGCGGAATTGAAAACAGACGGCGAAGAACACACAAACTGATCGAATGTATAAATTGTTTTGGTTTGGTCAATTCAAAGCTTTTCTTCGATGAAAGTTAAATGCAATAAAATAACAAAAATCAAACCCAGTTCAATTTTTTATCCATTTGAAGTTAAAGCCGTTTGTTTGGTTGGGGAAGATGTTTTATTTATTATAAATTACTAAACTATTGATTTTTCATTCATAATTACACACCAATGCTATTGCCAATAACTAAACCCAACTAGTACTATTATAATTAAATAAACTAGAAGAGTTGGTTTGAATAGTAAGCTTAGTTACAAAAGTATTAAAACAGAAATGTATAAATTATGGTAAATTTTATTAAAAATTAAGTAGAATGAAGACAACAAAAAACAAGCTTTTTTGTTTTCGATTCAATTTCCCAAACCGCCCGAAATGGTAAAGAAGATAAAAATGAAATTTGTTTTATGGATGGATCAGAAATCTCACAGATGCGCCATTCACCACAGTCAAAGCTCGCTCAGGAGACCTTCCTGAACAACGCTAAAAAGAACCAGCAAATTGTCGAGGATATAAAGTCGGCAGAGAAAGATTTGCTGAAGAAAACAAAAAAGTGGGTTCAGTCCATTGCAGGTTTGTTTCTCCAATCTTAAAATGATTGTTGGTAAGATAAGACAATAACAACCAGTTTCTGCACACACCGGAATTAGTGTTGCTGAGTCTTATAAAGCCTTTACTGACAAATTCAGTAAAAGCGATGTGGGCAATATCCAAAGGGTGTGTGTTGCGCTATCAGAAGTTGGTGAAGTTGTATTAACTTTTCTTCATTTGATGGACCAACTCCAAATTGATTTGGACAATTGTATAGTCGAGCCGTTGCGCAGTTTCCTTGACGAGGAGCTCGCTGTTGCGACAACAGGAAACAAACTCGACTCGATCAAGGTAGTTTCGTCGTCTATCAACCCAAAGTTGTCTCAGAGTGTTGCCAACACGCAAATAGCGATTGACAAATTTGAGATTGATGGACTTTCCCAATTTTTTTCAATGTACACGTGTTTTCAATCGTTCCGTACAGGGTTGTCTGATCTTGACAAAATGACAGAGAAAGTGAACTTCGCAAAGTCGCAACAAATCGCCTTTCAGAAGGCGTTTGAGGAGAATGTGAAGAATGATTCTTCCTCGTACCGAAATTGTTTTGGGATTCCTTTGAAAAAACTGTTGGACGACGAAAGGCGACTTCCGGGCCAAATCCCCATAGGCCTTGAAAAGGCGTTGAAGTACTTGTATGCAAATGGCCTTGAAAAGGAAGGACTTTTCAGGGTGAGTTCAACACCCGACCAAATCAACTTCTTGAAGCTCAAATTTTTAGCAACAAGTTACTCCAACGAAGACCCGCACCTTGTTGCCAATGTTGTGAAGTCGTTTTTAAAAGAGATTCCCGGCGGGCTTGTTCCCAAGTCAGCTCTTCCTCTCTTTAAGAAATGGGATGGTTTGTTTTCTCCTCTTCTGTTGTTTCTTTCCATTTTTTCAATCTTCTCGCATCACTCATATGAATTACCATCATCCAATAGTAAAACAACTTATATTTAATAGTAATTAACAATGAGCGAAAATTGTTTCTTCTCAAAGTTCAGAAACAGATGAGAAGAGCAAAACGAAGGAGATAATTGAGGCGATGCACAAAGATTTGAAAGGTGCACTTTCTGAAGAGAATTATACGTGTCTGAAGTACGTGACGACCTTCCTTGAAAAACTGAGTCGAACCGAAAAATCCAAAATGACTGCCGACAACGTCGCAACGTGTGTTGCGCCCGCCCTCTTTTTCAACGAAGAAACAAGTGATGTTCGCAACGTTTTAGATTTCAACTTGATGTCAAATCGCATGTTGGCCTTCATTATTAAAAACAACTTCGCGATATTCCCTTCAGCAAAAAAGTGCTTCACCGAGAGAAAGAAGAGCGTTTTCTTACAAAACCCAGAACAGATCGAGTTGTCCGAAAAACTGGAAGAAGCAAGTTTATCGCTCAGCTTCTCGTCAATGAATTCCCCAACTCTCTCCTCTTTGATGGAAAAGAATCCGGGAAGATTACAGAATTCGGGGTATAGAAGATCGGCAAGAATTGACGCTCGACTTTCGATGAAGTGAACTGTATTAGTGTTAATTTACTATTTGTTTAGTTTTTTTACTATTTATGTATAGTTTAAGGTATGTAATCTTATTAATTGTTTTAATGGTAAACTATAGTATTGATTTGAATATTTGAGTTTTTTTATTTTTTATAATTGTAATAAAAAAGTTTTTTATTAAAATTATTATTCCTTCTTATATATTTTAATTTATACTTCAAATTAGTATTTATAGTTATTTAATAAAAATTAAATTAAAAGAATTACAATTGACATTTGAACTTTAATTTGAAGGAGACAAAAAAATTATTACAAATATAATAAAAAACAATATAATAAAAAAACTAATACATTTGTGACACAACAAATCTTAAAATTATTAGTAAAAATAATGTACATTAATAATACAGCCAAACCATTTCACACTAGTTAAAAACCAAAAAAAATAATACAAAAAAAACTCAACCCAATTAAGTCGAGTTGAAGAGAAATAAAAAAGACTTGTTTTAGAAGAGTCCGATTTTAGTAGCAACCTCCATAGCCTCAACATTTGGTGCCAATCTCACGAACGCCTTTTTAAGACCATCGAGTCTAACGAGAGTGTTGATCTTAACGACTTTAGTTTGATATCTCTTCTCGACAGCTCTCTTAATGGTTGCCTTGTTTGCTCTTTGGTCACACAAGAAGACAATGGTGTTGTGGTCCTCGATCATTTTAAGAGCAGTTTCGGTGCTCAATGGGAATTTAATGACGGCAAACTCGTCCAATTTGATTCTGTTGGACTTAATGCAGCGAGCATACTTTGGGCTCTTTGGTTGCTTCTTGGTTGGAGCGCATCTGAAATGTGTAGTTGTCACCTTCTTCCCTGCCATCACTCACCAGTAACCTTTCAAGTTCTTTTTCATAACCAGGGTTTTCTTATTTAATACACTCTAGTTCGTTTTTTATTATTCTTTAGAATTTGTCTTGTTCTGTGAATTTTTTTTTTGTTTTTTATTAACTAAGTGGTAACCTATTTTTATTAAACTATTTGTTATTATTTGTTTATCTATTGTGTATAACTACTTAGAAATAAGTGTACTTTTTTGTTAAATATGCTTATTAATAGATTTATAACTATTTTATTAATATTTAATTAGTATTAAATTATTAATAATATAATAGTTTTATAATTATACAAATTATATTTGTTTCAATCTTCCAATTATTATTTAAATTTTTTATTATTAAATAAATTTACTATAGAGTCAGTCGATAAACGTTGTCTGTTCCCCAAACGTTGTCTTTTTGACAAAAAATAATTGATTTTTGTTTTAAAAAAACGGGAATTAGGTAAAAATGAAAAAAAACTGGGAAAAATATTGAAACAATGATTTTGGGGGTTTTCCAAAAAATTCCCGAAATATTCCATTTATAATGGTCTAAAAATCGGCAGACAACGTTTCAGACCAGACAACGTTTAGCAAATGACTCTACACCATTTATTATAACTTAAATTAAATTTTTGTATATAAAATGTTATTAGCAACTAGTAAAATTGTTAGTATTTTATTTATATTTATATAATTTTTTTTTCAAAATATTTATTCTTATTGTTAAGTACTAAAAAAAACAAATTAATAATAAGTTAATACTATAATTAATATAGTTTTATCTATTAGTTAATTTTTAATATAAATACAACCAAATAGTAAACTTCAAATAAAAGTATCTGTCAACCCATCTATATCATCGTCGTCCTCCTCCTCTTCATCTATATCTATATCTTTAGCTGGTATCACAACCAAATTTTCCTCTTCTTTTTCTTCTTTTTTCGATTGAGTGTTATTTTCCAGAGTTACATTGGCATTCACTTCAGTATCACCTGATACGAGTTGTTCTGATGTGACACATTGTTGTTGTTGTACCTCGACATTTGTATCTGTTTGTTCGACTTGACTTGGCATCTTTGTATTTTCCATTGTCGCAACGACTTCTTTTTCTACTTTCAGCTTTTTCTCTTCGATTGGGTGTTCCTTGATGACTTCGATTTTTTCCGGCACGACGACTTGTTCGATGACTTTCTCATCAATTTCTTTATCCTCATGAGTATCCGTATGACACTCGCCAATCACTTCTTCGCTCTTTTCAGTGCTTTTCTTCTCTTCGTTATTTGACACACCTCCTTTCTTCTTATTTCCAAATGAAAAGAAAGACGCAGAAGCCGTCGGGTTTGTCCACGCCGATGTCGTAGTTGTCAAATTATTTTCCACCACTGAATTCAATGAAGATGTGATCGACGCAAACCCCGACGCTATTGTCGAGAACCCCCAACTGTTCTTTTCCTTTTGTGTCGATACTTCAACATTCAGTACCGGCAATTCCTCAACCTTTGATATCATTTTCGTTGGGAGTTTATTACTTCCATTGCCGCTCTTTTCGCCGGTTTCCAGTGATTGAAAGAACTCGTTAATTTCGGCGTTTTCCTTCTCGTCCGACGTGTTCTTCAAACTCTCGCAGAACTGCGTGAAAAACAAATTCTCCGAGTTCTTCGTCTCTGCAAATTGCTTTGTAACACTTTCGATGATTTTATTGAAATTTAAGAAGTGATATTGCAGCAGTTCATAACACTGTTTAATGGAGGTGACCATCTCTTTCTCATACAACATGTCATAACACGTGTTCACTTTCGTTAACGCATTTTGGTACTCCTTTTCACTCTGATTGTATGAAGTTAAGACCTTCTGATATCTCGATACCATTTTCGTGTCTTTATTCGTGTTAATTTGTATACACATCGCTTTCGTATCACGAAGTTGTGTCAAGTAATACGCCTCACTCCGCGTCGCAAACGTCGTGAGGTCTTCATATATTTTCACCTTTCGCATCGTCTCCGTATATATCTGTTTCTTCTGCGCATCTACTTCTTTACTCAGTTGTAACAACGCTACAGATACACTCTCGCAAAACTGTCGTCCCGTCTTCCCTCGCGCATTATATAATTCTATCGTCTTCCCATCAAAGTCCTCCCAAAAGGTTTTGAATGTTCTAATAGTTATTTTTTAATAATTTAAATACTATTAATAATTATAAATATAATTTAATACTAATAATATAATATATATTATATTATTAATTATAATATAATATTAAACAAACTGTAAAACATTGTCCTTTGGATGTGTTTGTTTAAGCAAACCTAATGTCGAACGTGCATTAAGCGCGTCAGTTAGTCCTATCATTTTTCTACAGTAGTCCATTTCCAAATTACCCCGTTGAGAGAAATAGTCGCCATACAGTTTAGTTGTGTCTACTACACTTTCTATCTTCTTAACTATCTCATCAAAGTGAAAAACACTTTTTTGGAATATCTCGATTGGTTGTGTCATATGATTTTTCAATTCAAAAAGTTCCATTTGAGTCAAGAAAAATTCCAATGAAAAGTTCTTGTGACTCTTCGACTTCATCTGGTGTTGTTTTTAGTGTCTATTCATTCCCTTTTTCGGGTCTTTATACCTTCACTTTTCATCTTCGAGTGGGAATTGTTTTGTTATTAATTTTCAAATGTAATTGGTCACTTTTTTGATGGTAAATATGATGTCGCACATCTTACTCATTTAGTGTATAATTTAATGGATGAGATGCAAGAAACTCTAATAATACCTTTTTCATACAAATGAACTTCTTAAAAAGATACTTGACAATTACTCGTGAAAATGCTAACCAGATTTTGATATAACCTTGAACGATAACAAACAAAGAAAATCAAATTAGAAATACCCCAAATTCTTGCAACACATGTATTGAATGGGGACTTCCTGTAACGCGGCAACAGAGAATGTGATCTCGGGGTTCTCGACACGCGGCCCAATTACCGTGTTGAAATTGACAAAGTTGAAATTGTCAAATTTGCTGTTTCCGATGTCCTATCAGTCATCTTTCGAACACAATTTGTAAATATAATATTAATAAGAACAAACATCATCAAACGTCTCCATTTTGTCAAACGGACCATCTCCAACACCAACACAGATGATTGAAATGGGATACTTCGAAGCTTCCTCAATTGCCGTTTTTGTCGCCTTTTCGTTATCGACTTGTCCATCTGCGATAATAACAAGGATGTGATACGCTTGTGTTCTCTTTACAATATCAATCGTTTTGTATATCAGTGGTGCAAAGTTCGTCGGACCACTCATCTGTACTGCCGGTGTTATTTCGTTGTATCTCTGCAAGACATGGCCAAACCCATTACACGGTGCGTCGTTTGCCATGAACGAAAAAACCGATTTGTTTGTTGTGGAAATGTCACCGAAGCCATACACTGGTATTAAATGGTCGTCATCAAATGGTTCGAGTGTTCTCCCAATAATGCTGATAACCTTTTGGTATGGATTATAATTGTTCACTGCTGGATTGATCGCGTGAAGACATTGACCACCAAAAGAATGTGTACCAGTCCATGTGTTGCTTTTAGTGTAATCAATTCCCAAGACTAAATTCGAAGATTCAAGGCCGGCGTCACGCAGGCCTTGTTGAAGCTCTTCCATTGTTTGGTAATTATCCGGAATCATCTTTTTAGTGTTTGCAGTTTTGACGGACGTGTTTGCTTGCGCTTGTGCTTGTGTTTTCTTTGGTGGTGCACTTGATGAGCTCCCCATGTCTTTTGTTATTACCAGATCAGTTGCTCTCTTAAATTCGAATTTTGGATTCAATCTGAGTCGCTTTAAATGAGAGATATCGGGATTTGAGAGATTGATGTTTGTTGAGAGGAATTGAGATTGTATGATGACGTGTTGTCTGATAATGAAAAAATGACTATTTTAACACCAATACATATTGTTCTATTTAAATATTAGTATTGTATTAATTGTATAAATTTATTAGAAGTATTTGTTTAGTAAAAATTGAATAAGTCGGCATTTTTGTCTTTATTTATTTTTTTGATTGAAAGAGAGACAAAACAGTGGGCTCTTTTGCCTTTATTAGAATTTATCTCAGCATTTTTATTAATAATGTTATTATATAATTAATAAATCAAAAGGATAGATATAAGATACAATGGAGTGGGTATAGAAAAGTAGTAAATGCCATTTTTTGTATTATTTGATTGTTGATTATCTTTTGGTCATTCTTTGAAATTGTTTTATAACTTATGATATGTCTTTATTAATTAACAAACCAGGAAAATTTATGAAAAAAAATGACAAATCAATATCTTCTTTACATGTCAAAAGTACCTCATTCGTTTATGTTATATAAAACATTTTCTCTTTTAAATTGTTTTAATTTATTTTTTGAAAGAATTATAAATTTATTATAAATTATATTAATAAAGTAATATATAATTATATGAATATGTATTATAATTCAATTATTATTAAATAAGTATTATCAATAACTGATTAATAACTAGTAAAATGAAACCATTAATTAAATAAAAAATAATTCTGCTTTTCATTAAAAAAATCTTCATTTCTAACTTTTATTTTAATAAATGAATAAGAATAAACCATAATATATGATTACAAGAAAAATATTATAATAAACTATTGTTCTATTATAATACCAATAACCAAAAAATTTTAATAAATAGTTTATTATAGGTTTCAATTTTAATAAAATATCAAAAAACCATAAATATAGTTTCTCGTTATTAATAAAAAAAATAACGATTGAAACTCTGTAATGATTTCAAGCAAAACGAATGTAACATTAGACGAGTTACATCCAACGACCTACGAATGTTATGTTAAAAAGAAAAGTTCCTTTTTCTATTGGAAGAAATTGTATATGGTATACAAAGACACGACTTTATACTTTTTTGACACTCCGACATCGCCATCCTCACAAAGTTACAACATTCAGAAAGGTTCATTCTCGATAGAACACACTAATGGACGATCTTTAGTAATCAAAGTCACCTTATCCAATGGCAAATTGATCTTCTTTGAAGTTGAAACTCTCGACGACTTAAAAACGCTTTTCTATCACTTCACATCGAAAGTCCCCGAATTTGATGCATCTGAAGACATACCAAATTCGCCGAAGAATCAATTAGTTTCAACATATAACATTCAACTCAACACTTCCAACGATACTTTAAATAATGTTAACGCCGAGCGAATGGCTCAACAGTCTTTCAATGGGAGAATCAACACGACGGAGATTTCAAGGACTTTATCGTGGACAGAGACTCCCCAATTTCACTCTTTTATGAAAGCGATACCAACACTTAATGCCTTACAACCAGGGAGTTTAGTTAATTACTATTTACGAGTGAATAGCTCCGCTCAAGTTGTGGAGTTCTTGTGTTCTGGACCTTCCGAAGTGATGCATTCCCCTTTACTTTATTATTTCGACACGTTAGGAGGGACTAGTAATGACTTATCCATCTTCGATAAATTAAGTTCAACAGGAAAGGTGGGCGCCTGGGCAAAGTTCTCTCAAGTCGGAGGGTGTGACTTCGGTTATGTTGTCGATTTTCAACCATCTTCATTCCCTTCTTTATATGAAAAACTCTCGTTGTATTATATCGGCGAACTACTGACTTATAAAAAGGAGGTCAGCAGTGATCCCGTCCATTCAGAAGAATTACTTTTCGAAGTCACCGGACACCCCGCTGTCAAACAAAAGAAGATCGAAGACGTTTTAATGCATTTCGAATTTAATGATTTATCAAGTAAAATCGGATGCATTAAGAACCTCAATTTACTCACAAAAGTGTACTTCACTTTTATAATCCTCAGAGAAGAACTCACTGGAATGAAAATACTCATCAATCAACCAGACACTTCTTTGATTAATAAGTCCATGACAAAAGAAGAACTCATTCTTCACCAACCTTTCCAATCAAACTCTACTAAAATCGAAGCTTTAGAATTTTCGGAAGTGTTGCCTGAATATTGTTTTGGTGTGTATCCTTCAGGCGTTCAAGTCTACTTACATTACAATTGTGGATTCGATAGATGTTAAATATTATATGTTTGTATTTAGTTTAAAATACTATATTTTTTAATATATTAATATTATACTATATTATATTAATAAAATAGTATAGTATAGTATTAATATAATATCAATATCAATATATATTAATATTATAATATTAATATATTATATTATATATTATATTAATTGAAAATAATATAATATGATTAATATATTATATAAATCAAAACCTAAGACAGACGCACTCAAATAGTTTAGCAATGATAAATTCATTTATATAGTTTTTCACTACTTTTCGACATTTCTTCAATCAACTGGTCTTCCGCCTTTTTGATACTCTCGATGTTGTTTCCAGTCACTTCCCCATTGATTTTAGTGATAGCCTTACTTAATGTGATAAAAGGGATATTCTTCTTTCTCAAATTTGAGATGATTTCTTGAGCTGCCTCCACTTCACCTTTCACTTTATTTTTAAGAGTTAAGAGTTGTTCGACTTTCTCGTCCTCTTCTTTATGGAGATTTCCTTCTTTAATAATTTTGGCGATTTCCTCTTCACTCAGTCCCCCGTCACTTTTGATTTGAATGCCGGACTCTTTCCCGGTCCCAAGATCCTTTGCCGAGACTTTCACAATGCCATCCGCGTTAATATCAAAGGTCACTTCTATCTTCGCAACTCCTCGTTTAGCCGGGGGTATTCCAACCAATTTCATTTCGCCCAGTTTCTTATTATTCTTCGCTAGTTTTCTTTCTCCTTGATAAATTTTGACGTCGACTTCTCTTTGGAAATCGTTAGTAGTGGTGAACTCTCTTGAAACCCTAGTTGGGATAGTCGTGTTTCTCTCTATCAATGGCGTCATTACTCCCCCCATCGTTTCAATCCCCAACGTCAAAGGAGTGACGTCTACTAAGACTATATCTCTCTTCTTCCCTTCAAGTACTCCCGCTTGCATTCCAGCTCCTATCGCAACAGCCTCATCGGCATTGACTTTGCCATTCCCATATTTCCCAAAGATCTCAAAGACGGTTTGTTGTATCAATGGCATACGTGTCATCCCACCTACTAAGACTATATCATTGATTTGCTGTTTCGTCAGCCGACTATCTTTAATAGCTTGTTCACACGGCCGTTTCAGGCGTCGCGTTAGGTCGTGACACTTCTCTTCAACACTCTTTCGTGTTAAAGTCATTTCAAGACTCTTCCCTTTCTCTAAATAAGGAAGGACTATACTACTCTCTAAACTACTCGACAACTCACACTTCACTCGTTCAGCCTCTTCTCGCACTCTGACTCTCCCTCGTTGAGTTAAGATCTTCTCTTTATTAACTTTATAAAACTCGTTTGATATCAAAGATGCAATAACTCCATCAAAATCAGCGCCTCCAAGTGCTGTGTCCCCATTTGTACTTTTCACTTGAAACACTCCTTTCCGGATTTCTAAGATCGAAACGTCAAAAGTCCCTCCGCCTAAGTCAAAAACAGCTACCGTTCTACCTTCATTCGCTTTGGTAGCATCGATCCCATACGCTAAAGCTGCCGCTGTGGGCTCGTTAATAATTCTCTTGACATTTAACCCAGCTATCCGGCCAGCGTCTTTTGTCGCTTGTCGTTGGGCGTCGTTGAAGTATGCGGGACATGTGATAACAGCGGAGTCGACCGGTTGACACAATTTCTTCTCAGCGTCTTTCTTCATCTTTTTCAGGACCTCCGCTGAGATTTGGGATGGAGAATACTTCACCCCATTCACCTCAACCCATGCATCGTTATTGGGCCCTTTAATTATTGTATACCCTTGCCGCATAAAAGGAGTCACTTGGTCATATTTAATGCCTATCAATCGCTTCGCATGCGTTATCGTCTCTTTGGGATAAAACGACTGACGGCGACGCGCAGCTTCCCCAACTAAAATCCCTTTTGGAGTGTACGAGACGATCGATGGGGTCGTTCGACTGCCTTCTGAATTCTCGATGATTTGTGGAGTAGTGGATGTTGGATATGACATACAACTGTTCGTCGTCCCCAAGTCGATTCCGATGGTGGTGTGGAATTCGGGGTGATGTGATAACATTCTCTAAAGTATGGTTTTTATAGTTAGCTTTTAACTATTAAATTGAACAATATTTTTCTTTTTGAAAAAAGATCAAATTTGTGGAAATGTTGCATTACAAATTGGTGCATTTTTTGTATATGTCATTTTATAATTATAATTATTTTACTATTAATAATACAATTGAATTATTAATTAAATAATATTATAATTTAATTATTGTTCATCTTTTTTTTTTAAAATGAAGATAAACTATATTTTTATAATATAATACTATATCATTGGTTTTTATAATAAACTGAAAAAGAAAAAAATTGATGGAAGTTGAAGACGACGAAATTGAGTGTAAACCCGCCCTTCCCCTTCCTCCAAACAGCGAGGACCCAAATAGTGAGTACCATGACATCTATTTGTACTTCAAACAAAATGAAAAGTATCGATCAGAGAGTGATAAAAACAACACTTTGTTGCAACCCCATGGAAATACTTTTGACTTCATGGAAACCGACTTTAAAATGAGAATCCCATACTGCGGGGATGAGTTCAAAATATCTCCGGAGTTCCGACTCCACCACGTCGAGCAGTTTAGAGTTGAAAAGGATGAACTATTCAAAAAGAAATCAGAGGTGGTGCAGAAGTCCGAGTTTCCGTCGTACAACAAATTCAAAAACCTCACAGAAGAGCCCGTTGATGTCAATTTTTTGTTGGGGTTCCAACATATTCAAATCATTGAGTTAATCAAGTTTTGCGTCGAGAAGTGTCGGGCACTGGTGATGTACTCTGACAACTACTGTGAATGGATTTACCGCTTTTTGCTCATTGCTCAAGAACCTCTCGATTCCACAATCTCATCTTCTCTCAACTCAATCTTGAAATACTTTTGCAGGGCTAAGCAGGCAATCTTCGACAAAGATGACAAGAGGCTTGAAAAATACAATCTCATTATTTCAACTATTGTCGATTGTTACCGACAGTGTGATGAAGATATAATGATTTGATTTACTATATTTTATATATATTTTAGTTAAATGTACTATATGCTGAACATAACAATATTTCATATTTGAATAAAAAATAAATTCTTATTAATATTTAGGTTTTAATTATTATTTTTTAATAATAATATATTTATTATTCTGTTATAATACTTTAATTCTATTTGAATAAGATATTTTTAAAAACAAAAACACAATAAACACAAGCAAAGTGATAAAAAAGAATCACGAAAATGAGAGATTCTGATTGTTGGAAAGAGAGAACTGAAGTTGTCAAAAAAACATGGAGAGGGAGGAAAGGCAAAATCAATACTTAAATGACGTACCACGAGAGTTGGTCGAACTTTTGGAGGTTGTCAAAATGCAGAATTCTAAAATTTATGAGATGCAAGAGGAGTCCGTGAGGTGGAACCAACAACATGCAGTAAACTTGAAGTGTCTCATCGAAAGACTCGATGAGATGTATAAGACAATCAAAGAACTAAAAGAGAAATCACAGAAAAATATGTCTCAGCCACAAGACAAGCCAACAAACCTCTTCAAACACAGTTTAACACTCAAGACAAATACAAACAATACTCTTTCTAACACACCAAAAAATGTGTTTGATTTCAAAAGCACAAGTTTTGTGCAAAAAGTCAAAACTCCAATTGAGCCGAGCACTCCGTCTAAGACACTTGCTACACTCAAACAAACGATTTTTAAAAACATCGGAACTCAAAGGGGAGAAGACGAGACTCAAATCAAAGCTAATAGAAATCGATCCCGAATTAATCTTATGATCGAAAGAGCTAACGGTGACGTAAAGAGGTTGGAGGAAGTGATGATGGGAATTGAAAGAGAAAGCGACTTTGATGGAATAACAGAGGATAACGTGAGAAAGATGGTTGGTTGCATTATACACATATTGACGGAATCAAACGACAAACAGAAGCAATTTGTCGCATTGCAGTTTGTCTGGGAAATGATACGGAAATACGAGGACATGTTCGAGGGTAAAGATGGCTTTGTCATGTCAACACAACTACTCAGCGCCATATCACTTTTCGCAAAAACAAGCGCTGTTTATGATAAAGAGTGTCCTTTATCACAAAACGAAATTCAGTGGGTCCTTAGTTTCTTATGTGGATATTGTAAGTAATTGTTATTTTTTCATTTGAGTATTTGATTATTAATTAACTAATTTTGAATATATCATATAATTGATATTAAATAAATTAATAATTAATAGCTATCAAAGTATTATAAAAATCTTATAAAATATTTAGTTAATTATTAGATTAATATATTTTAGAATAACAATAGTTTATTATATTTTAACAATACAATGTTATATATCTTTTAAAGAAATAAAATTTTTTAGTTATTTTTAAAAACAACACTTTATATGAAATGTTTTAAATAAATATAAAAAAAGGATTGAATTATTGTTATTTTTTTATAGTTACACAAGTTGAAAAAAAAATTAAAATGTTTTTAAAAACACTCTACATTACTATTTGTTCTTGTTTTCAAAAATATAAAAAAACGGGATTATTTTTTATAGAAAAAAACAACTGCATTTTTTTTAAAATGGAATTTTTTTATAAAACTTAAGTTTTTATTCAATAGTTTAACTAAAAAATAAATAATAAATTCTATTTGTTGTTATATAATAATGATTTTGTTAAAATTTATTGAGAAGTACAAACAACAATAATTATCATTTTATAATAAAACAATGAAAATAATTATAGATTTATAAAACAATTAAAAAGTTATTTATATTTCAAAAAAAATTCACATTTTTTACCACAACTTGTTATTTGTGGTTTTGTATTTGACTTGTTTTGAAACATAAGTTTCAACTTTTGTTTATGTTATGACAAGTAAACGAACTAATTGAATAACATTATTATAACATAATTAATAAATTATCCAGTAAATCTAACTACTTTTATAAACTAAAAATAGAAATTAAATATTAATTTTGTAGAGAACAACTATAATTTTAGAACAAATAAGAATTTGAGTGTTTTTTTCAAAAAGACAAAACAAAGTATAAAATAATAATAAAATAATAATATAACAAATAAACAAATAAACAAAAACGAAAGACTGAAATAATATTGAAGATAAGTTGAAGTTTTTGCTGAAATAGCTAAAAAAGGAACAAATCAAATAAAAAAGGATTAAATAGAAAGCCACACTTTTGTAAATAAAGAAGAAAAAGGGTATTATTGTTATAACATCCAAACAATCCGCATTTTTAATACAAAATGACCAAATTGACTATTTTCATATGAAATGATGGAAAAAGTGAACTTAAATTGGACTTAATGTATCAACTATTTAAAAATGACCAAAAGTGAACAACAACGCATTTGATGCCAAAACACAAGTCAGTCAACAACAAGCAGTTTTGCCATGATTTCCAAGTCGTGTTTTTTGATCACTATGAACTTCCCCTTTTTCTCGTCGAGCCTTTCTCGAGTGATTAATTCGTTAATGACTCTTCCGCAGTTCTTGATATAATTTGCGTCCAACACAATATCGTCGACGGTCACGGACACAATTTTGTCCTTAGAATTTTTGGTTTGAATATTTGCTTTAGAGATTTTAATTCCGTTCTCCTCGCACAATTGGATTAACGAGTCGAGTTGTTCAGAGATTCGATTCACCTCTTGTCGTCTTAAAGCCGTTTTAGTGCTCACTCCACTATTAATATCTGTTTGTTTCATTTCCTCGACCGACCGCTCGACTTTCTCTTCAATAGAAATCTCCCGAAGGTCATCTTTGACGGACGAGACCGTTAAGAACGTCAAAGACACTTTCGACTTCTTTTTCGGCACTTTGATAACAACGTCATAAAATTGATTCAAAACGCCTATTAAGACGCCTTGCTGGATCGCTTGACTGTCTCGTAACTCTTTGAACGCGTTGACATCCTTTTGCTTCACCCACATTTCTCTTTGTTTTTCAGTTAAACTCCTCCCTTTTAATCTCCTCATGTGTACATTTGTTCAACATTTTTGACTTGATTTCGAGAGATTCGACTTTCTTCTTTTTCTCCTTGTGATTCACAACCTTTCCTATTTCGGCGACAAAACTTTTTAAAAACATTCAACTTGTGTCATTTGGCCCACGTGGCGGCAAACTCAGCTTCTTTCTTGTAAGAAAATATTGGCTCGCATTTTATTGTATTAGTATATTATACTATTAAAACTATAAAATATAGTACAAGACCAAAAATTCACAATTGGTTTTTTGGTGCGTGTTTTTTTTATTATTGGAATTAGACATAGGTTTTTGGTAGTTTTACGCGTTTGGGTTAGTTGTATCTTGGGTTATAACATCACACTAAATCGGGTTTTCATTGAATCGCTCGTATTCCAAGAAATGGCTCCTTTTTTTCGGGTAAAATGTAATACAAAAACAAACCAGAGAATGTTATAGGGAAATTGGTAATTGTTATATTTGTCTCCTTGTTTTGTATAACGCAAATTGTAGACTTTCTGTTGTACCGTTGTTTTGGGTTATAATGCAGAAAAAAATGGCTGTTATTCGGGAAATTGGTCTCCCAAAAATGACAAGTGGTCATAGTCCCTTCTTTTTGCCAACAACATTGTTTATATTATAATGATGGTTTTATTACTAGTTAATTTATTAGTGTCTTTGTTTTCAGTTCAAAAAAACGAAATGACAACGCAGATTGTAAATAAGTAAACACTAACCTGTCAAAATGCTTGCTTGAAAGGGTTGGAATATAACATTATTAAAATATAGATTGTGTAATATTAAAGTATCCAAACACAAAGAAAATGGTTTCTTGATAAAACTGTTTAATTAATTGAATTTTTACACCATTATACAATTGATTATTTTAATTATTATTTGATATAATAATAGTATTGTTTCTTGTTATCTATTTATATATTTATTTGTTCTATTATAACATTACTAAAATAAAAATATTATATAAATATTATAGTTTTTATTATTTGGAATAATAATAAACTTTTCTTTTTAACCTTAATAATACAAAATTATAGTAAATTTGTTAATCAATTCTATTGTCAATGATTTATTGTTATTAATAAAAATACAAACAAGAATGTTTTTTGAATGTTTTGTAAATGTTGAATGGAATAAAATTATTATAAAAATAGCACTTTATATCTATTTAAATTTTTATAATATTGTTATTTCAATAACTAAAAGTAAAGGTGTTATTTTATTAAAAATAGATTTAATTTGTTTTTGTGTTATTTATTATAATTATATAAATATTGAAACATTGATATTTTACACCTATTAAAAATAATAATTTGGAATTCTATAAATAATAATTCTCTTATTAAAAAAATGAAATTATTAATTTTGTATCATAACATTCTAATATGTTTGTTTAAAATATAACACAAACCATTGTGTAAACTATAAATAACTTCAAAAGAGAATTTATTTTTTTTTTAATTTAATTAATGGCTTTTCGACCTAATCACTTTTTTTATTTTTAAAAACTATATAATTTTAATTATAATATTTTCAAATAATTCATACCAGTATTTAAACCATTTGAATATTATTAAATAAATAATACCACGGAAGTTATTATTATTAATATTTAATTATTGTTTTATCAAAGAAAACAATTCAATGAAGTTCTTAATAACACCAACTCAATAAACACTTTTATTTTCTTATAAACAAAAAACAGAACACACCCATAAATCAAAAAACACTGCAATAATCAAATCATAGAAAGAGTTTGTTGGATCCAAAAATCTTCTAACTCGGGCGTCAGTGGTGTGTCCGTGAATTTCTCTTCTATATGTTATTCATTTCATTCTTCAAACACAACGCAAGACACAAACCTTTTAAAAACTGTTGAACACCATCATACAACGCACCAAACTTTTCGCTGTCCAATGTGTATTTCGAGCCAATCGACATGACGGACCGGGTCGACATTTTATACCCGTGTTGAACCCAATCCGTCTTGACTTTGAGATGTTTGTTTGTTCCGAGTATTTCAAGAATCACTGTGCGTTGGTCGACAATCCGTTTCACTATAGACGGCCACGGAAGTTCACCTGCAGGGGTTTTGAAAAGACACCAACAGTGTTCCCCCTCTAAGAAATCTACCATTTTTATTTATTAGTTTTTACCATTTCATCGTCCTCGTCTGTTTTTTTGTACTAATTTTAATAATACTTTTACTATACTTTGTATTTTATTAAGTAGTTTTTTATAGTTAAAAATACTATCAGAAGGTTCACTATCATTACTTCTTGTGATTGATTAATTAGAATAATAAAAGTAGTTTCCTTAATAATTTATTTATAATTATTTTTGGTATTACTAATTATGACATTTAGTTCTGTTCTTTTTAAAAACAGTATTATTTCTTTAATTTTTATTATGTAACATTAACAATATACCAGTTTTTTATTATATAATTACTATATTTAAATAGTACAAAAAAAAGTGAACCTGTCGCACAATGATAATATCATAAATAATAAATTTTCTAGTAAAAAAATTATAACTAAAAATACAAAAGAAACCCAAGAAAAACAGAAGAGTCGAATAATAAAAAGGAACGAGAACAAGTCAATAGAGGGGGGTGTTATTTTTCTTCATCTTTCTCTAGCCGCGCAAAAGTTAGAAATAGGTAGATGGGTGTGGGTAAACGGCGTTTGGCTTTGAATTGATCCACTCGTCGATACGCATCACTTTCTCGAACCAATAATAATTTTTGTAAAAGCTCAGATTTTGTGGTGTGAGAGCACTGTATTTGTGTTCACTCATGTTTTCAGACTCCACAACCGACTCCGACTCGGAACTGTCACTTAGCCTCCGCTCATCGATCGTGGAGCTTTCGGATAAAAAATGATCAGCTGATAGTGTCGCTTGACACTTCGGGCGCTCGGACAAAATGAAACCTTCCATAGTGTCCTTCTTCTACTTTTTTTGAGTTCCTCAGTTCTTTTTATTTGTCATCTTTTGACGTCAGGAATCTTTTTCTTAGTGTGCGACAAATTTCCCCGTTTTTTGCACTCAATTCAAAGCAGTTCATTCTGAAAATACTTGAGGCTTGTCTTTTTCTTCGTGTATTTTTGAGTTGTGCAATCCGCCCGAAGTTCACAAAAAAAGTACTGGAGTATTAAACCATTCTTCAATTTTGAGTCATTACGTTTTTTTAGGGTTCATCTTGTTTCAAAAACATTTTGTTGTTGTATTTCGTGTTATTTAAAAAGAAAAAAATATAATAAATTGAAATTATTAATTTTACTATTCATGTTTGAATGAACAAAAATGTCACAGTATAAATTGAACACAATTCACAAGACGTCGTGGAAATGCAAACACAGTAACAGCAAACAAGCGGAAAAATTTGTCTGCTTAAAAGGGGTCACTATCGAATGCACTTAAAACCCAAATTTTGAGATTTTATCGAGTTCTAATTTCCACAACATTACCCAAACCACCCGTCACCATACGACGGTATATTTAAACAATCATTTTTCTTCACAAAAAATGAAATGGTTTTTTAATAATTAAACAATTATTCTTAATAGTTGTATAGTAATACTAAAAGAAGTTTAATATCTATAAAAATAGAAAAAACACCCATAGAGCAATTTAATGTAATAATAGTATTAAACTTTCTATTTGTTTGGGACAATTTGTGAATATTCAATATTACGTTTGAATCAATATTCAAATTAACAGTTCATCATTTTGACTGCAAAAAAATGAAAAAGTTGACAGAACAATTCCAAAAAATCACCAAATTTATGTAAAGAATTTGTGAACTTGAAAAACTCCAAAACATACTATCACAAATGCCCAAGGAAGAAACAACAGAAAACACATGGACACTTTGGATAATTTTGTGGGCATTTCAATTTTTGATTTTTTCGGTTGTTGTTTGCTCGTTGTGTATGTTAGGATTTCGGACAAACATCCTGAGCGTGAAGGTTGTGAGCGTTCGTCCCTCTCCACTCCCCAAACAATGGAGTGTTCCAATCGAGTCACTCACACCTGTCAAAAATCAATTTGCACGTGGAACTTGTTGGGCGCATGCTGTAATTGGTTTTGTTGAAAGTGACTATCGTGCAAATGGGATTCGAAACGGTCTTCTAGATCCCGATGAAGTTGTTCAGTTTTCCGAACAAGCTTGTTTGTTTTAGTACATTAAATGTAGAGTAATAAGACTATCCTAACAATTATTAGGAATAGTGTTATCAGTAATTAATAAAGTAATGTTTTAATATTAAAATGATATTAGTAGTAATAACAATTCAGATATGTCATTACTTGTCACTTACTGTTCAAAACATCGAGATATTCCACTTTGTCGATATGGCGGGATGCTTGAAAACTCGACGAACAATTTTACTCCGGACTCGTTCTTTTATTTGCGCAACGTAACGAATGGGTTTATTCTCCCCGAAACAATCTGTCCATACGAACACTTTTCCGGCGTAAACGAGAGCCTTTGTACTCCGTCCGACAAACAAACACTTGAAGAACACGTCAAGCGGAATCCATTATCATTTTCTATCAAGGACATAGTAACAGTATATTCTGTCAATGATGTTAAGAACATAATGTTAAAAACATTGTCTCCGATGACGTATGGCCTCAACACACTTTTCAACACAATTCTTCTCCCGTGTAATTCTTTCAATCCTCAAATCAACACAACGGAATGTCAAAAATGTTTAACGCCATGTGCCGGTGGGTGTTGCACAAAGGTATCATCATCAATGTATCACAACGACGGCCTTATCGACATTTCCGAGGGAAGTGTACGACGTGGCGGACACTCCATGCTTGTTGTGGGCTGGAACGATGAATTTCCAGTTGAACGAAATCTGCACTTAAATGACCCGATATTCCAATGTGATTGGGCCAAGATTGATGTCAATCACAACTCATCTCATCCTCCACAAAATAATAGTAAAAATAACAATACTGCAACTATTAAAAATGTGATTGAGAAGCGAGTGAAACGGTGGACAAAGGGAGGTTTGATTCTGAAGAATAGTTACGGCACAAAGGGCCATACTCTCGGGTTTTACCTTCAAAACCATTCTCTTCTTAACGAAGATACAATCTGTCCATTGAGCATTCATCCAAGTCGATGGTATCCTTTAGATGTTAATTGTATCAAAGAAGGGCGTAGTTTTATGAATTGTTCGAACGGGAAATTACGAAAAATCGGGAATAGTAAAATTTTCTATGGAGCAACTATATTGAAATGTAAAGAAGGAATTAGCCGTGATGAAGCCAAAAATTTGGGATTTGAGGAGTGTGGAACGAACGATCCCAAAACGCGATATGCACTTTCGGCACAATGGTATAATGTGACCTTTAAAAGAGCTATACCCAAAACCTTGGCAATGGGTGACGGGTTTTTATTATATTTAGCGAAATGGGAGAACGGGAAGATTAATACAACAATACAAGAAACTCGAACACTATTAACGTCGTGGGACTTTGTGACTCAATTGTTTGAGATGGATACCAATGTAACCAATTCAGAGCACTGTGGATATTATTTCCAGCCATATGACACTATTGAATATCTTGCTTCAGAGTTTGGTCATGACACTTTCGAGTCTTATGTTTGTTTTACTATTAATATAGTTCCATTTATAATATAATAATATATAATAATATATAATAATATATAACAAATAGGGATTCTCTTATTACTGTCTTAAATGGGAACCGGAGTCATATTACAAAGTTTCAAAGCACAAAAGCAAATTCAAAGGGATCAGAGAATCAACAAAGAAGTTTGTCACGCCACAGTTTGACGGTCCGTTTGGTGGGAGAGCAAATTAAGTCACCCTAGAAGATCCCACTTTTACTATACAATAGCGCCAATTAATTAATTAATTACTTTATATAGTTATATACCCGGTACTAACGAATATAGATATTTAATAATAAATGACTAGTAAATAAATAACATCATGGATTAATTATTGGGATTAGTATAAGTATACCAATGTAACTACATACTATAGTTAAGTTATTAATCATAATTGGTATCTCTTGGGGTGTTACTTTGTACTCAATAGTATAAATTGAGTCAATCAAAGGAGCTGGAGTCAACGGAGATATTAACATCACAAAACGAGCGACAGGACCGATCCATTTTTGAAAGCCGAAGTAGACGATCAAGCCGAAGGCAAGACCAAAGAGCATCCGATAGAGCACAACAGAGAAACATGTTAAGAGATACTTCTTGGGAATCTTCCACTCGAAGAAACTGCCTAAAATTGCATAGGCGAGCAAAGAGTTTGCATTGGCGCAAGTGTCGATGAACGTGAGTAACACGTGAGGTAAACGGAATTGAGTGAGAGCGAAGAAATAGCCGGAGAATGTTGCGTAAATTGGTATAGAAGTGATTACGGCCATTAAAGTTCCTTTTGCTATTTGAATAGTATTTTTATTAGTTAACTTCTTAATTATAATATCCTTCAAACTTGTCTTCTTTTGTTGAACCAAAGTGGCATTTCCTAAATCAATTTGAGTTGAATCATCATTAATAACATTTCCTGGTTCATTGATATGAATTGTTTTGTGATCTTCTTCTTCTTCGTCTTTTGATGTGTTAAGTAATTTAGTTGTGTCTTTGTCTTTGTTTTCTTTTTGAGGAGATTCTTTACTTGGATGGGAGTCGTGTGGTATCGTCTGGGAGTGGGAAGTACTGATTGTTTCCATTTCTATTGATATTTCACCTTTTTCTCGCGTGGACTGTGTTAAACCAAGCCAAGCATATAAAGGGCGTATTACTAAATAACAACACAAATCATTTGAAAAACAAAATAAAATACATTTGGATATCCCATCTGTGGGAGCTACGGACTTTAACACTGGAAATATGAAAAGCGCGGTGTTGAGTGCTAATGAATTAAAAATAGCTAATTTGCGATGGTCGGGGTTCTTTATAAATAAAAAAACTAGACAAGCAAGTCCACCAATACTAAATTGATATATAAAACCGCCAACTACTAAATAGAGACTTTCTAAATCTAAGCCATTCATGTTATATAAATTTCTAAATATGATACAAGGCAATGACAAATTAAATAACACTTTCATGATTAAGCCACTATGAATACGGACGTTATCACGGAAAAACCATAACTTAAATATAAAAGAAAGCGTAAGAGTGAGAAGCATCACACCAAATGTCTCATAATACTCTTTCATCTTGCAATTACTGCTCTTTTAAGTTTGAAATCTAATAAGTTCCAAAAAGTCCTTCCAAGTGTTGATAATTTAAATTATAGTTTTATTATTATTAGTTAATAATTAAGAATAGATTTACGATCTAGACATTTGGGGTTCTATTTTTGTATTTTATTATTCTAATAATAACTATTATTGTATAATAAACTTTTATATGCTAAAATTTTGGGAATGTCGAATTGGTAAAAAAAATCCCTTATGTCCTATTTTTATAATTCTATTGGTTTATAATTAGTTATTAAAAGTTAAATAAATAATTTCAATAAACAATCTAATATTATTGATATATCTATTATTAATAAATCTATTAAATTATAGTAAAAAATTTTTCCAATCACACCAATAAAATCTCGAAATATGAGAAATGAAAATAATCTTAAACTATTACTATAATTAAATTATTATACATCCTATACTTTTCATTTTGTGATTTTTTTGTTATTTGATGGAAACAAAACATTTTTTAACATTTTTTTTCAACTCAAAATGTTTTGATCCACAAAATCACAATTTGATGACATCGACCCCAATCACCGACAAGTATGACGAAATATTAAAAACATTAGACAGTGTAGCTGCCGATATTCATTCTTCTCCAGCAACTCTTATAGCTGTGAGTAAAACCAAACCAAAAGAAGATGTCATTGAGTTATTCAAAACACATCACCACCTCTTGTTTGGTGAGAATTACATTCAAGAGCTTCACGAGAAGGCAACATCCCTTCAACATGAATATCCGGACATTCACTGGCACTTCATTGGTCGTCTTCAGTCAAATAAAGTTCATCTGTTGGTCTCAACGCCAAACTTAGTCTGCATCGAAACAGTACACTCATTAGAAATCGCTCAGAAGCTCGACAAAGAACTTAAAAAGGCAGAGAAGACCATCGACGTCTTCATTCAAGTGAACAGCTCCGGGGAAGAACAGAAGGGTGGCGTCGACGTGAAAGACGCTTTGACGGTCTATGAAGAAGCTACGAAACTCACAAACCTTCGCGTGAAAGGAATTATGACTATAGGAATGGTCGGAGAGGCTAAAACAAATTTTAACACTATGAAGAACTTGGCCGCTCAAATCAAGGAAAAATTGAAACTCGAAAAGGTCGAGGTCAGTATGGGAATGTCCGCAGACTATATGCTCGCGGCTCAACTGGGCGCAACATATGTCAGAGTCGGTTCAGCTCTCTTCGGTCCTAGAAATTATAATAAAAACGTGGTTTAATTCTAGTTTCTTGGAGAAATAATATTTATAGTTAATTTAATATAAATTAATTATTATATAATCATTGTTTTATAATAGTAATATCTAACTATAATTTTTTTCTATAATTTTTGAAGTTATTTAGTATATTTAAAATTATTATAAATGTAGAAAATGTCTTTATTGGTTTTAACTTATTGAATTAAAATATAATGTCTTGTATTAAAATAAGAATACAAGGTAATCGTTTTAAACAATTTAAAATAATAGTAAAATAAATTAGAGATAATAATCATAGATTGAGAAAATGAAAAGAAGGATGGAATGACAACACAGAAGTAGAGTTGCTTACAGAAGAATTAATTGTCGTCGCGTGCAAAAACAGAGACAATAACAACAATAGCAATAATAATCGCAAGAGTTATTGCAACGCCGATTGAAAAAACTACGATTTTTATACACTTTGCTTTTCGCTCAAGGTTGGAAAGAACAAGGTTCGTTCCAGAAAGTCTGTGTTGGCCTGTAGTCCGCAAATCAGTCCCATCATCGACAAACACTTCTTTTGTTTTTTCTTCTTTGTTTTCAGGACTGTTGTCCTCTAATATCATAGTTGGGTTATTAACACCTTCACTTGGTTTCGTATCGATTGACATTGCTAATTTTATTAGTTTTTTAATCTTTTTGAGTTAATAAGAATATGTATTATTTTGTTTAATAATATATACTATACCTATAATACAAGTTCAAATGAAGGAAAAACATTTTTAAAATTATTCCAATTAAAAAATAATTATGTTAATTTCAATTTTTTGGAAATAACTATATTTAAAGTTAATAATTTATTCTAATTACAATTAACAATATTTAATAATAATTTTAATTAATTATATTGTATTTGTTTTAACAATACAGAATAACATTTACTATATTTTATTATAATAATTAAACTAAATAATGAAAAAAACACTTTTGGGAAAGAAATAAAAAAGACGAAAAAGGCAAAACAAAGAAGAGGGTTAAGTGATTAATAAAAAACTAATGTTTAATAGTTTGGTACAAAAGACTACGAAAAAGAACTCAAGTTTGGAGCACGACGTATGTTTAGTTTGCAACACCGTGCCGATAAGGAGTTTGTCAAACCTGTGCGTCTCCCAGAATTGAAAATTAAGTCCACCCAAAATCACATCACCACGTTTTCATTACCATCAGATGATAAATGTGACGATCAAATCAACTTTATTTCATCTCCCAAACAAGACGTTCAAAATTTGTATAATAAAACTAATAGAAGTTTAGAAGATGACGACTCGTCAAATTCTAACGAAGAAATTAAAGAACTTAAAAAATGTGAAACTCCTGATGAAATTGACAAAATAGAGAAAATTAAAAAACGCATCAAAAAGAAAGATACACAACGAAAGCGCTCAAAACGGGAAACGCAAAAAAATGAAAAGAAAAAAAAAGAAGACGAGAAATGTTCGACTATCAAGCTCGAAGCAAAAAAATCACAAAAAAACGAAAAAATTGAAAAATTGGAAGAAGTCAATAACAAATCGAATAACAAAAATGAAAAATCTGAAACGTTTGAAGGTCTCACTTCATCTTTCCAAAACGAAATGAAATCACTTGATATAATTGGAGAAACAAATGCAACGACAAAAGACATGAAAAAAAGTGACGAAACATTTTGCGTCTCAAATTTTCCAGACGAAAACGACGATATCAAAACTCATCACATCGAAACGTCAACAGATTTCGTGATTTTCGAAAATCAGAAAAAAGACGAAGAAATCAATTCGACGTCCCCACAACTGCTGCAACCCGAAAAAGTCGAAATCCAAAAAAATTCAAATGTGAGCCCTCCACAACTTTCGCAAAAACCTTTAAAGGATCCAAAAAAAAACAAAAAACTCAATCTCTTGAAAAAAGTCCCAAAACGGCGAGTCGGCGAAGAAAACTTACTACTCAAAGACAATTTAAAGTCGCAAAAACTCGGTTCCGACGAGAAAAATCAAGGAAAGTGTTTGGTCCTCTCAAAGACATGTAACTTTCTATCGTTGGTCACTACCGTTCTGTTTATTCTTTTCACATCACTCTCTATATGGGACGACGTTCTGAATGATATGATGTGATTCTTGTCTAATTATAATTTGTAGTTCATTTTACTATTTGTCTTGTTTCTCATTGGAATCGTTTGTTTTTGATTAATTTAATTATATACTTTAATAATAATTTAAATTATGGTTTTTTTAATATTTTTTAATGAATCAACGAAATTTAAAACTCAAAATGAAAACTATCGATGGAGAGACCAGATTGGCTTGATGGAACGATATTAAAACTGGTCGAAAAACTCAGAGAGGAATATAAGAAACTCCCAGCAAAAGGAAAAGAACAAGAAAATGAGTGGAGTATCTTGTCTAGTTTTTTTATAGTAAATCCAAAATTACAAGAAGTAGATTTTATATGCCTTGGGACAGGCAATAAATGCCTTTCTTTTTCGCATCACAGCCAAACTGCCGTCAACGACAGCCACGCCGAAATCATTACAAAACGAATCTTTCAACTTTTTTTATCCGAAGATTACAAAAACAAAAATTCAAAGTACTTCGAAAAAGACCAAAAAACTGGTAAATTTCGGATTAAATCGACGTACAAAATAATCATGTACATAACAGAAGTTCCTTGTGGCGATTGTTGCATCTCAAAAGATCTTGAAATAAATGACAAGTCCGAGATTGAGACGGGAGCGAAACGTCTTGTGGATGGCGATATAAAAAGGACGGTCTCATTGTGGGAAGAGGACGACATCAATTCTTCTCTTGGTAAAACAAGAATCAAACCTGGCCGAGGAGAGAAGTCACTCAGCATGTCGTGCAGTGACAAGATACTAAAATGGAATTTGATAGGTCTCCAAGGGTCTATACTTTCCAAATATTACACCAAGATACGACCAGACATAATCCTGGTCGAAGGACCTCTTAACATTGAGTCACTCGTTTGTTTCTTAACTAATCATACATTTAATTAACTATATTATATATTTTTCAAATTATAAATTAACTATAATTTGGTAGATCCTATTATAGTTTTAAAATAGTTGTTTTTGATACTTTAAAAGTTTAATGGTTTAAATGCAAAATTAATAAAAAGGCAAGAGGAATCAATGAACGGTCGATAAAAATGAACGCAATTTTTTTAGAAAAAAATATGAGTGTTCTTCCCCCAAGTTTTGTGTTTGAGGTGATGAGGTCCAACATTGTCAAAAAGGAGAAAAAAAGCCTCTCTCCAGCCGGGACGTCGATTAATTATTGTTATCTTCAAAGCCTTGGGGAGGAAGTTACAGTTTCTGCGCGTGGAGTCAAATTTGGAGCCGGCAAAAATGTGAACAAAAAACAGATGAGTCGTCTAAGTCCTTTACTAATGAAGGAGAAATTCGACGAGACATTTGGCTGTAATGAAACTAGTAAAGATGAACAGTATGAGTTGGAGAAGAAATTGTTCAAAGAGAGTGTTGATGGGGGGTGGACAGTGAAGGTGTAATGTCTGATTTTATTCGTAAAACAAATTCTATAAATATAGTTCCATCGAAATTATTTTAAGCCAGGTATTTATATATGTTGTATAAGCATTAGTATGGCAAATAATAAAAATATTAACGAACGTCTTATGAATCATAACTTATGAATAGTATCTTGTTTTTCGTTTTATAATAATAAAAATAGAATATCAAATTAAAATGAATAGTATAATAGTTAAATGATATAGTAAATCAATACCGACAAATGGAGTTATTTCAAGGAGGTTTGTAGAATGGAATGAACAGGAAATGTCAATGGAAGAGCGGCGAGTGGTTGTACTTCAAGCGAACGTACGGAGGTTCTTGGTGAGGAGTTTATACAGTTCGGTCCATGAGCAATACAAAATAATAGAAGAATTGGTGAGCACTGAAAAGTCGTTACTCATGAAAATGGAAATAATGAAAAATAAGTACCAGACCCCTATCACACAAATCAAAATAGTAGATTTTGTATTTAAAATCTTCTTATTGTTTTTACCACTTGACGGGTGTATTAAATCGAGTCGAGCTATTGTCGAGATTGGAGAGAAATTTGTGGATAGTTTTAAAATAGATTCAAAAGCTTCAAAGTTATTTGACACCATCACAACTCTCATCTTTTCTTTTGGAGAATACGCGATTAACTATAAAGTTACTAAAAATGTGTTAAACGAATTGAAAAAGAATTTGATTTATAAACGAATGCTTTCCGTTTTGGACGCGAATCAAAATGGAACTACTTTTGATGATTTAATTATAGAACCAATGCAAAGACTTTTTAGATATCCCATGTTCATCCAATCATTACTCAAAACTTTTGACGAGAAGATTGAAAGTGAGAAACTTGAGAAGGAAATTCTCGTCAAGACTAATCACGAATTCGCAAGATATATCACTCACGTCAATAAAATCTCAGAAATGAGAGCAGAACTGATGACAGTGGCGGATCGACTGGACTATTTCACTTTGTTGGTCCCACGGAGATTTTATATTGGAGGGGAGATTATGACGTATAATAAAAAGAAATGTGAAGGGCATTTATTTAATGATCGAATAATTTGGTATTCCATCCAAAAGTCCAATAAACTCGGGAAACAAGTAAGATATCAATTAGAAGGGGAAATAGTTTTTAATGATAAATTAAGTTGTCATGGATCAAAACACGTGTTGATTTTCGGATATCCTGGTTTGATGCCAATTCAAGTGATGATTAATTCTAAAAAAACTATAGCAAAATGGGTTCTCACAATTAACTCTGTGATTAAATCAAGAGTTTGGTTAATGAAAGAATCAAATGACTGGTTACACCACTCTAATAACTTCGAATTTGTATCACAAATCGGACCAATCAAACAAAAGGAAGAAAAGACTAAAAGCAAAAAAAAAGAAAAACAAAAATCAATCAAAAAATAAGGGAAGTTTAACTATCAAAAATGGAATATTAATAGTTTTTATCATTGCAACATTTTGTATCAATTTACTTTACATTCTATTCCTTTGTTATACTCTTTTTATTATACTAATATAAACAAATACTATTTATATAATTAAAAGACCAAATAAAAACAATAAATTTATAATTAATTTAATTTATAAATAAAACGATTATTTTTAAATTAATAATATATTAAAATAAAGTATATATTTCTAAGTTATTCAAAACAAAAAAAAATTAATAAATAATAAGATTAACTATACTATAATCAAATAACCGAAATAATTATTAAAAAAATAATAATATTTGAAAATGTTATTCAAAATGAGAAAAACGGAATAAATTATTTTAATAGCAAAGAAGTTAGTGTTAACTAATAAAATGATCTTATAATAAAGTGAACTCGAAAATGAGATTTTGTATCAAACAAAAAAACACCACCAAAAATAAACTAAATAAAATAGTTTTGAAATAAGTCAAACACCATAATTTCCTGAAAGTTTGGGAATTAAAAGAGATAAATAAAATAAAAGGCAAAAAGAGAGGGTTGGACAAGGGCTATATAAATACTACATTATCATTCATGAAAAACAGCACCAGAGCACCACATGAGCGATAATTATGTAAATATTGATAAAGAAAACGTCATCCTCCGCGAGGATAATTCTATAGAATGGGAGGATGATGACGTTGTTTGTTTGAAACGTATCAAAGCGGACGACGAGAAGTTGAAGAAAAAGCGCGTTGAGTTTGTTATTTGATTTTTATGATTTTGTTGTCTCAAACGTTATCTCGTTCCGTCCTCATGATCTCAAAATGAGAAACTAACAACTTAGGCGGAAAGATACCAAAGAAGAGAGTGAAAAAAAGGGAGAAAGTTTGATCGAAAAGGCGGCAAACATGCAATCTTCCGACACAGAGAGTGTCGCCGAGATGAGCCTCCCCGAAGTAAGAAAACTTCGAGAGATCAACAGAAAGTTGATGACTCAGCCAGAGGGAATCGCTTTCAATGTCCCAGTTGATCCAGACGCTCTTCAAATACCCACATATTTCAGTGTCATTAAATCACCAATGGATCTTGGGACGATCAAAAAGAATTTGAGCGATAAGAAGTACCTGACCAAAGAGGAATTTTACAAAGATGTCAAACTGACTTTCAACAACGCAAAGGTATTCAACCACCCGGATAGCGACGTCTATAAGTGGGCTGTTAAGTTGGACAAAATGTTTGATGGTTTCTGGAAACTGGCTTTCGATGACAAAAAAGTGGTGGTTGAGAAGAAAATGGTTGAAACCCCACACGAACAAGCCAGAAGCATTGCCAAGGAGAGCACAGGAACATCAAGGAATAAATCAAGAAGTAAGAAGATAAACCCCGATAAACCACTTACGTTCGAGGAAAAGAAAAAGTTGGCCGAAGACCTTCAACACATCAGCAAAGATAAAGAAAAGTTGGACGAAGTATTAGCGGTTCTTGACTTGGCGAAAACAGGAAAGAGCAAAGTCTCAATAAAGTTGAACAACCTCTCCACCACACAACAAAGAGAATTACAGAGAATTATGAAGGGTAAGGGTAGAAAAGAACAGAACACAAAGATGACAATGGAGGAGAGAAAGCAGCAAGCCTCTGAGAGGCTAGAAAAACTCCAACCCCAGACCGAACAGAAAAAGGTGCAACCCAAAGCAGGCAAGAAACATGACTCGGACTCTGAAAGCGAAAACGAGTTATCGTCTTCTGATTCGATTGATTCTGAAGAGGCAAACTTGATACGAATGTCAAAGACCAAATGATGTATTTTTCTAAACGAACTTATTAATTAAACTTTTATTTCTGAGTTTTTGTTATTGATATTTAATTAATTTTAATTTTAAAATAAGTTTTTATTAAATAGAAAAGCAAAGAACCATTTTAGTTAATAATGTCTAATATAATAATAATATAAATTATTAAACAATGTTTGTTATTTTTAGGTTTAAAATCAACGACACGTTAAAAAATCTTTTGAAAACAAGAAACAAATCAAGGAGGTGTTTGTAAGTCTCAAGAATTACATCCTGATAACAGTAGAATCCAGTAGAATACACCCAATTTCATCTCCACCGTCCACAGCTGTGAATGACATTTTTAATTTCCACTCCGAGTTAATTGGAGTGGAAGGAGGGATTTCATAAGTTTCTTTGATTTTGATTGTTTTCTTCTGTTTGATGGGGCAAAGGATTGGCGATGATCGGCATATGTCTCTTACAACCGAATTGATTGGTATCCAAAATTTCCTCGACAACCGTTGCGAAGCTGTTGCGTTCAAATATAGGGATTTCAAATCTTCAAGAACTTCCGCCTCGATGCTGAGAGTTAGGTCAACGCCACTCACTGGTGGCCATGGAGTACCTTCGATTTTCAAAACTTTGACTTTAGAGTCATTACAACATGAAATAAATGGAACGGAGTCACAAAGGGCGATTTGAGAAATAATGAGTAAAATGAGGAGTTGAGAGGATAACATTGGCCTTTATTATTTTTTCCATTTTTTGGATGTTTGAATTTATGGGTTCAAAATAAAAAATTTATTTTGGTTTTTCTGTTATTTATATCGTTCAATCCATTAATTGTTAAAACGTGGATTATGATATGGCTTTTTATAATAATAACTTATAACAATAATTTAGTTATATTAAATTGATGGTTTATTAGCCGTTTTTTTGCTATGATTGTTTTTTGTTATTGTTTACAAAATTAGAACTAAAAATACACAAGATTGAAATACTATAATTATTGTTTATTTTACTATAATTATTTAAAATATAAAAATACATTTATTACTGAGAATTGTTTTTAAACTTCAATTTAATTATTATCAATAGTTTTATTGTTAATACTTAATTATTTAATAATTTATTACGAATTATTAATTATTATAATTATATTATAGTTTTATTATATAAATATTTTTTTTTGAATAAAAAAAAGTAAAAACAAAATTTATTAATTTAAAAAACCAAAAGTGTTTTATGAAGTCTGAGTACATTTCAGATATAGTTGTCTCCTTTTTTTTTGTGATAATATTTCCAATTATTGCTGTGATTATAATGGCAAAATGTCTTCACGTTCCGCACCGAAAAACCGCACAAACTAAAATGGTATGGAATCGTTTGTTATTAATAAAGATATAACTAATCATACTGTCACATTTAAATAAACATCCGTTGATGTCCAGCATATTTGTACAAAACAAAAACGAAACACTTAACAAGACCTCCAACGCCTCCACTTTTCACTTTTGAAAAAAAGAATAAAGAATGTGAGAGAACTGCTTCTGATTTAAAAATCGAAACGATCTTACCAAAACCAACGCCACAACCAGAAAAAGTCGAAATTTTGCCGGAACGAAAAGAAGAACCTCCCAAAATCACAACCCCAGATTTGGAAAAATTGGCACGTCCACCTATTAAAGTTTGTCACGTTAAAGCACAACCACTTTCTGTGAGTAAAATGGTGTTACCCGAATTTAAAAATGAAAGCACAAAAAAAGGAGAAGGAAATCAAGTCGACGAAATCATTAAAAAACAACTCAGTGTTATTAACGCAACACCAACACTCTCATTATCGTCGTTCGGTGGACCAACATCCCCAAGAATACTCGGACAAGCAATTGAGACCCCGTCACCTAGAAATCCACGCGACTTGGGAGTTCTCACAAAAAGTCCATTACTCGACGTGCCACAAAGTCAAGTCGCTCCAAAGTCTTCACATGTCAAATTAGAAAAGTTCGATAGTGAAAGTTCTCTAGAGAGTCCTGAAGAAATGGGAGATACAAATGACTCATCGCTTCGTTCGTAATTGTTTTTGAATTAACAGTTAAGTTGGTGTGTTGGGTGATTCTTTGATAGGACTTCAATACTTTAACTATATTTTATAATTCAATATATTATAATTTGTAGTTTTTAAAAAATGGTTATTTTATTAATAATTAATAGTTTTATATACTATAAAATAACTTTCGAATTTTTTGTATTGACTACAATCTATTTTGATTGATTTCAAATTTTAATCTGTGTATTATAAAATAAGTTAAAACAAACTAGATAAATATAATATATAATTTAATTCGAAAGAATGACAATTATAAAAAGAATTTTACAAAGATGGAACATAAAAATTAAATTCCATTAATTATAATTTATACCAATATAGTAAAATCAACTATAAAATATAGTTATGAACAACACTAAACAATTTTGATCAAATCATCCAACAATTCGATGTTTTATTTGTTTTTTTTCAAACAGTATAGTGATTTCTGGGCAATTTCGGGGTTTTTTGGAATCACTCAATATGTACAAAAATTATGAAAAGAACTTTTTAATTTGAATGAGTATTCAGTTCCAATACCCATATTTTACGTTTTTAGACTTGGATTATACTGTCCGGAGAAAACTCCCAGCAACGCAGCTTAATACTGTTCATGATGATCTGGTGAATAGGTCTTCGATGTCTGGATTGGTATTAATTCGAACTGGTTTGTTTTATTATAACAAATCAACATAAGTATAACATATAGAAATTATTAAACAGTGGTATGAGTACTATGTAGTTTTATGTGCGCCTTATATTCTGATTTTTGAAAATGAAGAAAAATTCAGACATAAAGAGTACTATGCTATTATTAACATCTGCAATGCAGTGATGTCACCCCGACAATCAAAAATGCCGGGAGTGTGTTTTAAAATTGAAGCAGTTAAAAAGGTGATGTGCCTTAAGTATGGATTTTTTGGAGAAGCACTGTCAAGGCACAGTGAGAGGGAAATCCTATTCAGAATCGAAAACATGAATAAAGGTAAAGATTGGTTTGACCAGGTCCAGTCAGCTTTCTCGTTGTCAACTACCAAATTTGGAAATGGAGAAGATGGTAATCCAACCCCAAAAGTGCCACCCACGCTCCCTCCAAAGAACATAGTTAACAACACTTTATCTGATCAAAGTAATTTGTTTAGTAAGTCACAAGATGATATTCAAGTGAAGTCAAGACAATCAAGAAACTCAACTTCAGTTGATCAAAGTGAAAGTGTCTTGCCTTCACAATTTGGAGGATTGGAACAAATAACAAGATCGGAATCATTCGACGTGAAATTACAAAACAGCCGAAACAGTGAAGTACCAAATGTGTTGGACCTCTTGCCTTTACAAAAAACTCCAATCACTAAAAAGCCTGAAGAAAAAGTCGAAGTCAACACGCCACCAAAAAGCGAATTAAAAAGTCCAGAAAACAAAGAAGAAGTACTTCCTCAAACACCTCAAGAAGTTGAAAAAGAAGAAAAGGAACAAAATGAGAAAATTACTACTGAAACAATTTCTAATTCCAAAGAATCTACAGAAAATGTTATTGAAAAATTAGAAAGTTCGTCTCATTACGTTCATGCAGAAAACGACTTAAAAGCGTTCTTTGATGCGACAGAAGAAGGCAAATCGATCATTTGGGATTTACTTAAACAAGTCCGTCCAGGGATGGATCTCAGTCGAATCTCCTTCCCGTCGCACATTCTGGAGCCACGGTCGTTTCTTGTGAAGACCACGGATTACTTCTCACACATTCAGATGTTTGAAAAGATCTCCTCAGAACCCGATGCGTCAAGGCGAATGCTTCTTCTAGTGAGTTGGTTGTTGAGTGGATTTTATTTGATGCCGACGGGAATCAAGAAGCCATACAATCCCGTTCTTGGCGAGACTTTTAGAACTATGTGGAAACATCCTGATGGGACACATTCATATCTTATTGGTGAACAAGTCTCCCACCACCCACCAATATCCGCTTTCTACGCTTCAAATAGAGCACAGGGGTGGATGGGAAATGGTTACATCAAATTCTCAACTGTCTTTCGTGGACTCTCAGCTGGGATTATACTTGGTGGGGGTATCGACATTTACTTGTTGAAGTGGAATGAACATTACACTATGACATTCCCAGAAGCACTTGCCTCAGGATTCTTTGTTGGTCCAATGTTGATGGAAATAGCTGGAAAGAGCACTTTCAATTGTAAGGAAAGTGGGTACTCCGCTGAAATTACATTCAACACGAGGGGAACATTTTCGTGGGACAAGTATCAGACCGTGACGGGGAAGATTACACATGAAGGGAAAGAGGTGTACACTGTGTCAGGAAATTATTACAAAGAGCTGTTTTACACTGGAAGTGACAAAGTCAAGAAGAGTCTTCTCGACATCAACAAGTTGAAGATGGAGAAGGGTGCTGAGCGGTTTACTGTAGATAAGAAGACTCAAGGCGCGTTCGAAAGTGACAAGTTGTGGGAGAAAGTGACAGAAGCAATTTACAAAGGCGACCAAAAAGTCGCGACTGACGAGAAATGCATTCTTGAAGAGGAACAACGAGAACGTGTCCGCGTCAATGAGACTAATGGGACTCCTTATGAGACTAAGTACTTTGTGGCAGATGACACACTCGGGTGGAAGTACGTCGACTTCAACAACAAGCAGTTCAACAGCGAACTGGAGGTCTGCGACTACGAGAAGGACTACCACATCAAAACGCTTACTAAAGAGGATCTGATGCAACAGAATGTACTTAAAGTAGAAACAGAGAAACCAAATGAAGTAATCACCAGTGAGAATACAACTTCCCAATGCGTTTCACAAATAACAAATGAGGAAAAAACAGAATGTTCTACTCTTGTTTTAGGAGAACAGTTGTTGACAAAGGAAAAAGAAGAGAAAACTTCAGTGATTGTCCGAAATGTGAGTGTTGAGGATGTTGAGAAAATTGTGGAAATAAACGTCAAACAAGCAGAAAAACATCTTCAGAACATTATTAATACACAGGGAGACAAAAACAAACAAGGGATTGATAAAATCTCTAAAAGAGAGTCTACAGTTATCATTTTGAACGTTATTATCCTTGTCCTCTTGGTCATTCTATTCATTAGATAATGAGTTTTATTTACTTTTGAATTTACACACAATTTTTTAACACATAAAATAACATAAATTTTGGGGTTATTAAAGTTTAATAACCCCAAATAATTATTATTATTAAACTAGAATATACTCGTCACAGTGTGACGGGATACTTGATATTATAAATTATTATATATTATTTATATTTAAGAGTAGTATTTAATATATATAATTAAAATATTAAAATATATTAACATAATCTAATATTAAAACATTTAATTTAATATTCGTTCATAAACAATATTTAAGGTTTCATTAGTATCAATTTTCGATTTTAAAAAATTCATTTTATGTAACACCACTTTCAAATTTTCTGGATTTTTACAACGTGATAAAGCAACGTAAAGTTGTCTATGAGAAAACACATGGTAACTAAGATCAATACAAACACCGTCGAACTTTGGCCTTGTGATTTGTTAATAGTTATTGCAAAAGCCAGTATGACAGGAAATTGTTTTCGATGAAATTTTATATAACAATGTTTCACATCATTAACGCTTGTATCCATTTGGGGATGGTATAAATACGTTTAGATTCTTTTAGTAAATTGACCTGAATAAAGTTATTCCCAAAATTGACAATTCTTAAACGGGTTCCATTACAAAGACTACAACTTAAATTTAAGTTTCTTAACAACATTACAAGAACTCCTTTTTTTATTTTAAAATATGAGGAGGCATCCCAGGAAAATTAAAACCGTTTAAAAATTCTGTAGGAGTATTTTGTATTTCATCCAATTCTTCTTGGTCAACTTAATCAATACTTCCAAATATTTTGGGCTCACCTTGTATTTTGGTTATAATACGTTCATTTAGTACAACTGGATCTTCATTTTTTTCCAACCAAAATCGCTCGAGAACACATTTCATTATTATCCAAATTTAAAAAACGACTCTACAACATCATAACATATTAAATTGTCTGGAATATCAACAATTTTCGAACTTAAAGTTCCTATAATTTTTTATCCTGTTGTTTTATTTCCATTATCAAGAAGCCATTTATTAAAAGTATTATATCCTCTACTTCTCATGTTTGTTGAAAGGTGATGCACTTCGAACAATTTCCAAAGAAAAATATTTTTCACATAATTGTGGATAACTTCAGTTTTAGTACCATTTGGAATAACAGGAAGTATTTGTCTGAAATCCCCACCCACAACCACAATTCTTCCACCAAATAGAAATCGCGAAAAGTTTCGATCTGGGTATGCAACAAAGGGAATTTGTCTCATCAATGTATCAATACATCTCAATATTTCTTTGTGTACCATTGATATTTCTTCAATTAAAATAACATCTGTCACTTTTAGAAATAAAGCTTCATCAGAAGCTGGCGCAATAAGATTTTCTGAGTCTTCATAAATATGAAAAGGTAGTTTAAAACCCGAGTGAAATGTTTTTCCTTTCTTCAGATATGCAGCAGCAATTCCTGTTGGAGCAAATGACAAGACAACATAACCTTCGGATTCGAGAGTATCTATCAGTACGTTGTAGAGATGTGTTTTACCAGAACCACCAGGTCCATCAATAAAAAACATTTTTGTGTTGATTGATATTTCTTAGTGGATGTTATTATTGAGTCAAAAACAATCCGTTGTTCTAAATTGAGTTCATTAATCCCTTTTTGAAGGTTACTTTCAATTTGCAAAAACGGTAAATAATTCATTTCACTTTCTGGCTCAATCAACACATCTTCTTGTATATCGAAACAGTATTTTTGATATCATAGGACTGCTCTTTTAACAAACGTTTTAAATGACAGAGACCAAGATATTCTGCTTATTCAAGACTTTTACCAATATTAGTGAAATCGAAAACAAATTCCTGTTTGTAGGATTTTCATGATGTTTTTAAATAGATAGTTAAATTCTTTGTGGTTATAAAAAGCAAGGAATTCACGAAGTTGTTGTGGCATTGTTACACTAATTGCCTCTTCAATACACTTTCCCCATTCATCATCACTATCAATCAATCCAAGAATCTTACAGGCGTTAAAGTTTGTTTTGCAAACACGAATTGTATATACTACATAAACTGATCTTAATTCTTCAAAAATTTTCACTCATCTGATGTGTTGCAAAAAAACGAAGAACATAAAATGTTTCCAAGTTTTTATGACAAACTGTGTACATACGAATTATTAATTTTTCGTTATTTTTCGTTTTTTAATCCATTTACATAATTTCCATGTATAAAAAATGGTATTTCGGTATACAAAAGAGTTTGAGCAAATATGTCTGAAAGGTTCAATATAAACCATGCTTCCAAATTAGTAATAATTTTCTTTGTCAAATCGATAATTTCGTCTTCTTGAAAGATAATACTTTCTTCATCTTTGCAATGGACAGGTAGTTTATAAACAACATGAGAATTTTTGTGCATAATGTCAAAATTTCCAGGCAGCCTCAGAGGAACCAACATATCTCATGTCTATATAATTTTCAATTTCGTCATAAGAATTCAATTGCACCATTTTTTGAGACTTTTAATGAAGCACAATCGTTTCCCTTGTAGACATATTTGTATATCAATATTCCACCCTCGAGTTCCATATGGAAACAACAAAGTATAACACAAAGGATCCAGGGTATGACTGCGAATTGGTATATTTTGAAGAGGATTCTTTTGTGTTTTTGTTATTTTTCTTCCAACTATTATATCACGTTCGTATGGAACTTCTCCAGTGTGTTCGGGATTTACAAAAACTGCAGCAATTTTGTTTGATGTTGGTAAATTAAAACGCTTATTATCTCTTTCGGTATTTCTATAAAATTGCAGTGAAATGTGTTCGACATCTTTATTTAAATTAATAACTTCTTTCATCATTAAAATGACTTAGCATGAGAATTAACATCTCAAATCATCAAATCAAGTTTTTCCAATATTTTCAAACAATCTTTTCCGTTATAACATCGTTTAATTCGTTCTTTATTAGCCAATCTGAATCAATAAAATATAATTGTGCAAAACTTGGGTTTTTGCCTTTTTCTGGTTCAACGACTGAGATTGCATCATAAGTATGACATTGAATTATAAAACCAGAAAGTCCACACATATTTTGAACATTTTCTCCAAATGAACCAAAAGATATTCTACTATTAAACATCTAATATTTGTTTTGAAACATTTATTATAAGTATTATCAATATCCATCAATTCTTTTATTTATATTAGAGGTTCTTCTTATTGTGGAAGTCTTATTTTTCCATAATCACAACAACAAAGAAACGTTCCATTTTTACACTGTCCATCTTTGTAATGAAGTGCACCACAAAAAAATGAACAATTGGAACAACATCATAAGAAGCAAATTTGAAATACTTCGTTTTTAAAACATTTTACTTTGGTTTTCTATCTGTAGTGTTTCAATAATATGTTGAGTAGATTCAAACACAGAAGAAGTTTAGTTTTCTTTGGTATTTTTATTTAAATGAAATAAGCTTTCACTGTTTAATCTTTTCAAAAATTGTTTGATTGTTTTTGCTTTTGGATAAATTCTATTACTAATTGCATTAACGATTTCTCTAAAATATTGCAATTTTTTTTATCTTTGATTAACTTTATTTCATTGTTATTTTCACATTCATTAATTAAATCAAAAATTGTGCCTTTGTAAATTGTACAAAGTAATGAGTTGAAACATTAAATGAACAAATGATAATAAAAATTAAAATTACATTTTAAAATTATTTATAATACAAAAAACAGTATAAATATAAATATCTTAAGTTATCTCGGATAGTGCTTCGCAGTTCGTGAACTGAAGTTTTTTCTATTATTTTTCAAACTGAAAAAATTACATTTAAGAATATAGTATTTATTAATAGTTTAATCTCCACTTTTGGGATTTAATTATTCAAACAAAATTATTAAAAAACAAAATAATAAATTGAAAAACAAAATCAAGTTTGAAAAATAAAGAAAAAACCCAAAAACTTTGAATTTTTTTATTTTGTTAAAAACAAAGTTTGACCAAAAATGCATATTTTGGAAGAAAAAAAATATAAATGCAAAAACAATAAATAACAAATAATACCAATGACCATCAGCTGTGCAACAAAAATAAACCAAAGGTGATACAAGTTGGTGTAATTATGTTTTGGCCGCTCTAAACATTTTTGGTACAACAATCTTTAAAATAACATCCGAATGAGTGATGTTTAAATCGGGACCTATACTGTGAACGAAGTCGACAAAGTCCCGACTTTCAACGTGTTCAAAACTAAGTTCAGATGACACTATATAACATCCAATTTTTATATTAAGATCACTTACTTTTTTGTCGATTCATTTGTTGGATTTTTCATTTTCAATTGATCATCGTGTATAGTTATATGTTTTTTCATATCTCTGACACTTTCACTTGTCATGTCAAATGAATAATATTGGCCACGTTAATCACACACCAAAAGATAATATTTGTCAGATAACACAACGAACTTGGGTTTTTCCCGTCCTTTCCTTTTGGTAAAACACCACAAAGAGAGTTTGTATTTTTGTCAACCACCCAGATCGAACATCTTTTCCAGACATCTTCAGCAATAACAAAATGTTCTCTTGTTGGTGGAAGTTTCAGTTTCATTGAGTCATCAACACTTGTATAAGGATTTTTACGTTTTGGGGGTTTTACTATTATAAGTTCTTTTTATCATCCACATTTAAATGATCTTCAACTTTTTTGAATATTTTTTTGTTAATTTCTTTTTGGGTTCTGGACTCGTTGGCCATAACACATCTTTTTGTATTAAATTTTCATGAGTTATTAACGATGTGATTGTTTGTTTTTATGTGAATTTTTTGTTGCTATTGTATTTGGTTGTTTTTGTTTAACACAATGTATCGGAAAAGTGTTTATAGTATTTTTTGGTGAATGATTGACAAATGAATTACTAGTTGTTGTTATTTCTGTCTCGTCATTGTAAACAATTGTATTAATATCAGGAGGCTTTCCTTTGTTTGAACAAAGTTTAGGAATTGTAGTAAAACTCAGAGGAAAAGATAATTGTAAGTGTTTTGACATTGTGTTTATATTTTGTGTTTTTTTTGTTTTTGTATGTGTTACAAGTTACACTAACTCATATACAACTCAACACCATGATGCAACTTTTTAAATGATTAAATAATAATTATTTAATATTAAAATGTTAAAAATAATTTTAATTATGTGTCAACACATTAAATAGTTAAGTTGCTCAAAGAATCATTTGTATTCGATTTATTTGTTTTTGTATCATGCTATGCTTAACTTTTATTTTAGAATTGTTAATGTAATATATTAAAACATGTAAAGATGATAATGAGATATTATAGTATCATGTTTTAAATTGTTGATCTGAACAATTTAAAGATGTGCTTTATACAAAAAAAATATATTCCATTTTTTTAATTTATACATTTTTGTTTTTTAATTTATTATTTTTTGCTTAACCACTTATTGGTTCAAAATTTTTAGTTCTTTCATTTTTAATATTGTTGTATACACGTTTTCAGTTTATCATATAATAGACAATGTTGATGTAATTAGTTTCAAAGGTGCGATTTTGGTAAATCTATCTTATACCGTTCCCATTTATTTTTTGATTGTTGTCTTATATAAAAAGAAAAAAGTAATTTGATAAAACCCTTTTCATTTTATTTTCAATAATAATTACGTCTTTTTTCAGGAAAATAAATCAGTTAAAAATCAGTTAAATAACTGCGAAGCACTAATCTCGGAGATGTAAAATAATAATAGTAAAAATGATAACAACAAATAAAAAAATAAATAAAACAAAGATTGTTTATTCCATTTAGTTGAACTTCCATTGATTTCAATTTAATTCAACTTCAAAAAACACTTTTTGTCAAACGATATTCTATTGAAGCCCAACAAAAAAATGGGTTTTTCCTTTGCCTAGATTCGTTCTATTTTAATTTTTGGTCAAGTTATTTTAAGTATGTCTACAAACAAACCCAAAGATCAACACTTTTGGCTCATATATCTCCTAATTAATTACTGATATAAAAAAATAAATGTAATTTGCTCACTTTTTTATTAATAGGATAAAGTGTCAGGCTTTATTCTTAAAAAATGTATATTTGTTCAAATAACAAAAATAAAACAAAAAACACCAAAAAGAAAAACATAAAAATCAAATTATCGTTCAAATTCCCCACCAACCCTTCAAGTACAAAAAATTTCCAAAAATGTAAACTTATTTATATCTTATTCATTTTGAGTGTATATTATAGAGAAATAATGCAAAAAAGTTTTAAATATTTTAAAACTATGGGAAATAAAGGGGTGGAAAAAAACTGCTTTTGATATTTTTTGGTGAATAATGGTAAAATGTTTTCTAAATGTTATTTTATTTTATTTTTTTATTTAAACAAAAAGAAAAAAAACATCATTTTCATTTTGCCTGAGCATTTTTTCGAATTGTTTAGAAGAAGGCAGTTAAAGTCTATTTATATTACGGTTAATAGTTGAGTTATTACAGAATTTATTTGTAATTAAACGGAATACTACAAACATAATAAAGACATTTAACCAAATATA